CGTTGGCGATATACGTGACGCCTCAATGCAAAGCTCTGTTTTACGACATGTCCAACCCCGTTGCAACTCAACGTTCGGGGCTCACCCCTCTCCAACTAGTTGAACTCAGCAAACGTGTCAACTCGGAGACATCTTTGAGTCATACTGCTAAACGACGCCGGAAGATTGACGATGTGATTGAAGATATTGCGGAGAGCCAGAGAGAAATAAAGAAACGCCGAGAGGAAAACGAGAACGGCCCATCACTAATTGACCTCCTTGCAAGAATGGAAGAGCGGGATCATGCATTACGTTTGGAGCAGTTGGCAATGCAAGAAATTCGCGACAAAATGGATCAATTGATGTTGACATTGTTGGCTAAGCTAGCTGATAAGTAGATAGACAACGAATGTGTTCTGTATTGTCTACGTCATTACTGAACGAATTTGTGAAATGCCTGTACGTCGAACACGTAGATTGTACAGCACGAAAATGTTTTGCAAACGCATTCCTCGCAAGTGTGGGTCGCATGGAAGTGTCAAAAGCAGTTGTCGGTACACCTTTTCTGTGGCACCCATTCCCCATTCTGCAGCTTGACGAACTGAATTCAAAGCTGCATTTATCGCCATCAGGCCTGCACGACATTCCGGTGACGCTCGTTCCAAATCGCCTCCTTTCAAGGGGGTGCGAATTTTGCCAAATAGTTCGCCTGACACCGGGAATGCAGAGTCAGAAACAACACCATGGCCAGGCAGGGTAACATTTGGGTCGAGGAGCTTGGTACGAAGAGTTGAACTTGTGTCGGCGTCGTTCCAGCTTCCACAAAAATTGTACCGTCCCCACACAATAGTTCCATCAACGCCAAAAAGGAGCGTCCCAGTAAAAAGGTGTCGTGTAACCAACCATTATAATAGGCATTCTGAAGCTCTTCAGCAGTAGGGGCTTTGACTCGGTAGTTCTTCCCATCCAAAAAACCCCACACACCATGGACCAAGGGCTCTCGATGATTCACAAGCAGTGCCCATCGGCGCTGCAATTGCTTTGATGGGAATCGAATTGAAGCGTCAGGAACGTCCTTCAGCGCATCTGCCAAGGCCTTTTCACCACGACTTAATGTCCGTGCCAATGTTGCTGGTGGCATACCGAAGAGCGCACACAAAGTCTTGCTTTCGCATGGGGAGCAATAGAAATGGAGCACAATTGATAACGCTTCATGCAAACGTGTAATCTTGGGGGGTTTCCCACCACGACCGTTGAGGTGACCGAGCTTGTAGTGTTTGGAGAATCGTTCAAGTAGCTCATCGAACGTGTCCGGGTCGAGTGATACGCTGGCAATAAACGAACTCCGGTTGAGTGCTTCGTACATTCTTGTCCATGGTGTGCTTGTTGTGTCTTGCAGGCTTGGTGACGTCAAGTAGTTGCACTCCTTTAGCGTCATACGTAACCGTAACAGCAGGAGAGTGTCCAAGTCTTCCGGTTCGCTATCCGAGTCATCTTCATGGAGGAGGAGGAGCTTCCACCGCTTCATTGTTGTCGACGTCGAGTGCTCACAATGATGAAGTTGTATACTATAGAAACTGAAGTCAAATTTGAGTCAAACACCACCACTTTTTTGCTGAGGCGCTTTTATCGTCCAAGCAAAAAAGCGTCGGTGATTTGATTAAAAATTCCGGATGGCTTCTTCTGGCGTCTCAAAAAAATTTGCGCCGGTTTTGGACGTCCTCCAATGTAACATGAAAATACGTATGAATGAAATATAATTCGACAAGGATATTAAGACTGGCGTACAGTATGCAGCTGCCGAAAAATTGAATTCAACGCTATTGTATCCTTCTATGATCGATATCCGGATAACCCGACCTTCGAGGTTGAGCATCCAGATCGTGGAGAATGGCGGCATGGCGGGTCGCGCGGACGAATGACTCATCGGGGGTGGCAAGTGCGCTCCGTCCTAGCACAGGATATCGAGAAGACATGATCCGTCGTGGAGCGGCTCCTCGGGATTTTGTCGCGGAGAACCGGAAGCTCGTTAAGCTGAAGCAGAGAGAATTGCAGAAGAGAAAGGATGACGAGGCAGAGCGTGCCCGAGCACAGCGCGAGCGGGACAATTTCAAGCTCAAGAAGTTCACCAAACCCCGTGAAGGAGGCTCATCGTTCGCTTCGTCGTCAGTGGGGGACATGTCTTCGGATGCCCACAGCGTGAATAGCAGGTCGTCTCAATGTAGTTCTCGCTCTTCCGTGGGGACACGCCTGACAAAATCCCGCGTGCCAACCCTGGCTGAGCTCAAGAAACGCGAGGAGGAACTGAAAGAGATATCGTCACATCTTCGCAACAAGAACGTCGACTACATCAGCACAAATGCTTGGCACGTCATCCAACAGACGCCCAAGCGATACAACCCGTCGCCCGCCGAATTGCGCGATGCCGAAGCAAGGAGGCATCGCAACTTTGGAGAAGTTCCAGGATACATTCGTGCTCGGAAAGCAGCGGTACGAAATCGAAAGGTGCCACGGGACAGCACGACTCATGTTCGACGTGTAGTGGGCAAAGGAAGAAGACGATCGCCGCGCCAACCTCCCCGACCCCGACTGTCCTCCAGGCATGGTGCTCATGTCTGAGGACGACCGAGTCGCCACCCTTGCCACGCTTCGCGAAAACCTCGACCAGACGCGGCGCCAGCTCCAAGCGCTTCCACTTCGTATCGAAACACTGAGCCAGATTCGCCGCAAGACCGCCATCGACGCCAAGTTGCAAGAAATCGAAGCCGCCATCGTCGTATTTGACAAACCCAAGGTATTCATGCTGCCGCCAACCGCGTCGACTGCCTAAGCCGCCTAATCCTGGCAACGTCCTGTCGACCTCGTTTCCTTGGCCTGTTTCCAGTGCAACAAATGCCATTGTGTGCGCAAGCAACAAGGATGCTGCGGCAGCATTCTCGTCCTTGTCACAAGGCGTGCGATGCCAATACGTGGGCCACATGCCGACAGACAGAGCTGGCGATCTGTTCTGAGTGGACCGCCTAGCTTATCTAACCAGCCTCTTGGGGAAGGCTTGCGCCATTCCGCGCATGGCAACTTGCGTCGATCGTGGCTTTCTCGCAGGTGTTGCACTTCACGCAAGGCACAACCGCATCGTAAAATTATTTCAGAGCAACCCATGTGCTCAATCCAACGTTTCAAAGAAGCGCTGGACGTCATGAGCAGATAGTTGGTCAAACGCTGCCTGGTCAATGCTCGGGCGTTTCTTGGCCTTGAGCTTGAGGTTGTACCGATGCCACTCCGATCGAAAGTGCTCGCGGTAGACTGCAGTGTCGGTGAAAGCGCCGCCGCACGTCGAGCATGGTCGACCCGCGGAAGCCGCCGGGGCATTCGATGCGGGGGCAGCAGGCAACGGGGGAGGTAGCACGGTGTGCGACGGTGGGGTGCCGGTCGCCATCCCGAATCGCTCCGTTTTCTTGGAAATCTCTGCATCAATCGAGTGTTCGCCTTCTTCGTGGCAGCTCAGTTCGAGCACTTCCAAGGATCGTGCGCCGTCTAGTCAATTGTGGATCAGCCGTACCTGCGCAACGTCACCGAAGCACGATACATCCATGTTGACACCTAAGTCGTACCGATGTTGTCGCCGTTGTTTGCGACGAACGCGTCCAGTCCACGATACGCGCCAGGGTCGATGAGGCAGATGAGTCGAAGGGTATCCGATGTGCCCTTTTGATCGAGCACGGTTGCGTTGTGCTGCTCCAAATACTTCTTTGTGGACTTGCCGTCTTTGGCGGGAACCGACACCTGGACTTTCATCTTGGCGCGCGTGATCGGCATGTGATCCTGGAGTTTGCCGATCACGTCCAGCGCTTGTTGCTTGGCGCTTCGGTTTGGAATCAACGAGTAATGGATCTCCTTCATCACGCGCTCGATCACGGAGAACTGCGTGTGAAGTGAAACATCGTCCAAAGGTGATTCCATCGGCGGAGGTATGATACCACGTACGGGATATGGACGGTTGGACTCTGGGTTGACGCACTTCTCGACAACGATGGTAGCGATTTCTTGAAACAGCCTAGAAGGATGACCGCGTGAAAAGGAAGTCACGCGCCAGATAATGCGAAAACGCACGACTGATTGAAGGCTGCTCGCTCGCCATCGGACACTTGCAACTCGCCTTGATCAATGATCAACTTCGCCACTTCGTCGACGTCGTCGGTGCCAAACACCTTGCGCATGTCATCTGCTGTCGCGCGCTTTCCCTAGACCCGAACGTCGTGAGTATGTCTTTCATACAGCGCATGTACTTGCGCGGTGTACATACCTTGGACACGTTCACAAACACATCATGGGACTGCAACACTTCATCGAGTTGCGTTTCAACGCGGTTGCGCCAGTTCACCACCTTGTTCTTGTAGCATGCTACCTCAAAGCGGCACCCACCCTTCTTGAGACGCACAATCGCGACATTCGTCAGGCGCTTCTGCCCCTTTGGCTGCTCCACTTGGCTGCGCTGCCGTCCAGTCGACGCGTAGGACATGCTGACCGATGCTTCGGAAATCGAGTGATGGGACTGCGTCGTTGAAACGAATGTCCACCATTTTTGGTTCGAATTTGCGAATTTCGTTCACGTTTTTGCAGATTTTGATTGGTGCATTTATCGTCATTACGTGGAAATATTTACACACGTATTATACTTCAACATGGATACTGTATGCCAATGCCAAATTATAATCATCAATGATGAATTTTGCTAATTTTAAAATTCACGGGAATTCCGCAAAAATCGAGACCATCACTTAGTTGTCACGAAATTGCCTGGAATGCTCAGCCCGACATAGACACTTGGGAGTAGTGGCTCAATCGAGCGCATCGAACACACGCTGCACCTCTGCGTCGCTGAGAGCGAGGAAGCTGGCTTCGTCGACCACAGCATCCTTCCTTGCCTTCATTTTCAAGTTGTAGCGATGCCATCGCGACCGAAAATGCTCACGGTGGTGGGCCGCGTCGGTAAAATTGCCACCGCATGTGCTGCATGGACGTGTGCTCAATGCTGGTGTGACTACGATTGATGGCACAGAAGGAAGGGGTGGTGCCGCTATGCCCTGTTCTGCCGCTGGTGGAGCAGCGTCGCGGAAGCCCACCTCGTCACCGTCAGCTGGAATCACTTCCACCACCTGAATGAATCGACCTACGCATGGCACATCAAGGACCAGCCACATGCTTCTCAACCACCTACGCGCAGCATGCTCTTGGACAAACGCATTCACGACGAGCAGTTTGCCTGGCTCGATCAAAGAGGTACATCGAAGGCTGCCGTTTGCACAATCTTCCTGCTCAAGCATGGCTGCGTCGAGTGCTTTTAACGTCGACTGCAGAAGTCTGACATCTGAGTACTACATCAGAAATGTGTGCCAAGATGACGACACTCACCCACGGAGGCAACGGTGACATGAACCTTCATCATCGCTCGTGTGATAGGCATGACTTGTTGGAGCTGTCGAATAATGGCAGGTGCCTATGGGCGACGCGTAAGGTGTCAGTTCACAGCAGACGAGCTGTCAGGTACCTGCAATTCAGCTGGTTGATGAGGTATCACGTCAACCTGCATCGTCCTCATCGCTTGTTCAATGGCTGATACCTGAATCATCATGAGATTAATGCACCGATCATCGTGAGGTATCGCGCACTTGATGCGGTCTTGAAGTGTCGGGATTCACGCATGTTCTGGCTATGATGGATGCGATCTCCCGCAACATACTATATTCGGGTGGGAGAGGTGTAAGCATTCATGAGGAGATAGTGCGGTCCAACCTATCTTTCTCGGCGGCGCGAGTACTCTCGGACACTATGACTTGTCCCTGTGTCATGATATGTGTTGCAACTCGATCAACGTCGTGGGTTCCAAAGACGCGTTCAATGTCGTCGTCTCTCGCTCGCTTGCCCTTGACGATGAATTCATTTGCTTTTGGAGCGGTGGAATGCCGACGTACCCTCGAAACGTTGTCGAATATCTCGTGCGACTGCAGGATGTCCTCCAAGTTCATGTCGTTGCCACGGCGCCATTGCATGAGCTTGTTCTTGAAGCATGCCACTTCGAAGCGACACTCTCCTTTCTTGAGACGCACGACATCAACGTGCTCCAGACGGGCCTGGGAAAGCGGTGTGAACACGCGTTGGCTCTGATGGAGGAATCCCATCTTCTTGGCGCAATGCTGCAGTGCACATGGAACAACTTCGTTTATCCGGAAGGGCGTGATTGAAAATTAAAATAATTATATACAACGACGTAATACAATCGTCCAATTTTTATACAGGTCGACCAGGGATCCCATTGGCTGCATATTCGCACCGCCACAGCAATCCTGGCCATGGCGGTAAGTTGTATTCATGGCCGCCGTGGATGCATGCTTACCTCATACGAAGAGCGGTGTAGGACCAACCCAAGAAAGGCGTGGCCAACGTTACGCGCAAGACATGGGACAAAGCATTCTTTGCTCAGCAAGCGGCGTTAAGAGCGGCTGGGGGCCTGGAAGAAGAAGAAAAGAAAACCAAGCGGATCGATCCAGCACGCGAGGAATTCCAGCCTGCTGCTGAAGATGCCGCGGGTCCTGCGGGCTCGGTTCGAGCATTCTTGAAGGTACGCGTGGTCGTCGATCCGGGCGGCTTTAAGGTGACGATTGCATTGGTTCAGGCCAGGACAAAGAAGGTCGAGTTGGATTCAAACGTGGGGAAAATCACCGTCATTAAGCCCGATGACGCGATGCGAGCCACGGGATACTTTTGCGAAGTATGTGAAGTCACACTGAAGGACTCAGTCTCGTATATCGACCACGTCAACGGCAAAAAGCGTGTGTTTATTCCCTCCTCGATCTACCGCTTGTTCCAACGTGGTCGTTCCGTCTAGACCTGCGAAAGCTCGGCTACAGTATGCGTGTGGAGCAGTCGTCAGTTGAGTCGGTAAAAGATCGCTTGAATGCCGCCGCAAAGCGCAAATGGAACCCCGAGATTTCCAAGAAGCTCGATGCTGTTGAAGCGTACGAGAAGAAGATGGCGGCTCTGGAGGAGGAAGCGCAGGCGAAGAAGGCCAAGAAGAAGGAGGCAAAGACCCCGGCGCCTGCCATGGATGTCTTTGCGTCTGCAGAAGAGGAAGCCATGATGGCCGCCATGGGATTTGGCGGCTTCCACTCGACCAAGAAGAAATAGTCGCCACGTGTCCGTGAAACACAATTAATAGCCAATAGAATACGCCATTGCCACCAATAATTCCGGCAAATGTTTTTATTATGTCCAATCAAAGCAGTACCTTTTGACGGAATGTCAACAAGCATACTCAAACTTGATGTCGGCGGACCATACTTTTAGCCAATCATTGTGCATTATAGTGGATTTGTCCAACAAAAACGTCAAGATTTTTGTCCAATGCTTGCAAGATACATAGGGAGGTGTTGCCGCAAGCATCGACGGCGTTGGACGCGTCGCGATGCAGTGGGGACGAGAAGTATGCGATGGTTAAGCGATCGCTTATGTTACAGTAGTGCTGTCGTCAGCTTTGATGGCCCAATAGGCCCTGTTGGCGCGGATGTTGTCCATGCAGCCGTCGAGGCCATGGAGGAAGCGTGCCATGTGTTGCCACAACGGCAAGCAAAACAGGTCGATGAACCGCATGTTCATGCGGGCTTGGTCAGGGGAGTCGATTTTGGCACTCATGTACGCATTCGGGGCGACGCCGACCGCGATCTCTTCTTCGTACTGGGCGTTGAATTCCTCCATGAGGGCATTCGACCATCTTGCGTGGAGCGGCGTGGCCAGCGCAGGGTTGGCAATGTCTGCGGCATGCACGATTGCGTTGAGGAGGAGCTCCTTGTCTTTGTCGGGGTGAAAGACATCGCGGTGAAATCGCTCGGACAGTTGTTGAATCTACCGAGGCATCGCTGCATAAGCATACCACAAACAACACGCAGCGTGTACCATCGACGCATGGACTCCCATGTCGGTGGCCAAGATGACTCGGATGATTGCTTTGCGAATAAACATGTAGTCGCCGCACGACGCGTGCTCTAGAACATTGTGTCCTGGTCGACGAAGCGTGTCAAAACAGTGGGCAGCATGCATGTTCTCCAGCACAGATTGATCGTTGTACAGCATCGCGGTCGCCGTTCGCGTCTTGATATGAAAGTCGTTGGTCCGCCCGTTGTGGTTCATGTCATGGCACATGGCGCCAATGAACAGCGCGAGCACATCTCGGCGCTCGAGGAGGGTTTGTGCGTCGGGAGCGGGCGGCGACTGCGCCAGCACAATGAGGAACGTCACATGGAGCGTCGTGAATGCATGCAAAAAGTTATGGTACGGAACGTCGCGATATTGGTCGCGGACCGCAGCGACAAATCGCCGCAACGTCGGGCGGTCCATTTGAAAGTGTTGATGCAGCGAAAACTCTTGAAAGATGGCGACGGCATGATCGACGAGCACGTCCTTTGGCCACGCTGCTTGAAACGGATCAAATGTCCACAACTTGAGCTCGTCCGCCAGCGACGTGTCTGGGGGACGATGGGCCAACGGAGGCGTCGCCGGGGGATGCACATGAAAGCGAGGGGGCGTCGCATCGTCTTGCCGCGTGCACGAGTCGACGAGCGCTTGGATAGCTTGGTGAAAACACTGGCGCGATGCCACACTCACGTCGGCCCCAACGTTGTCGTCCAAGCTCTTGTCGTCTTCGCGCATCGTACGTCGTGTCCTGATGGAAAACAAAAGCTGCTCCATCGCAAGTCTCTCGACCAGCTAGTGCACATATGCCACGTCGGGATGGATGGGGACTCGACCATTTCGTACCACCGTGATCGACGCGGACACGGCCTCCAACGTGTCGATATCGCCAGCGAGAAATGCCATCGGGGGGGGCCAATTGCCCCAAGTGCCATGGGTGTGGACGGCGTGCAGCACGCCAAGGACCTGGGACGGCGCATGCGGCGCGAAGATGGGCACCGACGCCACCGCGGCTGTGCCTTGGTCGATGACCGGGTGAAACGCGCGGTGGCGACGGACGCATGGAATTCCAGCGCTCGGAAGCAACAGAGGGGCTGCCGTCGACGCGACGGAAGTGGCGAGGCCGTCGCGGATGCACTCGCCATTGTTTTGGATGTGCGAGACGAGGGCCGTGCCGTCCACGGCAAGCACCGTGACGAGATCGGCGCCTAGAATCTACCAACGATCATGATGGGTCCAAGAACTGGGGAGCGAGGATGGAAGCACGTACTTTAGCCATGGACAGTTCAATGTCGACCAGGGTCTCGGCAAGGGGGCGTTCGGGCAGCGTGGGGGACGCCATGCGTTGCAAGAGCGCTGCGAGGGCGTTTTCGCGTTGGGCTGCGTCATGCGCAAGGCGCTTCGCAGCCAGTGTGCGTGCAATGAATTGGGCAAGGCGGTCGTCGCAGCTATCAAAGTACGGCTTGATCGCGTCAAAGTGTTTGTGCGTCGCGCACACGATGCCAAGGACAACATTGCGGTCACTCAGGATCGGTACTGCCAAGGCAGCCCCGCGGGTGCCGTCGGGAAGCGCTGCTTCGTGGACGTTGACAAGCTGCTTGGTTTGGATGGCGGTGAGGGCGTGGGGCGGTTGCTCGGACGCTGGCGAGTCCGCGCGACATCGCCAACGGATGTGGCATGTGGACGCGTGCAAAGCGCGGGCGACCACCGCCTCCGTCGATTGCATGCAGGTAGAGGATGCCATCGAGTCCAGCGACAGGGCAGATACGTCGTCCAAGATGCGCATGTGGTTCAGCGACGCAGTGACGGCATGTGCCGACCGTTCTTCCTGCAGGGCTGCCGCAAAATGGGCAGCGAGCGACTCGCACACACACACCTCGCTTGGTGTGAAGAACGATCCGTTCGTTTTGGCAACGTCCAGCACTCCAATTGCATGGACTGTATCGGGCACCACCATGGGAATGCAAACCCGCGACGACAACCGATCGATAGGTGCTGCCCTACCCAACTCGTGAGGCGGCATCCACGTGCCCTACGTACAGTGGACGTTGCAGGGGCGCGTCAATCGCCGACGACGCGTGCACCACCCTCCGCGCCGATGCCGCCAACTCGATCGACGCGTTTGTGCCGCTGCCGATTGTAAACGCGTCGCGCGATGCCGGGAAGCGGCAGAAGAGAGTGCGGGCGTCTTCGTCGATTGCAAAGACTCGACATCGGCTAACGCGGGCCACCAATGTCACGAGAACCTTGACAAGATGCACCAGATTGCGGCCAACTCGACGGGGGATCGATGCAAGGACCAGCGGTTGTGGACAGTGACGAAGGAGGCCCGCGACGATGTGGCAGACGCCTGCAAGCCCATGGGTCGTGGTCGGGTCTTCTGCGGCAGCGCACCACGCAGCTGACGCGAGCCCTCCGCACCCCGCGTTGAACACTTCGACAAACAACGCCGCAGCGCCGTGCCCGCTGGTCGCGTCCACCACAAATGGCACGCACACAAGTGACTAGAACAAGATCGTGAGTGGCGGTGAAAACAACGTGTGGCGCGGTAGGGGCGAAAGAGTGTACGTGGATGCCAGGCGAAGGGACCACGTCGTCCATGAGCTTCACTGTGGATGCTTGTATCGTTGCCGTGGTTGGCAAGTGCAATGGCTTTCGCCTCTCGAGAACGTGCCGAATTGCGCTGTCGCCGCTGACCACGACCTTGGACGCGTTGATAAGTCGCCGGCCGTCAAATGTAAAGATAGCTGGGGCGTTGTGACGACTTGCTATGGGCACAACAACGTGCAAGCGCACATGGGGGGTTCGGAAGCTTGCCATGACGAGGGCCTGGGCACAGGTGTTCATGTGCACACTGGAACCCGATGAAAGGCTACCTCGAGCGGGGCCATCATGGTTTGCCACGACAATGTAGGGTCCGTCGTGGCGAGAGTCGCCTCAACGAGGATCGAAGTGGCCTTCGTCAAGGAAGGACATGCCAGAGACGCCGCGAAGAGATGCACGTGGCGTTGCACGAGCTGCCACCGCCTCTTCGCACGCGATACGGCATGCTTGGGCTTTTTCAGGGGCGGCGGCCCTCGAGCAGTGCTGTCGATCACCGACGCACGCGATGGGAGCTGGTGTATCTCGGCGCGCATGGCAGCGACGCACCACCGGAACTCGCTCGTCTGCCCAGCGGCGACCAGACTTGGTCGACCGCTCCGACGCACCTTATTTTTAGCCCAACCACCAGGCGTGAAACTCCACAAGACGTGGCAAACGCTGCCGGCATCGCGTCCATCGCGCGGTGGTCGACGCAAACAACATGATGCCGACACAACGCTTTGTTGCATGATGCTAGGCAGGGTGTGTGGCGAGTCGAGATTCGTTGGCATGGACGCTCGGTCGACTTGTGGCTGGCGAGGTGGCCTCCCCGTATGCAGGCAAGGCCCGCCATGCAAGAATATGTTCGATGCGTCGATGATGCGTTTCGGTGACCTTTGGAACGGCGCCACGGCGATGGCTTGGGGGGGTCGTTTCATGTATCTTCGCACTGGACCACCCTAAGAATATATCGTGAAAGTTCGGACCAATACGTAGGCATCCGATGAGCGCGAGTCCCGGCGCGCCCGGGTTGCGCCTTCCGCTTCTCAAAAGCGCCGAGCCCGTGGACAACGCGACGACGGTGGCGCCCTTGATGCGGCACACGTCTTTGAAATCCAAGATGGATGGCAAAGGCGTCGTCGACGACGCGTTCCTCTGGCCAGCCCCGCCAGCGTCCCGACCGGACAAAATGCCACATGGCTTGGGGCGAATACACCGGCCATCGATGCACGGCACAGGGGTACGTTCGAAGAAGAGACGGGGGCAGGTGCAATCGACATGTACCCACGGTCCGAACGGTCGACCACCGTAGGTGCTGGACGACGGCCCGCCAGGGTGTGCGACCACCCCGACGGCGGGCAAGGTACCCTCGTCGACGATGAAAGTCAACCAAATGATGGGATCGCTCGAGCCGCTGCCCCCGACGTCGGTGCTGCTGCCGTCTCTCGTCGACTTGGCCAGTACTGCCACCACGATATCGACCATGGCATCCGCGGCAAAGCCCGTCCTCCCGTCGTTGAATTCCAGGTTCGCGATCCGTCAACGGGATGGCCGACGTGTGTTCATATGCCCCCGCAGCACCAACCACGAACACTCCAACGACAAAATCGACTTGGAGCAGCGCATCACCAAGCTCAAGTTGGACCATTTTCCCATCGGCCACGACCATCGTACGACGTGCGATGCCAATCGTCCGCGTGACGACGATTTTCCCACGTGTAGCTCAAGTAGCGTACGATGACGCCGAGCGGTACTCGGACATCAACGTGGATGAGTACATGGAGTATGCGAGGACGCTGGACCTTGGGCAGCTCCAGGCCCATCACACGAACCTGTACAAGCTCGTGCGGCAGTACCAAGGTTTATTCAGTGTCGCGAGCGCGATCTCGGTCGAAATGGACTCGAACGGGGCACTCGCGCGCATCGTGTCGGGGGTGCACCGCGTCCTGCCAGTGGAACGGGTTGTGCTACTGCTTGTCCATCGAAATAGCGGCGTGCTGTGTGGCACGGTCGCGGGCGTCGACGTCGAGATGCCCATTGCCGCAGGTACGCCTCCATCGTCCTTGTCGCTGCCGCCATGTCGCCGGCATCCCAAAACACTTGACGCGGACATGCGACATGGTAGGGATCGAAGGCGCCGTCGTGGCGCACGGCAAGGCCATGATCGTCGAAGATGCTGCGACGGACCCGCGCTTCGACAAGACGTTGGATGTAGCGACCAAGTTTACGACTCGGAACGCTCTGTGCGCGCCCGTGACGGACCCCAAGGGCAACATCATGGCGGTGCTTCAGTGCGCCAACAAAGCCACGCCCTTCACGACCAGCGACAGCCTCAGCTTGGAATTGATTGCGCTCATCGCTGGCCACACGTTGCACAAACTCGAGCTCTTTGACAGCGCCATGTCCGCGGGTCGCCGGACGTCGGCCATCTTGCAAGTCGTCAAAGCTGTCGCTGACGAAAGTACCCGCGCTCGTGTTCATGGCCGAGTCTCCACACGATCGTCCTGTAGACCATGACACGCACGGCATGATCCTGCGCGTGATTCAAGTCGCGAAAACCGCCCTCAACTGCGACCGCCTCACGTTGTATCTATGCAACCGCGTGCGGCGGGAGCTCGTGTGCTGCGTTTGCCGCGACTCGATGGTCGAGCAGTTCTGTCTCCCCTACGACAAGGGGCTCGCTGGCCATGTAGCATCCACGGTGCGCATGTCCACCTGCGTGTGGCTCGTTGGCTTGGCTGTCCTCCATCGGTAGCTGTCACGTGAATGGGGTGCGCACGTAGGGCAAGCTCGTGCGCATTACCAACTGCTACGACGACCCCCGGTTCCTCCCGGACGTCGACGTCAAGTCCGGGTACAAGTCGGTCTCGATGTTGTGCGCCCCCGTGATCTCCGCCGACGGCGACACGATCGCAGTCCTCCAAGCCATGAACAAGTCGTCGTGGCCGATCCCTGCCAACTACACGGGCACGATCCCGCCCGCATCGATCACAGCGTTTCAAGACGGGGATGTGACTCTCATGCACGAATTTTGCACGGGTTCGACCACCGACTTGCAGGCCTGCGTTCTCTCACACACCATTCCTGTTAGAGCTCGCCGGGTCCCTTCGCAAGTCGACGCTCGAAGTGCTCTACCACAACGTGTACACCGACATGAACCGAACGAAGCGGCGCGACTCGGTCTCGCTCGTGGTGTCGTCGCTTTTGGGTGTGCATTCCAACGACAAAGCGATGCGGCCGTCGGTGAAGGGCTGGAAAATCTCGGGCCTCGTCACCCTCGCCGCGACAAAATTCATGAAGTCGCTGGCAAAACGGAAAAACGAGCCGCGGGTCGATGTGGCCGCGAGCGTCGGCCGGGGCAGCGATGGCCGGTCCTCTTCCCACGACTCACTCCACGTCGTGCCACCCGAGTGGCGCGCGAAACACCACGGATTCGACGACTTTACGTTCAACATCTTCCACTACACGCACGACCAGCTAGCCGTGTTGGTGGTGCGAGCTCTCTCTCTGCTGCTATCGTGGTGGCGACGACGATCGCGCTCAAGGACGCTCTGCGTAGGTGCAAGGGTTTTCGCAGATGGGTTTGTGCTCGATTTTCTCCATCCCGGACGACATTGCCGTCAACTTTGTCGAGACTGTCCGTCGCGGGTACCATGACAACCCGTACCATTCGTGGTGGCACGCCGCCGACGTGTTCCAGCATGTGTTTGCGCTGTTGAATCGAACGACGCTCCTCACGATGCTCCAGGTGCGTGCCGATGCCGGGTCGTCCTCGTCCACACACGTGGTAAGCGTAGCCGAATATTGTGTTTGCCATGCTCGTGGCGGGGCTGTGCCACGATATCGGACACCCCGGCACGGACAACGCGTACGAGATCGCGACCGGGTCGGCGCTCGCGATCCAGTACAACGACATGAGTGTCCTGGAGCAGCATCACGCGTGCGAAACGTTTCGGATCTTGCAACGCCCGAGCTGCAACATCCTGCTCGGCATGAGCAAGCCGGCGCATCAAACGATGCGCAAGCTCGTCATCGACGGCATCCTCCAGACCGACATGAAGTGCCACTTTGACCTCGTTCATGACCTCGAAGACGCGGTGGGCACTCGACGTAGCTAGCAGCAGCGTCATGGTCTGTTTGTAGGTGGCGCGGCGGCAAAAGGGCGCCGGAATATTCGATCTGTCAAACGTGAGCCATGTCAAGTGGCTCACGGGGGCGATTCTCCACGCTTCCGACATCGGCGCGCAGACGTATCCCGTCGCGATTGCCGGCCAGTGGTGGGTGACCCTCGGGCGGCCTTGCTTCGACGCATGAATGCAGGGCGTAGGTCGCAACGCCTCGTCGACGAATTTCGCCTCCTGGGCGAAAAGGAACAGAGCAAAGGGCTGCCCGTGGCGCCATTCCGAGATAACCTCACCACCAACAAAGCGGTCGGTCGGCTCCAGCTCAACTTTATCAACTACATCGTGACGCCGATATGGCACCTCGTGATGGACATTCTCCCGGACGCTGCCGTCCTCCGCGTAAACCTCGACGCGAACCGGACCCACTATCAAAACCTCATCTTGGAAGACATGCCCAACATGGCATCGTGTGGCGGCAGCGGCCGGCTCCTGGCCACGACATCGTCCATGTCGAGCTTGACCAAGCTCGACCTGCACCAGTCCAACTCGACCGACAGCGACATCGTCCGTGACCAACAGCTCCAGCACAAGCTCTCCATGTCCATGGCATCGTCGTCCTCGCATCGGCAGCTCGTGGAAAGTCATTCAAACGACAAACAAGCCAGCAACAGCAGCCTTCGCCGTCTGCACACAACGTTGAGTCAAAACGCTGACCTGGGCATCCCTCACCACCACGCACCCCGACCTACCTCCGCCTCGAAAACGTCCCTCCACCGACCGCCCAGCATGACTCGCATCCCGAGCTCGACTCGATCGAGTCAGGCTGGGTCCCGCGTCGAAGTCGAGCCGCCAAAGGATGCGCCCGAAATGCCCGCATGACGATGTCATGTTGCCTCTATTTATGTGCTCCATGAGGGGCTACGAAAAGCGTAGCATGGCCAAGCTAATCCAGGTCATCCCATCGCGCTTGAGACGATCGAATCGCATCCAACGCGATCGTCGGCACTTTGTCACTTGGAGCCATCCACGACGCTGGCACCTCCTGCGACACAAGGACAACATTCACCGCCTCGCAGCTCTGTGCCACACGCAATGCGATCGCTTCGATCGTTTGACGGGACTCATGGCTTGCTGGCACTCCACCGCCGTCGAGAACACTAGCTAGGATGCGCTCGTTGTGATGTGCTGCCGTCATCTACAGATCGCATGAGGGTACATGCTGCTGTAGCATTCTCGCGCCGCGTGATTCAAAAGATCGTCGCGCCAAGACGCACATGCATCCCCTCGATCATCATGGACACAGTACCTCGATGGACACGTCGAAATGGCGCAACAGCGTCCGCATCGCGACGGAATAAGCAAAAGCAAAGTCCTTGGACACGTCGACCGCTTGAAGGCGCTGGAGCACCGCTTCCAGCCGCGGCTGAATCTGTGTTTCTCGAATGTAGATCCACTCGGCTAAGTTGTTGAGCTGAGCGTGTTGCGCCGCGAGAATATGGGCCCACGCGACGTCCTGTTCATGCATGTGCCATATCGTCAGCACGATATCCTGCCAAATCAAGGTCGTACGTCCGGCGGCGGGAGGAGGGCGCTATGGGACGGGTACAAGTCGTTGTGGTACTTGGTTTCCACATTCAAGGCAAACCCAAACGATTCCTTGAGTTTGGCAGCGACCTCGGCGCCGTCATGCGCTTCGTCCGTTGTTTTCAGTCGCAGCGGCTTGCGGCACCCATCGACTTGGACGTGAATATCCAGCGGGAACTCGCCGATCCACTGGACGTGCGGCGGCACCAACGGCGCAGACGCCAACCGGTGACCTTCGACCAAATTGGTGCGCCGCTGCAGTGCAACACAGCCTGGCATCACGTTGGGTACGACCACATTCGCCACAAACGCTTCAATGTCGTCGTCCGTGACGGATGTGCCATCGGGAGAAGGAGAGAATGTCGATGGCAAGGCGAAGCCATACCCCTGAAGCAGGTTGTCACCAATAGCCCCTTCAAGGGCCATCACGGCAGTGTGCAACATCGCGGTCGCGTCGTTAGAGGGCAGCGTGAAGATCGCGGACGGGAGGCGAACGATGAGCAAGTCCAAAACCTCCACGTCGAGTTGCCGCAAGATTTGTCGCAAATGCGAACGAAGGACGGCACTCGAGAGTCGGTCGTGCACACCTGCAGACCAAGAATGAGGACCACTAAGCTCGGACAGAGATCGTGATCTGGACGTACTCAAGGAGGACTCTTGGCCGAGAACATCGCCGTCCAATATGGCGCTGAGCACGAGTCCTTCTCGCGGCACGTCGTCCTCAGTAAGCAGTTCGTTGATGGCAATGCTTTCTGCGACCTGGCCCACCTTCTCGTCGTTTTCGGGGTCCTCTGAGTACGTGAAGTGCATTTGGACCAGGTTGCTGCCGCGTGTCAGCACTGCCGCTTTCAGCTCAGAGATAACTTGTGTATCCTTGATGAACGAAGCGGGACTACCATACCCGAGCGGGGCAATCGCGACGCCCGTCGTTGCTCCCGGGAACTGAAAGACTGCTGCCGGTTCAACTTGCGCTTTGGACAAAATCAAAGAAGCACCCTCTGGAGTAGCTCGGCCTGTATGCAGCAAGCTAAAGCGGTTCATGAACGCATACCGCGCACGGGGCACGGCAGCGGCGTGCTGGGCAATGCAGCGCAGCATCGGTCCCGTCGCCTGCTTGATGCCTTTCGTGGTGGCCTGTGTTGCTGCTTATCCGGTATCCGGATACAGAGCTCAACCTCTCCACGGAAACGTTGCGCTGGAAAATATCCGGACAAGTGCCATCCACGACGGGGGTGGCGGTTTTCCGCGCGGTGGCGACATGGAACCCACGCTCGACGGCATGGCAGCGCCCTTGGACTTTACGCCATGGACGTCTAAAGTGAAAACGTTCTCAAAATCCACGGCCGTTGCCATGCAAATGCATGCCATGTGTGACGACGATCTGTCGATGGAGACTGCGATTGTGGCGCTACAGGCAAAGTTGTCTGCCGCGTGCAAGGAGGTCCTGTGGAAGGATGTACTACTTCAAAAGTTAGAAACCACGTTGAAGCACGCCGACGAACGTGCCGACGCCAACCAAGTTGAGCTCGAACACGCGTTGTTGGAGCACGCAAAGCAGACGATGCTCGTAGCATCCCTCGACACAAAGCTTCGCGAATGCGAAGACGCTCATGCCGCGACGAGACTGTCGCTTGCCGACATGCAAATCCAACGCACGGATTTGGTCGACCGATGCGCGGCTCTGGCGCGGGACATGTCCGTGGCGCAACAGATGCGAGATCAAAGCGACCGGGGCTGCCGCGAGTGGAAGGAGCGGTGCGCGCAACTCGAGTCCGAGCGGCGGCAACACATGCAAGCGCTGCATGCGCAACAACACGAAGCCTTCCAATTGCAGATAAAGCACGAAAACCTCCAGCGCTCCCTACAACGGCTAGAGGACGAACACCAGATATTATTGCAGCAGCGTCGGACTTGTTTCCCACGACACGCTCCTACGAACCCACCTGCCGCACGTTGCGATCAAGGCAGTCAATGCACCATGCCCGACGTGTCGACACGCCATGCTCAAACTGTCATGTGCGCCATCCTTGACGACGACAACGTCGCCGTCGAGGCAAAACGGGCCGCGATTGCCCGGCAGCAGGATTTGATGACAATAGCATCGCAGGCAAAACAGCTCCAAGTACTCCAAGCTGCTCTTGACCACTGGCAAGCAACGTGCCGGCGCACACTTCAAGCGTATGAGGAGGTATCATGCGCTGATTTGCATTGCTTTTCATGACATGTGAACGCTCGATGGTGTCGGCTAACTCGGTGTACGCTCCACAGTTGCGAAGCAAAGCCAACATGTGGAAAGGATGCGTTGCGACGCTGCTGCCCATCTACCAAGAACAGGTCAATTCACTCGAATTGGCCAAGTCGGCCAAGGCCGAATGGACCAAGGCGAAGCAGTCGCTTGAAGCGGATGGCCGACGAGTGGCCATGCAGCTCGAACAAGTTCAGGGCATGCTACGGCAGGCTAACGACCAGCTTGCCATCGACCACCAGCTGCTCGTCGACAGCAAGAAGCGGTACGCGGAATCCCAGGCGTGCTTGTTCGCGAACAGTGGTTACTGTGGTGGAGCTGCAGGGAAAAAACGCTGGGGCGAAACAATAAGTCCCGCGAGACCAAGGCGCGGGAACTCGTGGCGACGCTCCACGCAACTCAAACCAAGGTACCAAAAAGAGCAGCCTGGCTGCGACATCGATTGCCACTTGGGATGGCTCACAAGACGTCGTAGCTCGATGCTTTGCAAGCGCAGTATACGAACGCCAAAGCGGAATCGAAACGGATGGCGTCGCGAACGAGCCAAATCCACACCGCTTGGCTCCAGGAACGCGCGGACCGTCTCCAGTACGCGTGCTCGTCCTGCTTCGCGCATCGTGATCATTCGGTTGCTTGTGAATGCAGGGCCGTTGACGAAATCGAAGCATTTCGGGTGGCCTTGATTGAGTGCTGTCAATGCGCCGTGTCTCTGCAAGGCACCACTGCTGCTGTGCAAACTACTCGACCGCCGATCCGCCATCCCATCCCAGTCGCCCCACCGCCAACGTCGACTTGGACTCTCGAGCACTTGAAGGCTGTCACTGGCATTGCCGAGCCTCTGGTGTTTGGCTAACAACTTCGAGCACCCGTACATTTTGACGCTACAGCAACAGGCCGACAGTGAGCTAGATGATGCCGGCGCCATGCTACACCCGTTCTCGACGCGATAGAGTCGTGCCGAAGCAACTGCCTCCTGCAGCACACAAACTGCTTTTGCGCTGAGACCAACGGAGCGCAGTCGGGCCGTCCCCATCAATTGTGTGCTGGATAGGTGTGGCTGCGGCCCAGTCATAGGGCGCGCTACCTGGCCATGTTGACATTCTACGTGCATGTGATTCGACAAAGAATGCCACATTTTATCTTTAATCGGCCCGCGATGAAGAGTTTATTACAATCGCTTGTACTCGGCGGCCTTGGCGTCGGTTGTGACGTTGGGTGATTCGAGGCTCACGGCATGGCTCTTCAACGCAGGCGGCGCAAGCACGACCATCGAGTTGGTCAGGGCCGCCGCGACGGATGCGACCACAAAGCCAGCGGGCACGTCCGTCAACAGGATCTTGTCGTTCGAGGTCAACTTGACTCTACAATGTCATGTCAGTCACGACAACAGTCGCAAGGTACAAATCGTACGAGTTCACAATGTCCTTCGCTTGCTTCAACACGTCGCCATGGGTCAAGGCGGCGCCGCGGGTCGGATTTTGGCCGTTGTTGCCTGGGCCATCGTCATGAGTTTTTCCTGGGTAAACACGAGCATAAAGAACGGCTCGTACGGGTATAGGACACGACGAGGGGCGTGGTAGCATCGATTTGGGCAGTGCGCTCTTCGGCGTAGTACGATTCCAACGCGTTCACGAGCATGCGGCGGAATTGGAGGAAGTTATGGACAGGGTCAATTGCTGTCGTGATCACAGTGTGAAAGTGGCTCGCGTACGGCTGGTTTTCAAACACTTGCTTGGCCACGTCGGTCGAGTTTGCTTCGTTGTTCTTGGGATCGAAAAGCAACGCGACGGCCTTGCTGTCCTTGACCACAAATTCCAATTCTTCGACCGTCGAGATGGACGGGTCGACGGCCGCGATGTTGAGCCCGGCCTTGGCAGCAGCAAACTGCGCGACCAAGTTTTCCGCGTTGTTGGGCAGCCACAATGCGATCGTGTCGCCCTTTTTGAATTGCAGCTCCAAGAAACCGTTGGTCAGCTCGTTCACGAACTGATTGAATTCCTGGTAGCTGAAGCGCAAGTCGTCGTCGCGGTCGACGTTGTTGAACGCGCGGACAGCTTCACGATGCGGCAGCGATTCCACCGCCTTCTCCAACGTCAAACCAACCGTGGAGAACGGCGCCATTGCCATCGTCGAAACAGGGCGAGCGGCGCGGCGCAGCGAGCGAGCAAGGATCGAGTGCATCACGGCGAGAACGGGCTCTTGGCTCCCAACAATTCAAGTCACTTGCGCTGACACCAGGAAAAATCCTATCATTTTGGATATTAAATGTCAGAGGTATATTCATTTGTGGTGCCAACGCGCATGGTGTATCCGTACTCATCCGGATGACTGCCATTTCAACATGTTCCACCGATTGACGCGCCAAGTCCAGGCTGCCGCTGCGCCGCCGCACTCTCGAAGTTACACGAACAAGAAGGTGTTCCTGCCTCTATTGCGCTCGTTCAAGCAAGTCAACTCGTCCGCGGCCTTGCCACCCACGCTCTTCCAGAAGAAGATCGTCATGGTAACTTCTCCGGTGGTTGCAATGAATGCCCCCGTTCACATGCAATACGTGAAATTACAGGTCGTCAACACCGCGTCCAAATGCGGCCTCACGCCACAGCTCAAATCTCTTCAAGAACTGCACACTCGATATGCTGACAAAGGACTCACGGTCCTTGCTGTACCGTCCAACGATTTTGGCGGCCAGGAGGTTCGATTCCGTTGTGATACAATGCACCATGGCAGTCCTGTTGTATCTATAGCCAGACGATGACGCGACGCTGGAAGCTTTTTACAAGGCCGAGTACAACGTGGCGTTCCCTATCACGACCAAGTCGAAGGTCCTCGGCGACGACGCGCACCCGTTCTACAAAGCCATTATTGAGCACTACACAGACGAAGTGTCTCCTTCGTACGTCCGTCGATCTCGTCGTGTGCCGAACCCCCACGTTCGTGAAACCATTCCATGCAGGTGGAACTTTGAAAAGTTTGTTGTCGACGAGACCGGCGACCTCCGCGCTGTATTCCCTCGCAACGTCGACCCACTCGAGCCTGAAGTTATCAAAACCATCGAGCTTCTCCTCAAGAACGTCGCGCCGGCGTCCACGTCGGCCTAAGTCGACCCGACAATGCATTCAACTCACGATGATCTTGTTCATGGAAGAGGTCTCGCCCCGTCGATGGAGCGACTCGTCTGTCGCTCCTCTAGCACCATTACGTCTTCGTCGTACAGTTCCAGGTGAATATCGGCCGTCACCACATACGACAGCCGTTCGATTTCGCTGCGCCATCGTTGTCAGGTACACTCGTTAAAGCGAGTCGAAGGTACGAACCGTCGCGCGCGTCGAGCAATGCTGTGGACCTCCCGCACGGCCATGTCTGGATGTACGACAATCGTCACATCCAAATCTGTCCCATAAGTCTGGCCGAGTTCACACGAGTTGTCGCGGCGAACAACCCAGTGGACATTCACATGGGTGATGCTTAGAATCTCGGGAATCGCCTTGACAGCGTGCAGCACGTCTTGCTTGATTTCCCGAAAAGGCCGCATCTGTGCTGCTGGTGCGTCGGCCGCCTTGTTGCCGTGCGGGTCAACGTCGCCGTATTCTACATCCATCAACGTGGTTTAGCCGTCATGTGTGGACGTCACTTTAGTGCAGCACGATGCATGACCCCCGGCGCGTTAGGTTCATGCAGAGGGACGGCAACTTACCGTTGGCCACGTCGATGTGCACGAGGACTTCGGACACATCGGGCACTCGCTTCAGCACCTCAGCCTTCACGCGGGCAGCCACTTGCTGCGCTGCGGAAACACTCGTCCGTCCATGAACCTACCGCATGACAGACGACGAGTGAAGAGGTTTCAATCGCCCGCCGTGTTCTCGATGCATAGCATGCGCAGACGACTCTGCGTGAGTGCCATCTAACTTACGTTGACACGGAGGTCCACCAACGTATACGGCCCCATGCGCCGGGCACGCACGTTGCTGACGGACACCACATCTTCGACACTGCTCGACTGTGGAAGGCAGTCGTTGGGTGTGCGATCGAGACGAAACGCGAGAGAAATGTGCCTACCGAATGACGCAGCAGGTCGAGCACCTCGTTTTCCACGCTTTTGTCTGTTAGTTCTCGCACACTACCGCGATGAACACGTGGGTGACGACGATGCACGACGGCATGGTGTCCAACTCACCTGTCCAAGCAGATATCGACGCCGGTCTTGGCAATCATGCCCGACACGATCGCTCCTGCAACTACTCGATCGTCAGATTTTGCGTCGCTCGCACGTTTGAAGCGTCAACGTACTCGGGTCGAATAGCGGAACGTTCGCCATGCTACCGAGGATCCCACCTACCGACATGGACGGCTGACGACGGAAACGATGTGGCGACTTTGACTCACCAAGGGCGACAACGGACGAGATCGCATCTGTGCGGTGATGCCACGCATTCGCAATCAATACCTATGCACCGTCGCACGTTCAACCGGGCAAAGGTAGGATGCCAGGCCATGCGTTGGTGGGACCTTGCTGTTCGTTTGGTTCCCAACGCGGACAGTGGCATGATACAGTGCCTCCTTGGCCCCAATGGACGCGACGGCCGCCCCAGCGGCGATGCTCCATTGCGTCGTTCGGTCCAGAGCTGCATGAGATTCCATGAAAATGCGCTAGTGAAGAAAAACGTGATGTAGTAAGTGTGTACGTACTCGTGAGAAAGGAAAAGTCGAGGGACGAAGGAACGGTGACGGCTGCATCGAGGAGCCCCGTCTGGAGGAGGTGCAGCGCGTCGTAACCCATTCCAACTCCAGCCGCCGTGAGAATTGCTCCCACCGTAAGCGACCCCACGGCTTCGAACTTGCCGTAGCCGTATGGGTGCTCGTCGTCCGGTGGAAGTCGTGAAATTCGGACAGCCCACAGCGTTACAACGTCCGAGAGGAGGTCCGAAAGGGAATGCACCGCGTCGGCGACGAGAGCAGACGAGTTGATCGCGCATCCGACAGTACCCTTGCATGCTGCCATCGCCACGTTCGCGTACATGCCAAGGCGCGTAATTTTCATTGCCTCTTCACATTGCAGGGAATTCGGATCGCCACCCTTGCTGTCGACGCTTCTAGTAGACGTCGTATGGCCACGAAATCGCTGGCGCGCCGTGTCCACCAAGATCGGGAGCGGTCTCGAGCATTGCAGCCCCTGAAGGTAACGTGTCGACCGCAGGAGCATCATCTCCGGCGTGTGTCGAGGTGTGGACTCTTGATGAATGGCCCAATCAACAGAAAGAATACATTTCATTGGCATATTTTCAACCAATCATTGGACAACGTAAGCACACACCGGAACGCTTTCGAAACTGACCTACCGCCATCGGCGGTGGCACTCACTTGTTCGAGTCAAGTGCGTCGCACCACGATCGATTCTTACGCCCACGTTGCTTTACCCAGTCATGTCATCGCTGCTGTGTCTAGGACGAACTGGTCTAGTTGCACACCCGTCAGTGGTATGCGCGACTTTCATGGTGACCATTCAGAACTGTGGACCGACGTGCTTGGCCGTCAAGGCATTCCTTTGGACGATGGGCCATGTTGATGATCACTTGAAGACTCATGACACGTCATGGCTGCAACATCTCATGTTCATGATGCCCTCGTAACATGCCGTGGCGCGTTTCATGTATCGCAAGCCTTCCAACTACTGGACGAAGCAGTCGCACGCTGCCGCCGAGGGATCCCCATCTCCCCACCCAACGGACCAGCGCGTCATCGCGATAGCTTCAGGTGACGCCGAGCGTTGAGCTCAATCAGTTGTCCAATGTGACGAGCGCCAAGTCGCTGCCGGCATCGCTGTCAATGTGCCGCGGAGAGCAGCGTTCAAATCGCGTTATCCGGATATTATCCGACGGCGGCTTTTCCGACGGCGTCCGGTTGCTATAAATACGGAACTTTGCCGAACGAAGCACTAAATTTTGCCGTGGTGCGCTGGGACAAGCGCGTCCACGACGGCACTGTTCAACTTGCCAAGATGGACGACAATCTGGTGCAATTCAAGGTGTTCTCTGCGGTGGCGATCTTTGTCCTCGCGCTTGGAGGGGCGTTGTTCCCGATATACGTTCTTCAGTTGAACGCCAAGGTGACTAGCATCCTCAACATGGCTGCCGCGGGCATTTTCCTCTCGGCGTCCCTGGTGCACATGCTTCCCGACGCGGCCGATAACGTCCCACTTCTCAATATGGGATGTGCCACGTCCATGTGCTTTCCGTATGCGTTTGTCATCTACGGCGCAGGCTTTCTGTTTATTTTGCTCCTGGAGTCCCTAGCGCACGCACTGCAGAAACGCTTCAACGGGTCCCCCGAGGAAAGGCTGCCACTCATCGTGAACAAGCCCCATATCGCCTACGACTCGTCCGACCAGTGCGTTACGTCTGAAGTCACTCATACGCACGTGCACGGACTCATTGACGCCACCTCGAACGCGTTTGTCGCGATCGTCGTGTTCGCCGCGTTGTCGTTCCACTCCCTTATGGAAGGCCTCGGTATTGGTGCCGCCACTTCCACGAGCGCGTGGCATATTTTTTTTGCGATCGTTGCTCACAAAGCGCTGGCTGCCATGGCGCTAGCCCTCGAACTTATAAAGCACCGCGTCGGGCGGGGGCGCCTCATGGGCAGTTTGCTTGTGTTTGCACTGATGACTCCGTTGGGAGTCGGCCTCGGCGCCTTTCTCGCTGGCAACGACCCCAATGATAGTTTTGCAAGCGGTGTGTGCACGGCGCTGGCTGGAGGGACGTTTCTATACGTGGGCGCGATGGAAATCATTCCACAAGAGCTCCACGACCGCCGCCATCTCGTTCACAAGGTCGTCGCGCTCGTCAGTGCCTTTGGCGCGTTCAGTCTGTTAGCGCTGTGGGTGTAGTAGGCGTTTATTTAATCCTTTCCTTGATAAGATTTGCATGTCGTTTGCTTCAAGCAGCGCATTCCTTCAAAACAAACTTTTCGGGATGCTGGGCATTGTTCACCTGCGCTCCAGGGTATCCACGAGATGTCGGCATGCAGCGACGTCAGCTAGCTACACAGGATGCACCGGCCGCTGCGGCAGGCAAAGGTTGTAAAAGCTCGTCGGAGGGAAGGACGATGCATGCCGCCAACCCACGGGCAATGCCTTGTACCCTTCCATGGCCACAACCTTATGCAAGTCAAGGACGACGATACATGCGACGTTCCCGCCGCACCTTGGTTAGCAAAGCCTGCACGTCCGCGTCGCCGCCGCTGTAATGCGGATCCAACACCAGCAACCACATGTCTGGCAGGTCTCTCTCGTCGGCGGTCGGTGCCGTCGCCACACCCACGATCGTGAACGCCAGCGATGCCCCACCTGCGCATCATGGCAGACACGTCAACCGAACGCAAGCCTCGCATTGCCTTACCCATCATGACAGGCGACCCGTGGATTAAAAAGTGCTCGGCCAACGTCGGTGCATGGCGCGGCAGGTCCCGGCCGCTTGCGCAGTAGATCGTTCGGCAGCTCACCTAACGCGCCATGCCCGCTCAAGTCGATGAAATCGCCCCTCCCGCAGCAACGCACACGAAATCGCTCTTCCAGGACGAATCCGACTTCGACAGTCCCGATCCAACCCCGCGAACCCACAAAGCGTGGCGGTTTGTCGCCAAGTTTGAACAAAATGTCTTGGATCTCGCGATGAGTTGGCACTGGCACCTACAAGAGGCTCAGCACCTTGTTCGCGAGCACCAAACACGCAGCATACGTCGGTGTACTGGTTCAGCCACAGCCACGACGCGAGAGTTTGCAACGAGCGGTAGGCACATCCCCATCCCTATGGACGCTGCATGCGGGCCACGGCTCACGCAACGACAATGCCATCGTACCTTATCTTGCACCCCTTGTTGGAGGTAGTGGTAATACGCCACCTTGCCCTGAACGAGATGGGTGGTGGGGACCGCGCTCTGGGCCGGGAACGACGCCCCCAAATGGATATTCACCAACGGGCGGTCAGCGTTTGTTTGGTCGTCGGCGGCGCTGGGTTGTAGCCATTGGCAGCGACGTCGCAGCACTGGCCGATCCATCGGCTGCACAAAATGCACATGCAGGTTGTGGCGCTGCGACGGCAAGAGATCGCGACGATCACATGTCCACACCCCAATGGGATGGACCGCCCCGCCGCGGAGCGGAAACTGCACGCACTCCAACGTTGAGACTGCTTGGTTTGCATCGCCATGCCGGTCAACTTGAAAATCCTGCGCTTTCTTCGCCTAATTGACATGGACATCAAGATGATCGAAACGCAGCCACCATGGACCTGCAAGGCGAGGCGCTTTACGAGTGCCGCGATGGCGTCCGCAAGAGGTAGTTCCCATGACACGCACGCAACTGCATCGAACGAAATCATCACTGCAGCGTCTGCCGCCATGCGACGATGAGTGCTCGTGCCCTCGATGCAGTTGACGCAATTACCGTGCGCTCCATGGGCATGCACTGTCCATGTGGGAGCGGCGGAGTTGCCTGAGGACAATGCCTGATACAACGTCACTGGATGGTGCGACGTGCTGTAGGGAAGGCCGCGACAAGCCGATTTCAACTGCTTGGGGAATACGTCGCACAGCAAACGCCGCTCAGGATGCGAGTCCGTGGACGGCAACTTGCCACGGATGACGTCGCCAGCTTGGTTGACCATGACTGGTCCCAACGACGCGTGCAATTCAAAGAATGTCTGCGATGGGTCCATTAACGCTCGTCGGAATTCGTCCAGCGCGCGGGAAGGCGAGTACGGAGGTGCCAGTGATGTCGGTGTCACCTGCACATGCGTGGTGTGGAAACGAAATGGAATGAGAGGCGCTACCCTCGAGAGCTCGATCGAAAAGGCGCATCGAAGCATGGTGCACTTAATGGAAGACAGGAATTCAACGGGATCGTCTTCGTCATCGTCTGCAACGGCTTCCAGTGGAATGGTGTTCCATGTCGATGGCGCACGGTCCTAGGATGGCGCGTTTGGAAGTGCGCGAGGAGGACGACGACGTACGCGTGTGTGCATGGAAGGTGCTGGCGAGAATCGCACGTGGGCTTGATGCGTGTCGCGGTCGTAGATCAGCACATACATGCGAGTGTCTTGTGTGCAGACGAAGTCGCCGCGTTGACGTCGCCTCGCCACGGATTGCTCTATTCGTGTATGCCCTCGTAAAGCCATTTTTCAGACAACCCCTCCCTGCCCTACCTAACTCTTCTTTCGACGTGCCTGCGTGAACAATCAATATGGGACCAAGCACTCGCAAGCCACATGGCCACATATCGCAATGAGGGTCTCGCTGTCGTAAGCCCGCATGGTCGCAACTGTCGCTTGTGGTATAGAGAGACCACACCGCCAGCGCGGCGTCTGTATCCATGCCAACAAAGTATGCGTCAGTGTCTTCCAGCCGAGCAATCGCCTCCAGCAGACCGCGTGGCACCGTTCCGCGTACCAGCTTCGCCATAACAGATTGCTCAAATGATGGACGTGACCACTAAATAGTGTGCTGTTTTTTGTTGACAGTGGTGTTGTAAGTTGGTACCTTATACAAGTACATTTGCCCGAATTCGTTGCGACTGGCGCCAGAACTTTTCAGATTTTTGGCTACTTGGTCACCATTCCGGAAAAACGTTGCTTGAACAAGTGCTCCATTGCGCGCAACAGCGCTCGCTCCTCTCACAACACGTAGCGGAAATGCCGGGCCGCTATCTTCGACGTCATGGAACACTTATAACAGCGGGGACTAGTGTAGTCCGCTTGCTGCATTGGGGTGCTACAACAAATGTCCCGTTTCCATTATCTTAATCGTTTGAAAAAGGCATGCATGCATTGGTTGAAATAAAACCACTGAGTTTTACAGGGTATTTACTCGGGATGGCCACCACTCAGAGCGCTCGAAAGAACAGGGTGGAATTCAACTACTTCAACTAGTGTAGGTTCGCTGGATGTGGTGAGATGCAAGCCGTCAAATAGTGTGTCGATGTGACGTACACTAAATAGAATCTATATACACTATTTCAGTGTCCGACATACCCAAGGCAAGATACCGGCCAGTTGGCAATTGCACCAACCTTCCACAATTGCGCACTCGAGCGGATGTTGCGTCAACTGAGCGGGCCATGCGAGGCATCGACGCGGGGGTCTGTCGGGTCGGTGCTCAGTACCACGCAGTTCATTCGGCGAACGACCTTTGCCTCGGCGTCGGCGAAGACTCACCACGCAACCAGGCCATCCCCGGTCGCGGAAGCGGCACGCACGCCAGCAATCCCGTCATCATGTGCCCTACCTGTGTACATCTACCCGCTCCTCGTTCCGGTGGCGGGCTTGATCACCATGGCGGCGACAATCGGGTATAGCTGCACCCACCAGTTCACGTGCTCCGAACTGTACCCGACGCTGTCGACAGCGGCCAAGTACCATCCGCAGTTTCACATCTTTGCCGTCGGGATGAACATCACGTCATACATGATCTTCCTGACCGTGTCGCTCTACTCGACGTTCTTGCTTCGGACGTGCTCATCTTCGTCTTGGCAACGACCCCTTGCGTGGATTTACTACGCGTTTGGCCTCCTCACCTGCATTGGCCTCAGCACGTTGGCGACGTTCGACCTGAAACGATGGGAGCTCATCCACATCGCCGCCACGGTTGCCTTTTTCGTCAGTTCTTGGGTCATGATGTTCCTTGCGCAAACGTCACGATGGATGCTGCATTACCAGAAAGCCGCGGCGGTGCAAGCGCACAGGTAAGAACCCGTCGCCTCTCTCGAAAAAAATCATCGCTTAAAGCGGGCCTGCTGCAGGCGGGCGTTGATGTGGGGCAACGTGTGGCTTGGCGCAGGCATCGCGCTTTCTGTGAGCTGTACGTGCGCCTGCTGGCTTCGTCTTTGGTCTCATCGATGGGCTAGTTGGATTTTGCTATCTTTCGGTCCACAAACACATCGAGAACGTGTTTCACATCACGTACCTCATGGAAGCCATGTGCGAACTCTTTTCTATCGTGTGCCAACTGCTGTTCATGGGCACGTTGGCGGCCGAAGTCGGTGACTTGGACGGGATCAAGGCTTCCTTTCACAAAGGCGACGCCGTCGTCCTCGGCACCATGCTCGTAGCGGTCGTTGCAGTCGAATTCATTTAGTCGATGCGTCTGAGCCATCAACCACATGCTACTTAATATACTTATTTCGTTTGGATTTGACACTTACTGCGCGCCCCCGCCACGCTCTCGATGAGCTGCGAACGGTACCGCTAAGCTCTCGACGCTTCATCGTCGTCCTGCAGCATGCTGTAACCCTCCGCCTCGTCGCTCACCCACCGCTCCTTCGCACGCTTCGCCCCATGAAGTTCCCGTTATTTTGGGATGCCGTCCGCTGCGCCTGCAGAGTACTGCTTGCATGGTTCATTGCGCTTTCTAACTTTATTCCTATACGTCGGCGCTTTGTGGTCACATGATCGAGCACTCGCCTTCTTCGCCGTCTTCTGCGCTGGCTGCCCGGCCGAGCCCCCCCGCGGCGGCGTTCGCTGGCTGAGCTTTCTTGACCGCGTCGACCGCTGCCGCTTTCAGCTTCTCTTGGCACGCGCAGGCAAAGCTCGACGAAACACCGGCAAAGTAGCATCGGTTGCAATTGTCGCAGTGAACGTCGCGGTGGTCACCGCAACGTTTGCACTTGGAGCAATGGTTCCGCCTGTGCTTCTCTCGGTCGCACAGCTTGTTGCTGCACCACGAAAAGTCGTACATCTTACCGCAGTCGGCGCACGTGTATCCGTCAATGCAGTCGAGGATCGTGAGCTCCTTGGCTGACGAGCAGCACGGCGCCGGAAGCCGTTCGTGGAGCTTTGTCATCATGTCTCGGATCTTGGACAAGTTGTGCATGAAGCAGTCGTCCTTAATCAGGGACGACACGTCGATCCCAGCCATGGCGATGCTTAAGAACGGGTTCTTGCACGACGTGCACCGACACGTGATTCCACACATGCTGCCTTCCTTGACACATGCACACCGGCCGTTGCGGCAGCCACCGGCACATCGACACGAATGCATCTTGGACGTTGGTGGCGCAAGAACAACCATCGGCGATGGAGTTTGGATCCCTCCATGTGGGTACTGCTGAGCGTTCGTTGCAGCCACGGCGGACGAATTTGCAGGCACGTTCGGGCGCGGCGCAATCGGCACTACCCGGGCAGATGGCGCGGCGGGATGCGACGCCGCAGGAACAAGGGTCTGGGAGTGGTTGAGCACCATCCAGTAGTTGGGCATGGTGGTCGCAGGTGTGAACGCGATGGGGGGCTGTTGTGTGGCGTGTTGATGAGGTTGCATCATACACACGGATGACATATGAGGCTTGTCGTCAAATGAAGCGAGATCTTCGAGGATTTCCATGTCTTCCATCGGAAGCAAGTCCGTGTCGTCTGAAATCGATGACGCCGACGACGGCGAAATCGACGCATCGTCGTGAGCGAGGAACGACAAGAGTTCCGTGTCCTCCATTAGGGACGATGGATCGCTGGATGTCGGGGTCGCGTCCATATCGTCGTCGCTGTCATATGCCATGAGAGCATCCACAGGCTCGAGAACTTGTGTAACGAGCTGGACGCGGTCGACGCTGCTACGGCACAACGGACACGTCCGGTTTGACCGGTACCATCGAAGAAAGCAACGGCTGTGAAATATGTGCCCGCATGGGACGATCTGGGTATGCGCATTGCCCGTCAAACAAACCGAGCACTCGTGGAGAGACATCTCGAGATGCGGGGCCTTCTTTGAGATGGCAGTGCATTCGCGGGCGATTTCAGCTTGAACGCGGTCGATCGACGGCACGGTAGGAGACTGACCGTACAAGTACTGCTTCGATGTGTACAACGACGCTTCTTGCTTGAATGCGACTTGGTTGTAGGTCGAGTGGTGTGTGTTGTGGACGTGGTGAGGATAGTACGGCGCTTGAGGGGCGGCGGCGTAGGGGTTGACCGATCGATCCGAGTCAACGCAGACGACCTTGCCAGCCACATGGGAGCCCCATCCATCCAGTTGAACGCGCTTGACACCTGGCATGTTGTTGTGGAAAGGAATGTGTCGGCGTCGGCGGCGGTCGCGGCAACGGTTCGAGGTCCCAATATGGCAAGAACCCGACTGATTCGGTTGGTGTTTCACCATCAACATGTCGCACCGTGCTGAATCTCACCTGCTTTCGTCGGGCATCCCCCCTTTTTGTCTACAATGGATGGGCCTCGAAACTTTTATTCTGAACCATCTTTATACTTGTTCTATGTATTCCCCTTAGGTTTTTATTTTCTCGTCCACCCACACCGAGAGAATTCGGTGCGATTGGCCGGATAAAATTCGACGTTTCCGAATGCCGCCTCAACTTCAACGCCCATCTCTGCGACTCTGCGCGCTGTCCACGCGGCGCAAGCTCGTCGTCGGGAGGCTGCGCCTGGTCGAGCCCAGTATCGACCAGCCTCCATCGAGTATGCGCCAAAGACATGGTCGCAGTGGATACTCTGACATGAGCAGGACGGGCCCGGTTGGTTCTGTAGAGGGATGGAAGGGTGGGATGGGAGATGTTGGGTCGTGGAGGGTCGACACTGTGTGCGGGGGGATGCGACGACGCCACGAAACGCCGTTTGCCGAGTAGCACATTTATCGTGGAGTACGACAAGTTGCCGTGACGATCGATCCATCGTTTCGGTTTTCGTGCCGAGATGGCCAGCACCGCGTGACATGCTGGTTCAGCGGCGAATCCACGGTGACGTATTACTCCGACGCACGCACACCACATTGTCTTGCTGTTTTTACTGCCGACATGGGCGCAAGGTGCGCGCGTTTCTTTGGAATCGGCCACCGATACCCACCTCGACCAGTCTCTTCTGTGCATACCACGTTAGAACATCCGCGCTGAACCTTGCTCCTTTGGGCGTTCCTGCGGCGCATTGCGCGATACATCCACGCTGACTATGTGATCTTTCATCGGCGGATCGCTCCCCCCCATTCAGCTCTGGGGATGCAGTGTGCTAACAAGCGTTCATCGTGTTCCTGCCTCCGAGAACCGCCAGGTATTTTACTCGACATCGAGCGATGTCGACTGTTCGTCACCTCCAGCCAATCACATGCGTCCAATTGCACGAACAGCCAATGAAATGATAGTGCCCATCGTGTTCACCACGTCAGCGCGGTGCAGGTCGCCGCAGCGGCGGCCAACTCGAGATGCTTCAAGCGACGCACCCTGCGTCTTCGGGCATACACATCGAAACTCTTGACGCGGTAGTTGGATGGTGCCAATGCGAGTTCGGAACAACCTGGCCTCGATTCGCCTCCCATCCGACAGCACAATGTTCATCGCGGAAGACCTGGGGACACTCTTGCCGTGTCAATCCAAAGGGCTTGCGGGTCCGTGTCATGGCACGCCGTACGTAAGTTGTGCGAATGGCTCCTAGCCATCGGCCACGCTCTTCGTTCTCGCCGTTGCCAGCATCAGGACGAGTGCACGTCGCACAACCGACATTGTGGTGAAAATTATTCACCGCAAATAGACTCCGCCGTTCGCCTTGTCGTACGAGCCTCAGAGCCGCCATGCACCGGTCTGTCCTCTGCACTTGAGAAGAATTGCATGGCCATCGTGTGGAAGTTCTCCTTTGCGCGACCACGAACGGCAGCGACCGAGGCGTGTTTGACAGCATGAATGACCCAAACCACAAGTGAGCATCGAGATCATACTCACACGCATCGGTCGTGCCTTCCTGGGCCTGTACCGTTGGACCACGTTAGTTGATACAGACGACTCTGCACTGAGTGTGTCGTCGGCTCCTCGAAGGACGCTGCTAGTTCCATCATGTTGGCTGGTTTGCCAAACGTAATGGAGCAATCGATGTTGCTGGCTCGTGGCCAATGTCAGCAAAGTCGCGCGTCAAGCTCAAGTGTGTTTGGGGGCATTTGCCGAGTGCTGTACTCCGATTCATTTCGCATCGTCAAAGGTCGAACGCGTGCAACGTCACTTGTCGTGGCCTGGTGCCCTTGACATTGTCTGCACAACCAGTCACGACGCCGCGGACCCCATCGATTTCTCGTTCCCCATGTCACCTGCTCGCATGCGACGGAAACGTCTCTGTGTCGACATCGCTCGGCAATCGAGGCAAGCGCTTCTCGCAATCTCCCCTTGGTTCCTCGCATTTTTGCCTCTCCTTCTTTGTTCCTGCCGCTCCATCGCACAGAAACAATCGCGTCCGCACTCGATGGCAACATTCATCGTGCTTACGCGGGCAGGGGGGTGGGAATCTGGCGGTCCTAACAACTTTTTTTCTACACGCCCGTGGCCAGGCAGCCAGGGTGCTTGATACAACGTGGTGGTGTCGGCCACCACCGATTTGAGTTTGTGCTTGCCAATTGCTGTCTTGGCACGTTTTTTTGTCATAAAAATGCTGGGCGTCGCGCGGCCGTCATGCTACGGTCGATGACGTGCCAAACTTGAAGAGGTTGCCAGGGTTCCACGACTGGGAGCGCTACCATTCCGGCTCAGTTGACTCGAGAGCGGACGTCAAACCTGATGGGGCCTGGATGGAAGAGGCGCGGACAATGGGGCGGCGCGGAGGTTGGACGACGATGCCATCGGTGCAAGGGATGCCCTCTGGGTGCTGAGCGTTGGCGGCGTCGAGTGAAACGCGTGGCTTGCGATGGACCGCTGGGATCCGCCACCACCGCTGTGCAGCCGTGCTTGCTTCCTTGCGTACAGAAGCAGCGTGATCCACGACTGCATCTTCTCGGCCGAGTTGGCGCGTACGTACACGCTGTGTTCCCCCGCCAGTTCAATCTACACACGGTCATGTTGGCCATCTCCCATGACGGAGCTTCCCGGACGGAATCGCACCGTGAAGTCAGTGTCGTTGATCGGCGAGATGCGCACGACGACGCGCATGTCGATCTTGCCTTTGGGTGTCTTCCAGTAGCTGCGAGCAAACAGCGCGAGTTCGCCCTTGATGAAATCCAGGTAAAACCAACGCTTGTCGAAGCTCCCAAACAAGTGCACTCGACCTGGCTTGAGTACGCGAAGGTGGCCGAAATACGGCGCCATCGACGACGCTGGCAGGTTCAGGTTGATGCCCATGAGGTAGTTGCCCGCAAACGATGCTTCGCTGTCCATCTCGTCATCCGTGTCGTCCTCTAGGTCCGAGTCGCACAGGAGCTTGAGGCGCAGCCGATCAATCGCCGCCATCGTGTCCTTGCCGTTCCGAAATGCTGACGACGTTTGTTCCAAGTTGGTGCGCAGCTTTCGCGTTTCAAAATAGATCTTCGACACAGCCGCGCGACTTTGCATGTAATCGTGGAAGAGTTCGTCCAACGATGCCTTCTCTTCAACGTCGTCGTATTCCTGTTTGTCGGACCTTTTCGGCGGACACACTGCAGTGACCGTGCCGTCCGGTGCAATCATCATCGGTGGGTTGTCCTCGCCCCAGAACGTCTGTCGTCCCCACGTCTCGATGAATCCCTTCACCGTGTTGCCTTCCACATCATCGTAATACCCTGCCGACTCGAAGAACGCCACGCCGTCGACCGGTTCGTCGCTCTATAATCAAAGCATGCCAATCAGTCCCACCTACACGATCCACCGATCTCGAATCGTACCGCGTACAGCTCCTCAAGGTGCTTATCGAACAGTGTTGACCGCGGACCCTCGCTCACCGTGTAGCTCATGGTGTCTCGGTGGAAGTACCCGCTGTCTTGGCGGGTCAGCGTCGAGTTTGACGGGATGTCTCCTGGGGCCATATGGTCACGCCTGCTGCTGCTGGGGTTGCTGGTGGCGCAGGGATCCCGTTCGCAGTTGTGGATGGCTATCCGCGTGGGCTGTATCCGCAATGGCAGTGGTGGCTGCGAGTGTGGTGACTGTCGAGGGGCTGCTGCTCTCGTCGACGCTGCGCGCGGCTCCAGCAAGAAAAGTGATCGCAGGTTTCTACAATCTCGTGGCTTGACAAGAAAATGTCGCGCCATTGAAGCGTTTCACTTGGAATTTGTATTGAAGTCGAATAAAAATGCGACTCGCGTAACCCACGCGGCATTTCTTAGGCCATTTTTTCCGGGTGAAAGCAAATTTTGAGAAATAATTTCCCTACATCAAACACAGACAAATCCATCGAGGCAACAAGCTATACATATCGATGACGATCCTCCGTCTGGTTCCAGCACTGTTCCACGCCGTACATTATCAAGGGAATACACTGATGCCATTGCCTTGGGCAAATCGACCGACGTCCCTTCTCAAAACTGAACAAACCCGCGAGTGGAGCGAGCTCCACGGCGGGCAACGCCTGGTGCGTGAGGGCTGCCCGTCCAATCGCACGAAGTGTGCCTCTTGCAAGAGGGTAGCGGCGGTAACGTTCGAGCCTCGCCTGGCACATGCAGGGATATCTGTGTGAGCCCTGGACGAGAATTGAAGCGCTCAGAATGATGGTGCTTCCATCCACCGGACGATCCAAAGTACTGTACTGACCAGCGGAAGTGCCGTCCGCGCAGGCACCCCTCGGGAATGGAGCGGGGGCGCATGGCAGGCTAATGGCCGGCCGAATGCACCGAAGAGCCGTCGACGTTGTACATCCAAACGCTGCGATCGTAAGCATCGTGGCGACTCGATGTGATCTTGCCGGCGAAAGGCACAGTGCAGCCGAGGAAATTTCCACTGTGTCGGGTCGACGATTGGGTACCAACCCCCACCTTACGACGTGTCTGGTCGGGAGCCGCTGGAAACCTCACCTTGTTGTCCACGTGTTGACGTAACCCACGGCAGCGGACGGCGGCGCTCGACGACGTTCGGGCTCGCTTGGATATCTCACGCCGCCTGTCGCAGTTCCATGGATGCGCATTTCCAACGGCAATCTTTCGTGGTTTCGCCCGCGGTGTCCATCAGGCCAATGTAAGTGTACCATCGACGGATTCCGTGCAGCACAGTGTGTGAGGATGGTTCGCACGGGCGACCCATAGAACCATTCATTTTGCTGGCCCTGCAAGCTCTTCCCTTCATGCCAGCGAACAGCGGAGCCCTCCCCGGCCACTCGTTCTTGCCACCCATTCTGCACCGAACGAATCAACGATCGGAGTATTCGGTGATTTCATTGGGCATTCCCTGGAAACGTGCTTCTGATTGGCCAATAGAGAGCACATTCTATCCAATAGTAGGAGGGATTGTCGTCGAGTTGCAACTGCCATCGAAAAAGACGATCCCCGCGCCGCCGAGATCGAGTAGTACGCGGGGATGAGGACGGACATGCTGGTGTGGATGCCCGCGATATCATGGCAAAGCACCCAAAAGCAGGTCGATGCGCCACAGTCGGCCTCAACCTCACGCTGCGCATGCTTTGCTTACGGGTAGTACATCTCTCGTCCGTGAGAAGTAACGGGACAAACTCAGGGCGATATAGTCCTTTGGATCGCGATCGATTTGAACATTCGTTGGTCCGTACGAGCCAGCAGCACAAGTGACGCCGCCGTGGCCCGAGCGCATGCGACGATGCATGCGATTTGCGGCAGTTGTGGCGAGTATGACGTGCACCAAGACATGCAAATGTACCGTCGGTTGCAGGGTGCGACACCACTACTTCCATCCGCGGTATGTCCATCGGAACGACGTCGAAGTTACCAATGTCTACGACCTCATGGCGGCATTGTACAAGTTCGTGGGGATCCCCGCCTCCCGAAGGCGGTGGCATGGATGTCGTGGTTGCATTAGCATCGCATTGTGGCACGAGCGTGTCGTCAAGGGGCATTGCAACTCGTGAAGGGACTACACACTCACCGGGTGGGCATCATGGCACTCCGCGGAGGCAACATCCCGTGGTCAAATGCTTGTGCACTGAATGGCTTGACACAATGTGGACGATGGGAGCGGCTCGCGACGCGCCAAGGATTTGTCGGCGCCGGCTTTTACACAGCCCCCAAAGGACTGGCGACAGGATGGTCGGAGCTCTGTGCGCCTGCCCCCCACCCTTCCACTCCATTTTCCCATTTGTGCCGACGACGGAGCGATGTGATATCCAGCCATGGAAGCACGACATGCTCCACTGTGTGCACAGCTATTGTCATCTTGGTGTTGTGAAGCGCCGCCGCTTCCTGGCCGATGTGAACAGTGCTGTCCAATTTGCGGCGGGTTCTTTTGCGGGGATTTGTGTGCAGACCAAGATTTCGCGAGCATGGGTGCGTGTTGTCAAAGGAACTTGCCCCTGCAGGTCGTCGAGGCTCGCCGCGATCACGAAAGTACCTTGCTTTGAGCAACAGCTCGATGTATGCTGGATCTGGCGTGAAGTACATGGCCACGCGCCACTTTCGAGTGAGTTATGGGCTTGCACAACGCCATGGACATTCGCGCCAAGGGTGAGAGATCTTCCGCACGATAGCCGGTCTGACTTTGAGCTGACCACTCCATCGACCGTACAAGGAGGGGTCTTGTCACGTCGCAGGTTCGCGGCAAGCAAATCGATGGATTCCACGACTGCGTCGAGATCGCTCTCGCCCCGACGTTGCTTTGTGTGAAGCCAAGCTCGTGCAAACCGTGATGCGAGTGCTTCAGTGCGACTCCGCAGTATGTATGTATCGCGTGTGCATTCGTGCCGTCGCCGGCGTCGCAACTATCGCGCCAACATGCTTGGGACAAGTGGCCAACCCGATATTTAAAACTCGTGGTGCATGACTTGGAAATTGTATCTACATAAAAAATTGACAAAATAAATTCAACAGCATTTGGTTCCATACAAAGATCAAATCAATTTAATGGTCAGGTGAAAATTGACGAGTCCTCGAAAACGGCGTCGTTTGTAATTCGACAGAACGAGATCGCGACGTCCCGCAGCATGGCGCGGCGACACAGCGCGGAGGATCCCCTGATGGACCATGAATTTGAAGGTGGCGCGCATGACGTGCTTCGCGCGAACTCGTCGCTGAGCGAAGTCCGCGGCGTGCACTTTGACAGTGAATTAGCGACTCCTGAATCGGACGACATGACGCAACCCACAGCGGTGTACCGCAGCATGTTTTCCCACCGATCACACTCGTTTGGCACACCGTCCTCTTCAAGAAAAGAAAGCTCAAGCTTTGGATATGACGATGTCACGATGGGCATTGGCGTCGGCACGCCGCAGTCGTCCCCACGATCACTTCGCGACGTATCCCGCGTGTCGGTGCAAGAAATTGCGCGGGACATGGTATTGAACCGCAAGCTAATCGACGAAGGTGTCGGTCTTACGCACCCTGACGACGTTCGCGACAGCATTCGCATGATCCAAGTGCGTATGCATGCCCATCTTCGTGCTGGAGGAGCTCCCATGGTTGTTGTAGGCGCATTCACGTCGTGAACTGCCACAAGACTGTGACCTAAAGTCCACCGCGCGCATCAAGAACAAGTCGTACACTCTGACGTTGTCGCGGGACACCTTAGCGTGGTTCCAGGAGTAAGGCAGCGTTCTCCGTCTTCGTTGACACCTTGACTGGTTTCATGACCACGTATCTAGATCCAAACGAGTGGGATTTATCGACACCGACGATATCGTGGGGGCCGAAGCATTGTCTGGCGGCGCGACCTCGGCGTGCTTCCGCGTGCACTACTTTCGAAAGGGCAAAGGTATTCCTTTCCTCTCGCATTTCCATCTCGTGTTTCATGCACCGTCCAGGATCGAAGCCGTCCAAAGCGCTGCTTCGCACCCATCACGTGTTGGTCATCGACACGTCGAGCGAATGTGTCGCTAGTGCATGGATCCGGTCGATCCAGGAGCTTGTCCGGTGGCAAGCGCGCGCCCCGCCGACGTCACAGAAACGGCGCATCCGTGTTGTTGTGAACCCGCACTCGGGCCGTCGCAATGCCCCGCGCATTTGGGAGCACGACGTCAAGCCGTTCTTTGACCTGGCTGGGTTCGACTACCACGTCGACCACACGACGTACGGCGGCCACGCAGTCGACATGGGCCGCGAATACTCGACCGACGAAGGCTACGAAGCGATCGTGTTTGTATCTGGGGATGGCACGATCTGCGAGTACATGAACGGGTTGCTGGCGAGGCCAGAGGCAGAGTGGAGACATGTCGTCGCAACGACGCCCATCTCGCTCATCTCTGCAGGTGCGTGATGTCGATGCGTCGTCGACTGGACGGTTCGGGTGAATCACAAACGCAGCTTGTTGAACGTGTGTCTGGCGTCAGTGACATGGCGCTGGAGCACGTTCGATCGAGTCGATGGGGGACATGCGTGTACTACTCGAACAGTTCTTGCTGACGCTCATTCGATGTGTTGCAGGCACGCAGAACGCATTTGGAACGGGCGTTGGCATCCCCACCACGGCGGCGGCGGTCTATTGCATTATCAAGGTATATCTATATCGCCGCGTTTGTGCGTGTATGTGTTTTCGAGCCCTGCCATGCATCGCTCCGTCTCCCGCGTGGTGGTGTTGTATGGGCGGCAAGGCCGCCATGGATGAAAGCCCCTCGGACAAACTGTGTCCCTTGTCTAGCGAAAGCTTCGCCCGCTGGATGTGTGCACGGCGATGGCGGCCGATGACCACAGCACTGTCCAGTACAGCTGCTGCGGGCTCGGTTGGGGGGTCCCCGGCGACATTGCCGCCGAATCGGAAAAGTACCGGTGGATGGGAACGAAGCGGTATGCGTTCCTCAAAGTGAAGCGCGCGCTGTTCCCGAAGCGGCACACCGGACGCCTGCAATATGTGCCACTTAAACCACAGCCTCCGCTGCGGCCGTATGACGAGATCAAAAACTTGGGCGCTGACGATCAGTACGAAGTGGTAAGGGCATTCGCCACCGTCCACCGGATCGGCTTGAATGCATGGGAGGGTTGTTGCGTGGCTCAGTTGTGCGCGGCACTTGTAGGAAGAAGGCAACATTTACGATGGCATGGCCAGCGTGCGCAACGCGAGCTTACGAGCTGTGACCAAACTGGCCGGTGCAGGTAAGAGATGCCGGTGCGACGTCCCAGTGGTGCATGACGTGGTTGTTTTTGTAGTCCGTAGTCCCGCCAGTGCACGGCGCTTCCGTGAAGAGTGGTGGACGGCCGAGACGGGATCGTATGTGGCCGTGGGGGTGCTGAACTCGGCTCCCGACGGCGCGTACTGCCATCCATCGGACGGGTGCCTCGACCTGCTCGTGGCCCGCAAGGGGAATCTATTTCAGATGCTCCATCTCGCCGTGCTGTACTTGCTTGGAAAGGAGGAGAAAAGTTCGCTCATGTCGTACGTGAAAGTCAAAGCAGTCGTCATATCCCAAAACGAATCGGACGGCGTGATGAACATGGACGGCGAAGTCCTTCCTGGCCCCGGACCCTGGCGCATGGAGGTTGTCCCGAGCTTGTTTAAGGTGCTTTCTGAAAAGTAGCGCCATTTTTATTCCAATGCGACCATCCTGTCGGCCATGACGCCGCACACCTGGATGCTTACGTGCGCCATGCATTACAACGGCAGTCCCCATCCGTTCATGTTCTCGACGGTTCTCCGAGCCTGTGCTAGTCGCATTGCTCCTTTGTTCGTCGCGCTCCAGATCGTAGAGACCATGCTTGACTCGGCAACGCGATAGCAAATGCAAAGTGGGCATCATCATCGACAAGCGGTCGCATTAGGTTGGCGCAGAAACAACAGCCCCTCGCTCCAAGTCCCATGGCAAAGGTGAAAGCAGGACGAAGTTGCATGGCTGCCACGCGCGGGGACCGTCGCCATGGCATCGTCCGTATGCAGCATGATGGTGGGAGGGATGGGAAAGCTCGGCATGTGGTGCGAGTACGTGCGTCGCACACATCTTTGCAATAACAAGAAACGAACATCGCGATCCAGTCGATTCACATCGTGGCGGATGACTTCACCGAGAAATGCAGTCGACTACTACGACATGTAGGGGGGCATCATCGGGCCATGTCTTGCTTCCGCAGCACGGCAGGTTGCCACAGTTTGGTCATGGCGCACGATGCCGACACGAGTCCGCACACAGCGTCCTGCAGCGGCGACGCCGTCGGCCAGTCGAACGCTCGTCGGGTCGAGTGAAGAAAGTCTGCCAACAGCTTGACTTGGGAGAGCCACACCGACAGGTACTTGGCTCGGCAATTGTGGAGGGCCACCGCGCTTTCCTTGGTCTGGTCGAGTCGCTGAACGGCTTCCAGGAACGCACGACGAGCGTCCAAGAGGTCGGCCGTGTTGAGGGGCACGTCGCACGCCACCGTGGCGAACCAGAGCCGGTCGATCCAAATTTCCAACGACGTAGCCACCTACGATATGGTTCGTTGAGTCGGGTCGGAGATAGAATGGCGAGGACGTACGGAAGCAGACAGGAGGTTCATGTCACTGATCCAGCACACGTCGTCGCCGACATCGCCAGCGCCCCCGACGACCGCGCTGAGCGTCGCGACCGTTCGCCTCCACCCCACGGGTTCGCAACCTGCGTCGACAAAATTGGGAAAGAACTTGAGACATCGCCCGAGGCGGAGGACACGCCGGGTGCCGCTCAACTGGCGTGCGAGTGTTCCGACCGCGGGTTTGTATTTCTGCTGGTTCACAGCCATCGCCAGTTTGCACATGTATTGAATGATCTTGCACGCCTTATCGCGGCCGTCCGACTTGGCCAGGATGGCCAAAACGCGATCGAGCTGCTTGGCATTGATATGGTGGACGATGTAGAGCCAGGGGAGGACTGCCGACACGAACGGCACGACAGTGTGGGTGTCCACCTTGGGCGTAGGGGGAAGCTGATCGTCTGCGGTGTTCTGGACGAGCTTCATCGATCCCGACGTCTCAAGGAATGAAGTGGCACGTGCAGCCGGCGACGTGCTCATGTCGGCCGTGGCTGCAGGAAGCGGCATCGTCACCATAAGTAACGCGCCACCAATTCGACGACACCTTCGCCCACTTCAAGTTTGTATAGTGGCGGGCTGGGTAAGCACCCGCCCATCCAGAAATACATTCCAAATTACTCACCACAGTCTCTACACTTGGCGAGGATACACCACCGTGACTGTGGCTGTGAGCCCGATAAGTGCTTATGATGCGTGCGCTCAATGTAGTAGCCTGCGCACCACAGTCGACTGAGCGCAGCATCAGGGATTGCTCCCAATGGAATTGCCTCCCGTGCAAAATGGGTCAGTCGTCATGAACGGTGAGATATTGGATTGAGCCACTTTGTCTCGACTATTGTAGAGTGGTTATGGGTTGGTTTTTCAGTAAAAATTTTTCATTATTCCAAAAATGTGTACCTAAAAACCAATAAACATATCTTTTGTTGTATATCCTATAAAAATATTGCCTATGCCAGTATACCTAAAGGTAAAACCATTTTAAAAGGAGCATCATGTGCACTTACAGTTAATTTATATTTTTTATCTGCATTTGTTGAATAATAGCAACCCCTAATTCTAAACCAACTGAAATAGTATTAAAAATATAATTAGAAATAGTAATATCTGTTAATAAACCATTAATCCATTTTTCATTATATAATGAAAATTACTTTTAACGTTATCATCGGCACTCCAGCAGCACGACGATTTCGTTCGCGCAACTTCACTCTAATAACGCAAGGGACGTTTGCATGGTATGAACCATCCCATCGTAGTTTGTGTTGACTAGACAAGGGGCGCCAGTGGACCAGTGGTCCAGCGGACAAATACCGTGGTGAGATCTTGGATGATGTGATTGCCAGATGCCAAAGCGCGCCGGGGCTGGCAAGTCGATCGACGTGCAAGCGCTCGCAGGACATTTAACAGGAATCGTCTGTCTTCTTGCGTCGGCGCACAACGATCACGGCTGAGTGCAGCGACGCTTTATTCGTCTCCTTGCGTGCGCTGTCCCAGTGGGTTGATGTGCATCCGAAGGCGAGAGACGGGGGGGGGCTTGACAACCCAGTTTGTGTTGGAAAATGATGGGGGGACCCATGATAAGGTGTGGATCTTGCCAAAGGTCACGATCGACAGTATACAATTCAATGTCATACAAACGTCTAGTTATTAAAAAAAACTGGAGCGGAACCGTGGTTGATGCACGAAAATGAAAAGCCAGCGAGGCCGATCTTACAGCAGCAGCAGAGCAGAAATCTTGACATGTGGAAGCCCAGACCCCTTCGGCACGATGCTTCGACCGCCATAAGCAACGACGTCGCGCAGCAGCCACCGCCACCACAGGATGAGACTGCAACGCGTGGGTGGTCGTCGGACGAGCACCTGCGGTTCCTTGATGGGTTGGAGTTGTTTGGTACATCAAGTGCCGACGGCTCGACTCCGTGGATGGCGATTGCGTCCCACGTTCGAACTCGCAACGAAAGCGACACGCGGGAGCATGGCGAGCGATACCTTCACGCGCTCCTGACTCAAACCTTGCTTGTGTCCAAAGGGCAAGGTAGCAGCAGCACGTCGTGGACACCGGATGAAGATGTAGTGTTTGAAGCGGCGTTGGCCAAGTGGATCCACACACCGCATGCTTGGACCAAGATTGCGACGCACCTTCCGGGAAAGACCGTGTACGATGTCATGGACCGGTACGACGCTCTCCTGCGAGACTTGAGCGCCATCGAAACCGGCGTGACGCCTCCACCGATCGCCGACATGCACGAAGCGAGTACGTCCATCCTATCCACGACTAGATACACTGACGTGTTGTTGTGTCCTGTCCAGACATGGCGCTCATTTGCAGCATCGCCAAGGCACAGGACAACCACGTGCTGTTCGAAGTGTTCAAAGACGCGTTCGACAGCCCGTGCTCGGTTGAAATAGCCACGTACGTTGCGTCGGCGGTCGTTGGAATGGTAGCCTCTTCCTCCGGTGGGAAATCGACTCATGCAACCGTCGTCAAGCGCGGGCGCCCCAAGGGAAAGGTCCCAAAAGCACCCCCCGCGGCGACTCAATCCGGGGGAAAGAAGCCGCCCAGAGCAAAAAAGAGCCCCAAGATGAGCAAGACCACCAAGGGGGTCCACCCCGGGTTGGGGGTCCTCTCGACGACCTCTCAACCCCAACTTGACATGGCATCCCATCCAAAGCTGTCCCGCATCCCCCACATGACGCCCCACGCGAACGCCGGCGGCCCATTCACGTTGCCACCTCTCCTCGATGGCAAATTGCTTGCCATTCCTGGTGGGATGGTCCAACTGCCTGGGGGACGGGCAGGCGGCATGCTGCTGCACCGACCAGAGCACCGAAGCGCATGAAGCGAACTGAAAGGAATATACTTCTGTCGTTTATCGCGCTTTCTCTTGCTCGGCTTTTCACGATCGAGGCGACCACCCCTGTTGCTGCTCCTACTGCTACACCTACCTCTATCATAACCTACCTAACTACGCCTCTGCTGCCTATATCCGAATCTGATGAGACCGTGGGGGTGGGCGAGGCCATGGTACGCGCATGTCTCTCTCGATCGCCCATTAAACGTGGTAGCGCGCCGACATGATGTCTCGCAATGGCGCGGGGAAGCTGTCGTAATATGCTGGCCACTGATCGCCCAAGCTGCGCTTGAACCCGTGCACGATCTGCTGCAGCATGTCGTGCAAGCCTTCGCTGATCTGGTACGCGTCCTTCTTGCGGTCCTCGAGCGATGCAAACGCAACGCAGAGCTGCATAAAGTCCTGCACAATACCCGACGGGTTCAACTGGACGAGTTGGACAAGCCCTGTAAACGCAACTTCACGATCTTCGCCATCTTGCAGCACCCGAAGCGTCTTGAACCAGTAGCTCGCAAATTGCTACAGCAACGATCGATCATGTCACGAGCAACGCACACAACAAAAACGGACAAACCGGCAAGAGCGGCGCAAGAGCCTGCGGCGCAACATACGCCAACCGGCCGATCGTGATCGCACAGTTCTCTTGCAAACTACGCGTCGGGCGCGGGTCTTGGCACCCTAGCACCGACACAAAGCGACCGATCGCATCCGGCGCGTACGACCCAATGTCGGCGCCAACTTTGACCGAGATCTCCCCGAGCGCCCAGCTCGCATTGTTGCACACAGAGGGGTACTCCGGTTCGATGTTGCGGAGCAAGTGCGGCACGATATCCTTGACGTGGGGACCAACGAGGGCAAAGCAGTTCTTGGCGAGCTCACCCATGACGGCCAACGCGCTTTGGCGGACGTTCGCCATGGGAAAACGAATGCATTCGACGACCAAGTTCAGCACATTCGTGGGAGCAATCAAGCCTTCCATGTTCGCGCCGAGGCCTTCCGCGATACCCGAGACCAAGTCCAATGCACACACGATAAACTCGGGGTCGGTCGGCTCGACGTCTTGCGGGCGCTGGGTCGCGAGCGCCGACGACAGCAATCCGTTCTCGATGAGGCGAATGCATCGGTCCAGCACCGGCCGCGCATACTCTTGGAACCCGAGGCCCAACGCAGACGCAATCGACGTCAGGCACTCCAAGAGCGGGAACAGCTCCGCGTTGTCGTCGGCCACGGCATGCCACTTGGCGATCAGCGGCGGCATGAACACCGCAATCAAGTCGGGGTAGTTGAGCGCTTCGCCGACCGAATCCGCCAGTGTTCCGATCGCGTCGTACAAGATGAGCAAGTTGCGCGCTTGGTACCGGCCAAATGCAAACATCAAGTTGTGCAAAATGGGCGCCAAATACGGGATCAAGTCGTCCGCCGCCTCTTCTTCCAGTGTACAAAAGGCAGAGCACGCGGCCGTCTGCACCTTCTTATTCCCGTCCAGCACTCGTTCGAGCATGGCCGTCATGAGAGGCTTGAGCACCTACGTCCGCCCCGATGAATTCCGTCGACGGACGAATATCAAGTCGTACGTGTTCGTGGTCGTTGAGCGAGACGGCCCAGTTCGCATATCGCCCGAGTGTCCAGCACGTGATGCTGCGAATGTATGGCGCTGGGTCGCGCATGAGCGTCAACAAGTACGGAAAGAGCGTCGGCAGATGCGGCACGACGCCATCCATGCAACCTTCAGCGATCGCACCGAGCGCGAGAATTCCAGACTCGCGGACAGACCAGTGGCCCGTGTTGGCCAGGCGTTCTTGCAGCAACGGGAGCAGGATGGGGAGGATTTCCACGCCAAACGAGTGGCTGAGGGTGTCGAGGCCAGCCGCCGCCGATTTGCGCAAGTTCCACTGCTCGACATCGTCGTCCCCTGTGTCGTCTTCGTCATCGTCGTCATCGTCGTCATCGTCGTCATGGTGGCCGTCGGCAGTGGCGTGTTTCGTCTTGTGGAAAATGGGCTTGATGTCCTCGGGGCGGTCGGGGACGTTTTCGTTCTGCTCCACTTCCTCCAGCTCAAATTGAGCAATGTCTTCTTGCGAGTACACCATGCGCGACAAGAGGAGCGGGATCAGGTGGGGAAGCACCTGCGTCAACAGCGGCTTGACGTCGTTAAACAGCTCCGGTGGCAAGTCGCAAATCGACGACCAGAATTCGCACGCTTCCAGCGCCACCGTCTCGTCGGGATCCTAGAACGAGCCACTTGTCATGGAAGTGCATGCAAGCAGAGAAGGGAAGCTACGGACATTTGACGCATGAAGGATAAACTGGACGATCGGGGTGAAGTGGGGCATGAGCACTTGCATGCGCACTTCGAGGAGGATCACAATGCTCTGGCACACCAACTTGCGCACGGAGCTCGACGTGTCTTGCGTCAGGTGCGAGATGCCCTAGGGACAGGGAGTGTCAGATGGACGGTTCCCGCCGTCGCAGCCACGAAAAGTCAGCCGAACCTGCAAGAACGAGTCGATGTTCAGGTCAAGCGCGGTCGGCATGATGAGAATCAGCTGGTTCATGCAGTTGAGCGCATCGCGACGGAAATCGGGGCGGGGATGGTTGAAATATTGCAGGAAGATGGGGATGAGTGTGTCCAACGGGCGCGACGCGAGGCGCTGGTCGTTCAGCTTGTCCGCGTGGTCTTCGCAGATCTTGGTGAGCGCGCCGAACGCACCTTCGACGCCGTTTTCGTTCGCCGCGTCTTGGAGGTAATGCAAAAGTCCAGGGAGCATCTCAGGACACTGGTCGAACGTCACGAGCACTTGGACAACGGTCGTGAGAAGCAGGCCGGCCGTGCTGCGGATCTTCGGGTGCGCGTCCGTCAGCAACGACAAGATGCTCGTGCGAACATGGGTCTGCATCTCCGGGGTCAAGTTGTGGTACATGTTCTTAATGCTCTTCTTGAGCAAAAGGCCTGCGACTTGGCGAACCCCAATCTCGGGGTGGTGTGCGAACACGTGCAACAGGTACAGGTGGAACTCGGGCTGGACGCTGTACTGGTTCAAGCGCTGGTACGACTGCTGCTGGACTGCATTGTCGGGGACTGTGCTCGCCTGGAGCAGCGCCACGACCTCGTTCAGCGCGTCCGAAGCGGGCTGCCAGTTGCTCATGGTCTCTTCGTATTCACCTCTCGCCACTACACTTGCAAACTCGCCAAATAACATCCACCACCTGGCCATCCGGATACCAATGCCGGGGGTGGCATCCGGATACCACCGGTCGTCCACATGTAGACGATGCGACGGTGGCTGCGGCGGCCGAGCCTTCCTCGCCACGTTTGCCGCATTGCACGAATGCTCAGACGCTTCGTTGAAGACTTAGGACGATTCAGAGAACTGCACGTGCCCAACGGAAGATGCGTGTCATTGCATAACCCGATGCAGTTGGCACTCGGCTCGGCGATCTGGTGAAGGCGCGGTCCATTGACACGTGCCGGGCTTGCCCCTCGCGTGGTTTGCGTGGTGGTGCGGTGCCGGCTGGCTTGGGTTTCATTCCTCTCTCGGTGCCCGTGGCATCGCAAAGGCAAGAGATATCGTGTTGTTGTTGTGAGTCCTACCTAGTCCATGTTGTTCGTTCACAACGAATGCAGCGAGAGGAGTGGGTAAATCCCACTTGGGTTAAACACGCGATATGAGTGGATTTTGTGTGTATTGAGCCACGAATCCGTGTTTAACACTTATCCGTTACATTGAGTTATCCGGATGACTGCACAAAAATCCTCAGCAGCTGGCACAGCCGACTGCACCGTTGCGGAACTGGGGCCGATGAGTCCGATGCTTCCGCTGGACATGTATGTGATGGAAGAGAAGCGGATGTTTACTTGGACACTCGCCTGCCCAACGACGACAAAGCGGAGCACGTGGATCTGTGCTCGGATTCAGAAGCAGTACGCACCTGGTCACGATGGTAATCATGAACCATCTCAACCAGCTCTCCGCCACCCACACGATCAGTTGCATGCAGTTCTATTAAGTTATGACTTGAATTCGAATCGTTTGCGTTGCGCTATGGACCCTCCGACGACGATGGCAGGTTTTCGAGACCGTACTTGGCTCGCAAAGCCTCGCGACGACTCTGGTTCTTCTCGAGCCGCGTTTGCTGCATGTGCACCTTTCGAACTTCAATTGATTCCAGTCTACCAGGACAATTCACCTGGTTGGAGGACCACTCGCACGTGTAGCAGTCATCCATACCCGATCATGACACGGGTCAATTCTTGGTGCTCGCGGGCTACCTGGGCCGCCGCCGCTTCCTCCTGCTCTTTTTCATAGTGCTACAAATCAATCAATGTCAAGGCGACTCATCGAGGCATGCATGCATCATCCACGCAATAAATTAGGACATACGCAGCACCTCGCAATGGACGTACTAGTCGCAAATTCAGCGCGCATTGCAGTGCCGCGAGCCACTGATCCCGGCGTGTAGGAGTCGGCGCGTTCAACCGATGTTGCTGGGATGGTGTAGTCACGTACAGCCCATTCAATCCCACAGGAACAACGCTTGAGACGGCGTCGAATGGAATGGCCTTGACGTCACCTAACGTCGACGACGGTACGCATGTCAATGACGTTGGTGGGGCGGTTGTTTGTCTTGATTGAATCGTCAGGCGGCCGCCGGACACTGCGCAACTCACCAGAGAGGACAGTCGTGGACACATTGATGGACTGGTACTGCAGCGTGCCATCCACCCATCGCACGAATACCGTGCGTTCGACGAGGAATCCTTCGCAACGATTCATGCGTGAACAAGATGGAGAATTATGAGCAGAAAGGTACCGTATTTCACAAACTCAGCACCGGCCTCGATCAACGGCAAGTGCTTGCCGTAAAACTCGTTTTCACGCTCGGCGGAGGCCGCGCAGGGACCACACAATCGAACGTCTGTCGTGAGCCCGAGTTTGAGCACTTTGCCGACGTGGTTCGAGCATGTCCCGCAGAACACTGAATTCAAAGAGAGCAGCTGAATGAGTTCGTACGATGCGCAATTGCACCTACCCACCTCCACCACACCCTCGACAATGGTGCTTACGATTGAATAGATCAAAGTCGTCATGACAAGCTGCACACGACGGAATGGATTCGTCCGATACCCATATCGGTGGCGTGTCGTATGCTCCCAGCACGTGCTTGGACGCGGTCGGCAGCATCAAATTGTCTATCTCTGGGATCGGTTGTCGATGATGCATGACGCCAAAACTGTTGAAAGGATAGAGAACGTACGGAAGGAAGTGTGTCTTGACGACGACGGTACCGCAGTCGTAAGCGCTTCGTCGTCGTTGCCAGGATTGAAGCACCACATGACTTCCTCCGCCGGTGACGATGAAGAACGTGCGTTGTCGCAAGAAGTGCAGAAGTTGGTGATCCAAGGAACCTTTATAATATTATATTGATAATGTTCAACATGTAGTTTGCGAGGGTGACCCGTTGCACCGTGGTGGGGGATGCGACGGCGACGATGATGGCGGGCGAGGGCGCCGCTTCATGTTGAGGAGAATGCCATCCATGTGCCTCAAGGCGTCGACGACACCCTGAATCGCTATACGTTATCGTCCGTGAAGCAAACTCCAGCGCTGATGCCTTGTATAAGGTATCGGGGGCCGTGAGTCCGCAACAATTCACGCGTTGACTGCTTTCGTGCCGATCGTAGTGAGACATCTCTCGTGCATGCTCCTCATGCTTTGTGCTAAGCATGCGACGACGTCCCACCTTTGGATGACGGGCGTGTGGATCCTTGGTCTAGCAGGTTTGCACAGTCGCAAGGATCGGAGTCCAAGACGTCAAGATGTGTCGATTCAGGGTTCCTGGAGCCTGGGATCTCAATTCAACGCACTGTACCGTACACTTTACGTACAGTATACGGTAAAGTTTACCGTAACTTGTTTGAAAAATCGAAGTATTCACGAAGGTCGAACGTGTTCAGCGCGACTACGACGCCCATTCTTCGATCCGCCGACTCGAAGGCGAAACAACAACACCAAGCATGGCAAACACGATCGCCACGTCGGACGTCCCCGATTCCGTCGTTGTCGCCGTAGCTGTGGTCCTCATCGTTCTATGGGGTATAGTGTTGTTCATCTTCGTCACGAGTGTCCGCATTGTCAACCACGCAGAGGTCATGATCCTCGAGCGCTTCGGTCGGTACAAACAGACGCTGTTGCCGGGTCTCCACATCATCGTGCCGATCGTCGAAAAGGTGCGACCAATTGCGTGGCGCCACCGCAGCCGTAAGATCACGGACGGCGACGCACCTGTCATCTCGGCAACGACCGAGAGAGTTGACATGCGCGAGCACGTGATTGAATTCTCCCGCCAGCACGTAATCACCAAGGACACGGTCATGATCGACATTGACGCGCTCGTGTACTTTCGCATCGTCGATCCCCGCTTGGCCGTGTACAAGGCGCAAAACATCCCTGATTCGGTCGAGTTGGTCACCCAAGCGACGCTGCGCAACATCATTGCCACCATGACGTTGGATGACACGTTCTCATCGCGTGATGAAATCAACTACGAGTTGCTGAGCAAGGTGTGTATCTGAGAGTGACTTGCTCAAGTCGTCAGCGCCGTGTAGGTGAAACACGATGTCGAGCGATGGGGCGTCACGATCACTCGCGTCGAAATCTTTGACATCATTCCGCCCCGCGACATCAAACTCGCCATGGAACAGCAAATCAAAGCAGAGCGCTGGCGCCGCTCGGAAGTGCTCGAGGTAACGCCCCTCTCCCCATGCACCAATATTGTGAACCTTGTGGTCAGGCGGATGGCCAACGTGAAAGCATGATCGTCAACTCCCGCGGTGACGCGGCGCGCATGGTGCTTCGTGCGGAAGGGGAGCGCGCATCCATGCTGTTGCGTGCCACGGGCGAAGCGGAAGCCAAGATGCTCTCGTCGAAGGCGGAAGCGCAGTCGATGGAAGTCATCCGAGCAGGTACCGACACGAACGTCGAGGTTAGTTATACTGACATGTTCGTGCCATAGCCATCACGGAAGTGGGGGTGCGCGCTGTGGACTACCTCACGGCCATTCAATACTTGAACGTCCTTCGCACCATCAACCAGCGCGCCAGCGACATGCGCTTAGTGCTGCTCCCGATGGACACCGTCAATGGAGTGAACGACTTGATCAAGCTCAACCAGTAGTGAGATCGACGCCACCCTTCTATACATGCGCACTTCGTAGTTCTCTTGAATCATGATCGAAAGCCTTTCGAAGGAAACTTGCTGGACATCGGTGAACTCGATGGCAAATTCCATTCTTCCAACCTGCCCCCACACATATCGAGAAGTGCGGATCGAGTGATCCATCGATCGATGCCGCGTCCCCAAACACCACAGCTTGGAGCTCCAAGATGCCGCTGCAGCCTTTCATCGCTTTCCCATGCTCGAAACGAGTCTGATGCGCGATTTGACTGGGCCATGGCGATCGGCTTTGAAGGTTGCGACCTCCAGCTGTGTACATTTCGGAGAGGCCGCTGTGTGAGGGCACGTGTGCTTCGATCTATTTCCCCAGTACCTCTATTGAGCATCATGCAAGCTTTGCCTGCAAGCATCATGGCCGCCTTGGCCGTGAATGCCTCAGCGGCATGCGAGCGTGGTTGGCGCTGTCAATCGTCAAATATTTTCTGTTTTGCTTACAAGTGAATATATTCAAATATAAATATATTATCATCTTGTGGAGATACTGTCAAACTCGATGTATTCACCCGTCATCGAAAAGGCGTGAGGAGATTCCAAAGATCGTCGCAAGGATGCTATGCGCGAGGTGGATGTGGGTATCCCTCATGTGGACGTCCCTCGCAGTAAATGGAGCGGATATGGGTCCATCCGTGTCGACTTCATGGAGCTCTGACGTCCGCGTGGATGCATCTCTGGGCACCGATATCGACGAAAACGTATCTGTGGAGGAAGCCTTGGCCAAGTGCAAGGCGCAGGGGTACACGCGAGGCCACGCGCATCTCGATTCGTCTCTAGACCCCGCCTTTGTCGCGCACTGCGACAGGATGCAGTACATGGAGGTCATTCTCCAGCAAGGGAACAACACCCACGACCCAGCATGGACAGCGTCGACGAAATCAGTTCGCATTTGGCCGCACACTGCAACGGATGCCCCAGAGTCGACCGACGCAACCTTTCAAAGCTTTTTTCAAAAGCACGTGTTGCAAGCTCATCCAGCGGAAGCATCAGACATCCTTTCCTTTCCACCCGCGCTTCTCAACACGTGCTTCGACATTATGCTGGAATCATCGACCTTGAACATCCATTCGCCGCCGTGCCAAGACCTCCTGGCATCCTTTCACGTGCCCGCGTGCGTCGCAAATGACTACATGCAGCGAATCAACACGTCCCATGCCATTACCCTCCCGACCCTGCTGAAATTCACCTCGGCAACAGCGACCCATTGCCGCTACGGGTTGAACATGGCGCTGGTGGCTGTCGATAACTCGGGTCTGTCTGTGTCTGTATCCACGCGCGCACCATCTCTCAACGAATATACGCTACCCCTTTCTCGCGACCACATTGGCATGACAGAGGAAGCATCTTCGCCATCCACTGCCAGTACTCCAGCGCTGCAGCTTGGGCAGGGGCGAGTTGTGTTCGTCCCAAACGGGTATGCCGCGGTGTTTCAAGGCACCGCCGTTCGCTTCTGCTTTACAGACGCGTCAAATTTCAACCGCATGAAGCAGCACTTACGCGTAGAAGCGCTTCTCGACCCGGCTGCGCGTGCTTGGCTCTTGGCCTTTCAAGACACAACTTTCGACTCGTCCATGATCCGTCGAGTCACGCCCGCCCACACAAACTGGCCATCGTTCCGCCAGTGGCCCAAGCCCCAGAAACTCACCAAGGAAAGCCAAGGCGACGCAGCGCTGTCTCGACGCGAACGGTACAAGATCTGGCAGGACGATCGCAAGTGGGACAGCTTGATCACGGGCCTCACGCTTCCAGTACGAAACCCTCCTTCCATCATGACCTCATGCGCGTCAAGTAGGTCACGCGCCCACCGCTTCTCTTGGACGCCACCAAGGACGTTCATCGCACTTCGCTCACGTTGACGTGGCAAGATGCATACCAACCGCGAAAGGGCGACATCACCCCGTACGGCTACGAAGTGTCGTGGGTGGTGGCCGACGCCACCTCCGCGCCACCGAGCCCGCTCGACCACTCGACAGCTACAGTCCACAAACGCAACTTGACTTCGTCCGAATTGGTTCGCAGCGAGCTCCCGACCACAGCTTTTGGAGATGACTTCGACGGCAAAGCCATCCAAGGCACGATCACTGGCCTTGATCCCAACACAACGTACACGTTTACGTTGCGACTGTTTGTCGGCGACGATATCGGCCTGCACAGTGAGCGATCGTCGAGCATGCGAACGGCCCCGATCAGTGTTCCGACCGCTGTGCGCGGCCAGCCGACCGTGGCAAATCCCGCCGACAGCAACGACGTTCGTAATTGCGCGTCGCTGTCGTGGCTGCCGCCCGCGGACGACGGCGGCAGCGAGATTGTTGGTTACGTGATCTCTGGTCGATACGATCCCGCGCAGTCGACAAATCAAGTCGACGTCGATGCGACTGCGGCGGCCGTCGTTTGGCAGCCATTCAACGACACCTCCCAGTTTGACATGGTGCAGTCGGTGGTTGTGACGATGCGAGAGCTCACGACGGACGCGCGGAACGTGAGTGGGACCGCGTGTAATCTCCGCCAGCGCGAGACGTACCAATTTCAAGTGGCCGCGCTCAACGCCGTGGGCATCGGGGCCTTTAGCATGTGGTCGCGTCCGCTGCAAATTCCAGCGACTCGAGCTCGCCAAGGTAGGGACTGCCACGAATCGTTTGCACAGCTTCCAGCAATTGTCTGGTTTGTGGGTTGGTCCTACTCGGTTTTATCCTAGACGTTGTGCGCGGAGTCGGCGCGCCGCATTTCCACCGGGTGTACCATCGACTCCATGTGGAAGATCTCGTGCGCGGCGCTGGTGCTGCCGCCGACGGTCCTGTCATGCTTCTCTCGGACAAGCAGCAGCTTTTCCAGCCATACCAACGGATCGCTCCGTCGCTGGCGACGGCGGCGCTGCGCTACGATGCCAAGAACAACCTCATCTGGTCGTCGTGGTTTGCCCACGTCTGGCCTGGCCACTTTAGCCCGAAGACGTACTCTGTCGTCGCTGGTACGGCGGTGCATTTCTCGTGTCGATTCATGCTGGAACTCCACTTGATGGACGGCGCTGGAGCTGTCCTGATCGAGCGGTTGTGCTAGAAATCGTGGCGGCCAGCCCTGTGCTGGCCGACCGGCCGCTCGAGAATGATGTGCGGGATCGCATCGCCCTCGTCCGTCGTGGCAAGCTCCCGCTTTTCAACAAGGTGCTCCATGCTCAAAATGCCGGCGCCCTTGCCGTGGTGATTGTGGACGCCGACGGTCTTTGCGATGACGACAGCGGCACCGGTGGAACATTCGACCACCATTGCAGCGTCGGCAGCAACCACGCGTTTGGCGAAGGGTTTGGAGCGCAAGACGATGCTGCCGTGTGGAGTGCGATTCGCATTCCGCACGTTCTCTTGCTCCGTGGCGACGCCGCCGCCCTTCTCGCGCGCCTCCCGACAGCACAAGCACAATCGTTCTTGACGTAACATCATCTCAACACCCGTGCACTTGGTTTCGTTCGTCACATGACGATGTAGCGCGTGCGCTTTCCTAGCTAACCTCGTACGAGACACTCGTCCCGTTGGAAGCAGCGTGTTGCTGGCGGCATCGTGGCCGCCGTTGCGAGATTAGACTAGGACACTCGTCGGCCTTGGCGTCCAGTTGTCCATAAGGAACTGCACACGTGCACCGCACTCGAGCGAATGGGTGGCGCGGGCCATCGGCGCTTCCAGGCGATGACGGTCAATGGCATTGTAGCTGCCACCCCACCTCGAGAGCCCGACGTCGTTTCGTCCAGCGAAACGACGAAACCGGGACAGATCCATTCCAGCGGCGTGAAACGACCGCGCCACGAGTGCGTCGGCCGCAAGATGAACCTGGACTTGCTGTGGGAGCATGAGAAGCGGCGTGTGGCGGAGGGTGGCGCGGGACCGATGCCCGTGCCGGCGGACGGCCTGAACACAGACGTCGTCATAAAGCCCAAAGCGACAACAACGTTCAAGTTGAAAAAAGGCGGGTCCGTTGCCAACAAACTCAGGTGCTTCGACACGCCGTGCATTCCGCCCTTGTCGATCGAGGAAACCATCTTTGAACGGAACGGATACGCTCTCGACTACGAAAGCCACATGACGAAGCGGCTGAGCCAGCCGCCGGCAGGACTGACGTCGTCGACGTACCACGCGGCCGCGTCGTCCGCCACGTCTACCTCAGGTGCCGGTCCCCCCAGTACCGATGCAACATGCCGGAGCTCCGGCGAATCGATCAAGACGCGTGCGGTCGACACTCCAAAAAAGAGGGCAACTCTCCGAGGCGCCGTGTCGTCGACGTCTGCCGCGGCGGCAACGTCCCCGATCCCCGCGCGCCACGACAAACTCTCGCTCAACTCGTTGCTCAAGACCGCCGCACGCCCGAACCAGCCACTTACGTACCGACGCACCGAGGTCGACCCCACGGCAAGTGCTCCTCCACCCAACAAGGCCATCGAAGAACGTGCCATCAAGGCGTACATGGGCGACTACTTTTCAACGCGTGGCGAGTACGTCGACGGGATGCTGTACATGTCCCGCATGAAAAAGAGCCACGGGATGCGGAACGGCTCAACCAGCGCGGCGTCCGTGCACGTAGCCTTGGACGGCGCCATGTTAAAGGAAGCGCTCGCGTCTGCGACTGCCGACTCGACCGACCCCGACGGTGCCCTGTCGTTTCCTGGCGCGTTGTCCACAAATCCTGCGACAGGAGGAGGCGGGGCGGACAAGTCGACCCAAGCGCAGCGCTGCGCGTCGACGCTCGCCAACTGGAGCTCCAACCCCGCGAACGCACGGGTGATGGTGAACGAAGGAGTCGTCCAAGCGCTGATGATCCTTAGCCGCAACGACGACATCGCGACGCGCGTCCATTGCGTCACGACCTTTATGAATCTCTCCAACGTGGCCGACCTGCGCCAAGGAATCATTCAACTCGGCGCGGTGAAGACTCTGGTTGGCGTCTTGAGCGGGTGCGACGATCGCACGCTGCAGACGGCATGTGCGTTGACCCTGTGCAACCTGTGCTGCCTGGCGGGGGAAGAAGTGCGGCTGGTCGCGGACAGCGCGGTCGGCGCGCTCACGGCGCTCGTGAACGACGCACCGGGCGTCGCCGCGATCTCGGAGCGAGCACTATTCAACCTGACGTGCGTCGCCGAGCCGTATGCACAGATCGACGTCGTGATCAAGGCCCTGGTATCCCTCGCATCGTCGGCATCGTCGTCGTCTGGAGTTGGCGGCGCGGTGGGCATGAGCGCGGTCGTCACCGGGATCGGCAACGCCGTCGTTCGTGAACGCACCCTGCACATGTGCGCGATGGCGTTTGTCAACTTGAGCAACATGAAGCGGGTGCGTTCACGGCTGATGGAGGAAGGAATCGTTCCGGCGATCTCGGCGCTGCTCAAGTCGCACAACTTGGACGTCAAGCACTGGGCCGTGTACGTGCTGTGTAATATCGCGTCCATGCGGTCGTGCCGCAGCGAACTCGTCACGAAAGGCGCGCTCAACATCCTCGTCGCGCTCGCGCCGCACCCGACGCTGCCCCCCAAGACCTTGCTCGTGATCGGCACAATCTTGTGCCACTTAAGCAAAGAGCCATCGATCCGGCACCGCCTCGTCGTCGAAGGTCTGTTGTCGGTGGTCGCTGCAATCGGACGGGCCGACGGCGCCGGGGCCGCCCTTGTCTTAACTGCATCCGATGACATCCGACGGGTCTGCGCGACAGCCATTCACAACTGCTCGTGCAGCGACGATACCCGTGTGAAGCTCGTCGAGCGGGACGGCGTCGCGTTGCTGACAGCGCTATCCAGCGGCTGCGACTCCCCCGACGTCCGGCGGATGTGCACCCTGGCGCTGTGCAATTTTCTCATGGTCAAGCAAGCGGCCATGGAGGTCGTGGGATGCGGCGCCGTTGCCTCCCTGCTCGACCTTGCGACGCAACATGGCACGCCACTCAACAGCCAGCTCCTGTACGCGACGGCGTTCTACAACTTGTGCCACAATCCAACCTCGCGCGACTCGATTGGGACGGCCGGGGGGGTAGCCGCGATCGCAGCCCTCTGCACGTCCAACTTGCCCCCGCACTCGTCGCTGTCTGTCGGTGTTCTCACTCTCTGCGCCGCCTCGCTGTGCTACCTCGCCGCGGACGACAGCACGCGCCATTTTGTTGCGACAGCCGACGTTGTCCACGTGATCACTTGCATGCTGCAAACGTCGCCGACGAGTGTCCCCATCCAGCGCTTTGGCGTTGCGTGCCTCAGCATGTTGTCGCAAGACCAGCTCTGCGCGACGTGGATTCTCGATCAAGCGGGCATCGATGCGATCATAGCCGCGTGCGCCAACAGCCGCGACGGCGAAACGAAAGCGTGCTGCTGCGATCTGCTGGCGTCACTTAGCTACCATACCCACTGCCGACACAAACTGGTCGCGATCGGCATCCTCCCATCGCTTACAAAGCTCGCCAAGCTGCGCGACCCGGACATTCAACGCCGGTGCGCGGCGGCGATTGGGAACCTCGCGAGCGAAGCATCCGTGCACGATGCCCTCCTCGCCGCCAATATCGTCCACGTCCTGTCCATTCTGAGCAACTCGTACAGCGAAGAGAGCCAAAGCGACTGTGCCAAGGCCCTGTGCAACTTGTCGACGTCGTCCGGGTTCGAATCGAAACTGGTCGCGGAGGGGGCGGTGGGTGTGCTCCTGATGATCTCCGCCGTCCGGTCCGGGAGCCTCGCGACCAAAGAAACGTGTGCCCGGGCACTGGGCAATCTGCTCATGCCATCCACCATGGTACGTGCCATTCCACCGGGGCAGCTCGCCATTCGTTTGGGGCGGTTCCTGCCCCCGCATGTTTGGCTCGCCACGGCGGCTTTAACCCTCTGTCGTGCTTGTATTAGGACACAATGCTCCACGAGGGTTTAGCTAAACTGCTGCCAGCGCTGACCACGGGCGGCGACGGGCCAACGTCCCCCGTCCCCGCCACCATCTTTGCCAAACTCGTCCGACACCCCCACGCCCGCCTTGCGCTCTGCGCCGAGTCTCAAGCGCTGCGTACGCTTTTCAACTACATGTCTCGCGATGGCCACGACCCATCGACGATGGACCTACTCAGCTCCATTGTGTGCGATCTCCTGGTCTACCCCAATACCCGGCACAAAGCAGTCGCCGACGGCCTCGTCGCTGCCATCGCGGACCTTGCTCGGCGCACACTCTGGTCGAGCGAGCGACTTGTGTCGGCTGTGCTGCTCTTGGCAGCATCGGACGACACACGGATGGATGCCATCCAAGACGACAGCGTCAATACTCTCCTGGCCTACCTGGAACCAACGTCCGGCCATGACGTGGCTAGCCCTGTCTCGTGGATGGTTGTCACGGCGCTTTGTCATTTGGGGTGGCACGACGTGCCCCGGAGCCAGCTCCACGACCCCCGCGTTGTCCTGTCGCTCGTATCTCTGGTTTTGCCGCGGCTCCTGGCGCTCCTTCAAGAACCTGTGGCCCCGTCAGCCTGCGCCACTGCTGTGTTGCACGTTACGTTGCTCACGTTGGCCTCGCTGGCCTTTCGGCCAGACCATGCCACCACGATGCTCCAGAACGGTTTATGTCCGGCCCTCGTCGGCGTCGCCACGCTGCCTGGCCTTCCCCCGCTCCTCCGCCGCCTCGTATGCCTCCTCCTTCGCCAAATGAGCCACGTCGACGCATTCCACACGCATCTCCAAGTGCGCGACTCCCGACAACCCGTCCTCGGTTTACTCTGCACGCTTTGCCTGCACCCATCGGAAATGCTAGACGACATGGCCGCCCTGGACTGTGCGGACGCGCTGTACAACATCGCGGCCGTCGACGGCCTTGCCCCCAAACTCGTCGTCGAGGTAAGATCGACCCGTCCTGCGACACCAGTAGCCCCGGACGTCATCATCCTCGCATAGGACTATGTCGACTCCATCGACGCGCTGCTCGTCCGGTCGCCTTCCCCTGACATCCAGTGGCGCGTCACCGCTGCGTACGTACACGTTTCGTTTCCATCGTGCATATCCTCTCTTGAGATTTTCAGAGCCACTCGATATGCACTTTTTCGGTCTAGGTTGTGCATGCTCTCTGGCGATACATCGTGCCGACGAGCTATGGTCGACCTCCACTGCACCAAGATCATTGTCCGTGTCGCTCGCTCGACGGCAGCAAACAACCACACGTTGCACATGTGCACTTTGACGTTGGCGAATCTGTCGGGTGAACCGGCCAACGCGGCGCAGATGGTCGACGACGACGCGGTCTCGGCGCTGCTCCAGCTCTCGACCCTCGACAGCGACGTGGTACAGTTTTGATACATGTCCATCATGACCGTCGTCCAACGAATCGACCATGCTGTCGTTGCTTGCATCGAATTGACGCGAGCGACGCAGTGATTGAGACGCAGTGATTGACCCGTGTGCTTGCGATGTGGTAGACGCGGGATGCGTGTTCGCTGGCCCTTGCCAACCTCTCGCACGAGTCGCCGCCCGTGCCGACTGGATCCGTGCTGGCTCTGATTCATCTCGGCATGCATGGCAAGTCCAGCGCGTCATCGCCGCTTCCTCCCACGACGACGCGACCGCCGCACGTGACCACTCGACATCATGAATCGTCTGCTGCGCCACCAGCGTATACGTACGTCGAAGTGGATTACACGGCGGTCATGGCTGGTAAATACGTGGCCGAGGTGGCCGACCGACAACCACCGATTCCCCACCTGCCTACCATCACAGTCGACCCCGACAGTTTGCATGCCTCGATGGACAACCCTGGCGGAGGAACTGGCGCCGGCACGGCTGCAGTCCCTCCCTCCCATGATCACGACGACCTACTTCCGGCCCAGCAGCTCGTGTTTGCCAAGATCGAACCGACCGACCCGACAAAGTGGGCTACCACCAACCAGAGTCGCTGTTGTTCTGACATGGGGCACTTGTGTAGTCTTGGTGGCGGCAGCCTGGACGGGGGCGGGTCGGGCCTTCTGGACGATGTCCAGGAGGAGCATGAAATGACGGGCGGCGGGGAAGATGGGACTCTGCCACCTCCGTCGTCCCCCGAGTTCAAGCACGGCGACGAAGACGACCGAAGCAGCCACGGCCGAGGGAGTACCAGCGGCAGCAACGCCAGTGGACCGTACCACGACAAAACGACGCGGCAGTTGTTGCACCTGAACGACAAGCGAACGACGCGGGGGCTGCTCAAGAAGCGATCGAATGTGGCGCTGCTGGTCGCCAACGCGCCGGGCAGTTTCCGCCCCAAAAAGTCGGCCGACTCGGAGATTCATCTCCATCGAATAGGCTCGACGACAGTCAGGAGGCGCCCATCCAAAGGGGTCGGTCTCAACATGAGCGCCAGTGCGACCGGCCTTGCGACCGGCATCTCACACGATCTCACTTCGTCTTCGTCCCATGCGACGTTGGCATCCACGACGTCGATGGCATCAACATCCAAGAAAAGCGTGACGATACATGCTCCACAGGCGACGGCAGAAGACACCCCCGAGCAGCGAGCCGACGACTTGCGTCAACAAGCACGCAAGATGGGGCTTTGGAGCTAATACAAACGCCGCGCATTGCCGTGTTGGTTCGTGTTGGGACATGCGACGAGAGATGTAATTTTGCAGGATAGGCAGACATGCAACGAGGAGAGCGACGAGTTTAGGCACCCTTGGGCTGTCGGGTTGAGTGCACGACGAGGGTGCTGTGCACGGCATGCATCTTGCGCTCGAGGGCGTCCATGGTAGCGACAGCGTGCGCCGCGGGGGGCTCTGACAACAGTTTGGTCGTGCGAAACTTGACCGCAGCAGTCTTGCGATCGAGCACATACATCGTCGACTTATACAAGTGACAAAGGGCATGCCGACTGGCTTGGAACGACACAGTCGACCTACATCGAACGCGACCAAGCCAGTTGGATTCCAAGACGTTGGACAAGCTGTGGCCATCAGCGCATGTCCCATCGACTCCACGATCGACCACACGCATGACATGCTTTCAATGTGCACATATCCAGGAATGCGTACCAAAAGAGGCGGGTCTTGGCCCGACGGAGGGCTGCACGAGTTGCATTCTTTCGAGATATGAGCACCACGTATTGCCCAAATCGCTAGCCATTGCACCACAAGCACCATCGATGAGAGGATTCCCGTGAAAATTGCACTGTTGCATGGCCAAGGAGGCCATCTACCTCGAGGACGTGGATGGCGGCAACTTGGTGGTCCGTCTGTACATTGCGCGTGAGGAGGGTATCGAGGACGGACTCTTCGGCATCCGTGACTCGCAGCGACTCGATCAAGACAGTCGTGATGAGGGCGTTGATGACAGCGCCACCCACGATGCCACCCAGCGCGATGGCCACCTGGCCTTGAAACGATTTGGGCGGGGTACTGCCAAGGCCTGCCGTCGACTGCGTATCCAAGCGTCCGTCAAAATGACGAAGAAGGCCGTAAAATGTTCTTACCATGGTCAACACGAGCAGCCAGAACGCCTCGACGTTTGAATCGATGTCGGCATTGATCGCGTGCTCAAAGAACTCAACGACGACACTCGCAAATACCCACGTCGTGGCAAACGCGGCAACGGCAAACCGCACAGGGTGCTGGTGAAACATGTACTTGGCCGTGAACGCCAGGGACTGTGTCTGCACGTGCCATTCCGTCCCTACGCGTCCACAAGTCAGGAGGCCACAACGAGGGAACTTAGGGGACGACCGAGCCATTCAATGTCGACGGATTCAAACCCGAGGCGGTGGCGCAGCCATCGAAACAACATGTACAGGCGAAGGAACACCACGACGTCTACGTGGAAACGTCGTCCGTTGGTCTGTAGCCCGATGTAGGGCACATCATGATGGCGGCGGTGACAGGAATGAAAGGTGTCCCGTATTACCGAGCTGACTGCTGTGCCACGGCAAGTCGTCGTAGCAAAATGCACCCTTCAACTGATGGGACGCATCCGGGCAGTACATTGTCAGCGTCGTGGTGTTCTATGGCAACGACGCGTGAAGATGCAACGGTTTGTGTCGGTGCCGTACGAAAAGGGAGCCCGACATGAATCGCGTGTCGACATATGCGCGGCTCCACGTCGGCGGTACATGCAACGACACGATCGCGACTTCCACCAAGATTTTTCTGCGCATGCACTGACAGTGCGTGGGGGTATCGCCATCGTTCGACGTACAGGAGCAGACCGGCCGAGACGTGGTAGAACTTTGTGTGCGGCGGCAGTCGATACGTTATGATGCGAAGTTTGCACACCGTATCTAGAAAGTGATGAACAACGAATGCATACATCGAGGTATATACCCGCTCGGTACAGAATGAGCCCGATCAAGATGAACGTGCACGCGGACACAACCGTTCGAAAGACGAACACGATCGATTCGGAACGCAGAGCCGAGACATCCACGACGTGGGTGAAAGACACAACTTGAAACTACGACAGGCGACGAGCGCCATGACATTCACCGGTTTCGCCCAGGACGCTCGTCGTACCTGCATTGCGACGATCGTGGCGGCGACGCTGACGAGGGCGAAACACGTCATACCTTGTTCGATACGATACCGACGCACACGTAACTACATCAGCTCGTAAACTCAAAACCTCATGGACGGGTTTTGCATTGAAATGTTCGCACACCACGCGGGCACTCTTCATCTTGGCCATCTGCATTGTCGCTGCTTGCCATACAGGGTCCATGGATGCAGTCCGGTGAAGGAGCTGTCGTGGGAAAAAGCCATCATCAGGATCAGCCCTCATCGTCCACCTAAGCCCTTCTTGCCCACCTGTTTCTTGTAGACTTCACTCTTCTTCGGAGAGCGCGGCGGCGCCGGGGCGGCGTCCTTTCCAGCTTCCATCTTAACGTTCGTGCAACGGTGGGAACAACAATTGATCACTCTGGTATCCGGTAAACACCGGATAAACACAGCCAATCAAATCACTTCATTATACCAATGCTGCTCACGAATGGCGCGCGCACCGCGGCGAGGTCGGTGGCGGCGCGACGATGCTTCGCGACGAAGACCAAGCTGATAAACATGAAGCCCATCAACTTGAAGATCACTATGGCAACCTTTCTCCTTCGCGTGCACCCGGATGTGATGCAAGTGGATCGACACAGCATGAAAGAAGTTGACCAATCGATCAAAGATCACAACGAAAATGCCTTGAAGACGCTGAATGCATACTTGGATGTTGCGTCCGCTGGGTGCAATGGTGAATACACCTCCGATATGCTTAGCACACGCGAGTTTCCCCTGGAGTTTTACATCCCGACGACCAAGAAGGTCCAGCGCAGTCAGCGCAAGATCAAGACCGCCACATACGCCGAGTTCGTCCACGTCCATGGGAACATGTATACGAGGATCTTTCATCCCGTCAAATTGTCGGACAAGCTGATTGAGACCTCCCATCAAGCTTTGATGAATCCTCGAACGACTAACGTGGCCGCAGTGCATTGGAGACAAGACACGAATACCGTGCTGCGCGACTTGTTCTTCCAGGCCGACATCCCTGTACTCTCAGCACACCCAAACGGCGAACTTATTCCATGGGTACACATTTGTATTCTTCGATCCACTTGCTCAATCTTCTCTCAGGACGAAGAGGTCGTTCGCCAAGTCGAAGCCGAGGCGATCTTCTCGTACGTGTTGACATCTTTGGCCTTGCATCATTATTCTCGACGTAGGTCCAACGAAACGTTTGAAAAAAAGTTTCGATCAATGCTCGTGCGCGAGCGGGACGTTGTGTTCAAGTTCACGACCGGGTATGAAGCGGATGGTACGCTTGGCAACGTGGTCTGCTTCCAGATCGAAAGCCGCCTGATGTGGAGCCGTTCTAGTTGAGAAACACCAAGTGCTGCTGTCACTCATGCGCCGTATCCACGTCGATGTACTGCCTGAAGGCGAAGTATGTACCTATCCAGTCCAGACGGACAAGCTCACTTGGCTTGTAGCGCCAAGCAGCGTTTAGTTGGATGGGTGATACCCTTCTCCGCAACTTTATGGACCTTCGCCTTGCTAATCCCGTGTGGAATCGCGCCGTGGTCATCTTATCGGACGTTGAGGACACGTTGCAAGTTTTGAGCGACGAAAACGACGACGGATGCCAAGTGGCATTTGTGATTGGGTTCACACACGACGTCGATCGGTTGGTGGAGTTTTTGACCGACGAAATTGACAAGTTGGAAGTGGCGCTGGACGCGGCTTTTGCCCCTGACCCGACGCGCCGCCGCCAAAAGCGTAAAGGGATTCAGCCCGTGCCAAAGCGACTGTATTGAAGGTACCTTTGGCATGGTTGACATGAACACGTATGAGGGTGCATTTGCACAGCGAATTGGATGAACGATGGCGTTGTTTTATTTGCTTTCTCCGGTCAACGGACTACGATTACCGACTCCGTTTATCGCGAGCGCGTCCACCGACGACGTTGCAGCGTTGTCGACTTCGTAGTTCATAAAGTGCTGGTTGCTCCGGAACTCCAAGTACAGCGTGAAGAGAACGTGCAGCGACTCGTACACGTTCTTGTACACGGGAATGTCAAGAATCGCGCAGATGACGCGCGTGTACTGATCGACAGTCACGTCCAAGTCGGCGTGGGGGAGCTGCGTTTTCGACAGCAACTCTTCAAACTCTTCCGGCCATACCTACGTCGTCGACCATCCCACATGAGAACCTCCATACGTCGGCCATGTACCAATCGCACCTGCATCAGGGTCTCAATGTCGGGCATTGTCTTGGTGTAGTGCACTTGGGGCGGCGGCTTTGTCCGATGCAAATCCGAGATGCTCTTGATCCACCGGTCGATCTCTTTCACGTTCTTCTCCGCATTCTCGATGGACCGGACGACAATGTCGCCGTGCTTCTTCTTGGAAGTTGCACGAAGCTGCAGGTCCAGCACGGTCGCGTCACTCTGTGCAATCGACGGCTCGTCCAGCACTTTCAAGCCCAAGTAGTCGGGCTCGTTGTCTGGGCGCGGAATCTTCAAAAAAGTGTCCATGTCTCCGATCGCCGGAATGTACTCGGGGACAAAGCACTTGAGGCGCGTCTCGAGCTCAATGTCTTGGCTCTTGAAGCGACCAATGTACTGGAACAGTTCGCGAATGTCCTGCGAAACCTTTAAGTGGGCAAAGTCGCTCTCTTTGTACGCGCCAGGAACGACCCCCATGCCGCTGCCGCCCGTGGCTGAGCCCCCAGCGGTGGCGCCACCGGTCGATGCTGCATTCGCTGCCGCCTCTTCTTCTTCGTCGTCGTCTTCCTCGTCTTCCTCTTCGTCCTCTTCGTCGTCCTCTTCGTCGTCCTCGTCATCGGACCCTTCTGACGAACTCTCGTGCTTTTTCTTCTTCTTGGCTGACGAAGAACTTGCCTTCGACTCCTTCGATGACTGGGATTTTGAAGATGACGCAGCATTTGGCTTTGCATCTTTGGCCGGCTGAGGCTTCTTGTCCTCGACTGCGACCGCTGCTTTGTCCGCGGCAGCCTTTGGCATCGTCGTAAGCGTTTGATTCACGCTCAATCGTTTCTCCATCTTGGGCTTCTCGGGAGATGGCGCGCCCGCTGTGTCGACGCTCGCTTCGGAATCACTCAAGTTGACTTCTTCGTCGAATGGCTTATTTTTCACCTCGCCTTTCTCTGGTTCTTTCGTTGTCTTCTTGGGGGCAGCTGTGGACGATGGCGCTGCGCCCTTGTCAGTGATCGCCTTCTTCTCCTCAACTTTGTCGAGTTCTTTGATCTCTTTCTTTGGCGCTGCATCTTTGGACGGAAGATCTAAATCGTTCACGCTCCCAGATAACTCGAGTGCCTCGTCGAACGGCTGATTCTTGAGTGTCTTCCCGCCCTCCTTCTTAGGCGACTGAGCGTCTGTGACACTCTCGCTGTCGCTTACATCGACAGCGGCGTCAAATGGTTGATTTTGCAGGACCCGTTCCTTCACATCATCCGCACTTTTCTCTTTGGATGACGGCTTCTTCTCCTTTGGTGGCTTCACGTTCTCCTCTTCATCTTCTTCCTCTTCTTCTTCTTCTTCTTCACCGCTACCAGACTCACTCCCTGACACTTCCTCTTCCTCGCTTCCAGACAGTTCTTCGTCGTCCGACTTGCCAGGCATGCTTCTTCCCTGAACGAGACCTCTTGCGTTTTGCACTGGTGCCCCTTCGTCCAAGATATGCTCGACTGTTTTTGAAATATTGTTGCTATACTTGAGAAATGTATTGCACTCGCTGGAGTACTTTTTAAAATATACTTGAACTATATTTAAAATCTGTAGATGTTGACGAAAAGCCAAACAACTTAATTTAAAATGTATTTTAAACACGATGTACCTGACCAGTCGCCTCATTGTTCTAGGTTGTGGGGAATTCGTGTCTGGCGGGAGCGTGGGATTAGCGCGGAGTCACTATGGTACGAGGGGCAGCGATACCGAGCCAAATAGGCGACATGATGCTTTAGTTCTCCCTCGCACACAAGGGTCAATGACGACTGCGGAGGAGGTGCATCTTCGTCAACAGCCTGTTAGGCTCTCGCTCTTGGTAAAACGACCAAGCATCACATCAAATCAGCAATGTTCTTGAGGATTTTCAACTCCTGTGCAAGACTTCACAAACGACATTGTGGGTGAAATTCATTCAGTACCTGGTCCCGCGCCTGCAGCACTGCCGCCACAGACGCCTTGATCGCCATATTGTCATTCTGCAACTTCTCAGCCTTTTGCAGCGCTTTCTATCATCGAAAACTGGTCAGGCTCGGCGAAGCATTGACGCAATGGAATATACATGCTGGGTCTTCTCCATCATCGTTAAGAGCGAGCTCGTTCGCTGCAAGAGGAGTCAGTGACGACCTCATCTCTTCAGAGGCCATACCTGATACTCCTGCTCCAACGACGACAACCCGCGCATGAGCTCGTCCTCGGCTTCTTTGATGAGTTCGAGACTTAAGACTCTACGCCATATCCATAAGAACACACATCACGACGGAAGAGCCGCGTACTGGCTACGAAGGGATTGTAAAGTTGATGCCCACACCTACAAACAACCTTCCTGTGAGCAATCGCCTACGGAAGCCTTGGCATCCGCACGTACAGTGTCATCGGGTCTTCCTGGAATGCCCAAATCCGTCTAGATGGAGTCGACGCAGTTAGTGTTGCCATGGGCAGAACGCTGGCGTACATGCACAAGTTTCTGCTTCTTTGCCATCGCTTGGATGTGTTTCCGACTTGCGCGGTGTTGCGCCATGTTGTCTTCGTTCTCTTTTTGCGACCGAAGCAGACGCTTGCCACATTCGCAGATAAAGAATTCCGAGTCACTGTTTGTCAGCGCTTCGGCATGTCGCTTGCTGGACTTGTGCCTCGCAATGTTGTACTCGTTCGCGTTCACGATGTGCTTACCACATTCGCACACAAAGAGGCTTTGGACAGCGAGCTTGAACTTGTCGTCTTTTAGCGGTCCGTCGTCTTGAAGCAGTGCTTGCTCGTAATACGCCGCCTGGGCATGGCCGTGGTGATCATGCTGGTCGTGCTGGTCAGGCTCAACCCCAGTTGCCTGGTCCATCTTGGTGGGGGGTGGGAAGGCAATTTTCCAGGTGAGGGGGACACCAGTCAAGCTTAATTCGATTAAATACGACCTCCGTGCACGAAAGTTTGTATGTGAGCACGGCTAAGTGCGTACTTTTTCGAAGGTCCATGACCCCGTCCGTAGAGGTGTCCCAGGCATTTAAACCCATTAACCGGAATGGCGTTTTATTCCGTTGGGGTTTGTCGTCCATAACATCCTTGCCAGTTTGACAACCTTTTCACCATTCACTCGGTTAAAATACTGTTGGGCACTTGATTGAACATTCCAAGAGTACTCACGGGGCTGGAAAGGTAATCGTCCAGTGTCAAGTGTACCAACACTCAAGGGTTGTATTTTTTCCTGCTGTGCATGACGTGGAGTGCCGCTTGGCCATATCTTCTTGAGGAAATTTCCCCACAAGCATGGTCTACGCCAGATAAGTTCGCCGATGCGATCGAAGTTGAACTATCGCAGACTTAAATAAACTAGGTTCCTTGATAAGTACGTTTATGCCATTTGTAGCCAATCATACGAGGCCAAGCAAGAGCGCACTTTATCGGGTAGCCGACAGCCACGTGTGGTGGAAAGATCTTCATTTGCACTTAACTGTCGACCATGTCATTCAAAGCGCTGTGTGTGACGCTCCTCGCGGTTCTCGCCGTCGTGTCGGCGGCGGGCCCCAAGATTACGCACCAAGTGTTCTTTGATATTACGATCGGTGGCCGCGATGCCGGACGTATCGTCATGGGTTTGTACGGCAAGACCGTCCCGAAGACAGTCGAAAACTTTCGTGCATTGTGCACTGGTGAAAAGGGCCTCGGGAAGACGGGCAAGGCTTTGTGGTACAAGGACAGCACGTTCCACCGCATTATCCCGGACTTTATGATTCAAGGCGGTGACTTCACCCACGGCACGGGCACTGGCGGCGAATCCATCTATGGCGAAAAGTTCGAAGACGAAAACTTCAAGCTGAAGCACGAAGGCGCGGGCACGTTGTCCATGGCGAACGCAGGCCCCAACACGAACGGTTCGCAATTCTTCATCTGCACTGTCAAGACCTCGTGGTTGGATGGCCGTCATGTTGTGTTTGGCCGTGTTGTCAGCGGGATGGACGTGGTTAAAGCCGTCGAAAAAGTCGGCGCCGGGTCCGGTACTCCTTCGCAGAAGGTTGTCATCAAGGCCTCTGGCGAATTGGCTGCCGACGAGTTTGTTACGGTGGAGTAAATAGCGTGCCGCAAATGACACTGAAAAGTGAACAAGCAATCCATTCGAAACGTGTGATCGTACAATTCTTCATCTGTTAGTCGAACGACTTTGGCTTGCTCTTGGCTGCGGCATCGCCGTACGTTTCCAGAAGCTTACGGCGACGCTCCTCCGCCTCGCGAGACAATGGCGCTGACCGCGATGTCGACATGTGACCTTCTTTGGGTTTCTCCAGTTCGACAAACTCCACCTCGCGCTTCGTCGGGCTTCGCGATCGCTTTCGGGTCGTGAATCGGTCTTGTCTGAGCGACAACGATCCCTTGTAGCTGGCCGGTCGAGCCGCGTAGTCTTTGCCGACGGCTTCAGCTTTTCGGCGCTCTTGTTCTCGCACTTGCGCGAGCAAGTCGTCGGCTAACGCACCGGACGAAGACGTTGTGTCTCTGCAAATCACGTCAGCGGGACAAGAGATGCCCAACCCAACAACATACTTTCGATCTCGGCTGCGCGAGCGAGACGAGCGACGGTGGCGGTTGCATTGACGCGATCTATCGTCCGATGGCGATCGGCGACTGCTTCGGTGGTGCCGGTCCCTGCGCGGGCGCTCGCTGCTCCGGCGATCCCGATTGCGCGACGTCGACCGGTCGTGTCGGCGGCTGCTGCGGTGGTGCCGATCGCGCGATCTCGAGATCGATCGGGTCTTGGACCGCGAACGCTTTGGCGGCGCAGGCTTTTCAAACAAAATGTCGCCCAGCGTCACTTTTTCCGTGTTGCCGTACTCTGGAAACGTCACCTATCCTTTTGGGTTGTGGCGATGCCAAGTCATGGCGACGACATACCCAGTACTCGTGCGTGGCTTCGTCCACGTCGTCGATCACGGCATCGTACATCTACAAACAAATGACGTCACGATGACATCGAATCCCCATGGCCAGTCGTACCGCTGGCGCGTTGTCCTCGTCGCTGTACATGGCTTTGATTTTCGTCCCTTTGACCAAGAACTCGACAATCGCAAGGTTTTCGTCGTGGCGTTTCTTCGTTTGGTCGTACAACAAAAGCTACTCGACATGATCACGTCACAACACGATGACGTTATCCGACCACGCACCTTGACTTTGATGCCATCCTGGATTTTCTTGGGGATGCGAGGCAAAATCGTGTTGAAGTAGTTGATATCTTCAAGCAGCGACCGAATCCACGCCCCCATCGTGCTACGTGACAGCCATTCCCCACGTCAGCGAAGGTAGAAGGCCTTCACAAGCCAACCATGGACCTTGCGTGGGTATATCATCTCGTGACAGGCGCATCGAGAGCACGATACATGGACTTGCAAATGCATACGTACGTGCGAATGGCATCGTTGGAAGATGCATTGAACTCTTCGTCGTCGCCAAGGTACGGCTCGTACCATTCCCACAGCAACTCGGGGTCGCACGTGTACCGAAGGTACAAAAAGCCCACGCATCGAATGTAAGGCGAGTCCTACTTCCATCGTGTCCGCGGTTCGGTGCGCGAAGCGTCAGGAGCATACCACGTGCTTGAGGAGACCTTGCATTTGGTTAATAGTGAGCCGCATCGTGCAGAACTTCATTAACAAGCAAAAGCATGTTGATGGAATGCGAGACGTCCCTGCAGCCCATGGCTCTGTCATTCCACACATTGCGTGAGACGCATCGTGCAATGAACACAGGCAAATTACAGGTACCTGCATGGTCTACGCGGTAGTAGATTTCATCGACGACTTCATGGTACGTAGTCAGCTCGCTACAAACGTGGAACAGTCATGAATGGAGATCCTCGAGACATACTATAGCTTTCGGAAGTAGTCCGAGTTCATCACGTTATCGTAGAGCAGTGTGTTGAAGTTGTACGTCGACTGGTTGCCGTGACTACAACAGCTCGCAACGTAAGTACCACGAGCGAACGACCACCACCCACAGGGTCAACGTACGTACATGGGGAGCTGGTTCTCCTTCACCCTGCGGGCTTCTTCCACATAATACGGGTCAATAGGAACCTGCATCGCCGCGGCTGGATACATCATTGGAACCATTGCATTCGCGACGGCAGCACGGTTCGCAAGAGCTTGCTGCAGCTCCACTCGAGTTAGCGCGCTTCGCGACATCGCTCCGATGGGGGGTACCGAGAAAGATGCAAGATAGAGTTCGGGAGGTTTTTCGTTTTTGAAAACCAATTCACGGAGCAAAACGTGGCGCAAATTTCCAATTTCCATCCATTTGATACTTTTCAACCATACAAATATCAAGACAAGAAAAGCACAACCGAGAGATTATTATTAGCCAATCAGCTGTCTCCAAGCATCCGGATACGACCGGGTCAAGATGCCCCCACCATTCGCCGCGCAAATAACTTGTCAAGTTGATGTCCCATACCAAGGCACTCTCTGGACTCCGCCGCGTCTTGCTCACTCCGCTTCAATCCATGGCTACGTATGCAACCAATGCGACCACAACCTACACGTCATCGTCTCCGTCAGTGAGAGAGCTTGCGATCGAGCGAGGCTGGAAGCTCTACAACGACTTGAACCAGCCCAAGCGGATTGTTGCGCCGATGGTTGACCAGTCCGAGTTGGCGTTCCGCATGCTCACACGCAAGTATGGCGCGGATCTGTGCTACACGCCCATGTTCCATGCACGTATGTTTCAAGAAGACGCCACATACCGAGAGACCGCGTGGCAAGTTGAACCGACGGACCGCCCGTTGTTTGTCCAGTTTTGCGGCAACAACCCAGACACTGTGCTCCACGCGGCCCGATACGTCGAGTCCCATTGTGACGCCATCGATCTAAACTTGGGCTGTCCGCAAGGTATTGCAAAGAAAGGTCGGTACGGCGCGTTCCTCATGCACGAGCCCGACGTCGTCCGTTCGATCGTGTCCAAGCTCAGCTCGAATCTGTCGGTTCCCGTGACTTGCAAGATCCGGTTGCTGCCGAAATACGAAGACACCCTCGCGTTCTGCAACATGCTCATCGACGCAGGGTGTTGCTGGCTTGTCGTTCATGGTCGCACGAAGGAAATGAACAAACATGTACGGCATGGTCATGCCTCGAGGCGCCATCAGCCATCGCCACGAGGCCATTCGTCGTTGTTACCGCTCACGATGCTACGTTCATGTATGTGTAGCTCGTTCGGGAGTGCGATTGGGACTCGATTGCTCGACTCAAGAAAGCGCTGCCGATCCCAGTGTTTGCCAACGGCGGCATTGAAACCGACGACGACGTCGTGCGATGCATGCTCGAGACTGGCGTCAATGGCGTCATGTCGTCGGAAGGGATCCTGGAACGACCGGCATTGTTTGCGAACGACCGCGACAAACACGGTGTGCCCATCCGGCAGGTACATCGCGATTCCGTTCTTGCTGCAACCGTGACGTCGTCCTGACGTCGGCGCTACAGATTGACGTCGCGATCGAGTACTTGCAACTCGCCAAGACATTTCCACCGCCCGAGAAGTTCCTTCGCGCGCACTTGTTCAAGATCTTGTTCCAGGAACTCAAAGTACACACTGACTTGCGCGAGCAGATCGGGCTCGCCCAGACCCACGACGTCCTGTGGGCCATCACGAAGGAACTCAAGGCGCGGTTGGACGCCGCTGCCCCCGTGCCTACCTCCGTCGAAGGGTCTTGGTACCGCCGCCATCGCAAGCTACAAAACAAGGCCGACACCAAACCGGCCATGGAAAAGTGCGATGACTCGGGGTTTGCAGACTTCAGCATGCTATTTGGATAATTCGTGGTGCTGCTGCCTTCAAGTTGGCCCTTTCCTCTCTCAAGTAGAAAATGTCGGGCGGCTTCCATGGCCAAGGACGTCGCGACCGGCGGCCCGTCGCAAACTGGTATCGATTCCGCGAGCAACTCTCTCAAGCGTATAGCTTCTACGGCATGCCCTCGCCGCCTTGCCTTGTGCTGAACTGGACCAAACAGGACAAAGCACACAAGTTTGGATTCCTGGTGAATAGCATCCGAGCAAAACGATTTCGCACGGGGGGCTTTCCCAACGTGTAATGAACGAACGAGGCATGCGTCGACTCGAATCGCGCATTGGCGCAGTGGTGCAGGCGTCGTGTTTGTAAGGCTGCGGGGTGGGTTGGGAGATAAAGTCGCATCCGATGGAATTCGGATCGCAATACGAATTGGAACACCATGATTCAATCAATACCGGCAAGAGAGAAAGGAGAAAATGGAGGGGGGGGGTCATTGGCCGAGGCATCGCGAACCTACGACATCAAAGCAGCGAGCGCCCTCTGCGCTTTGGGCTGTTGCGCGGTCCACAAAAGGACGAGCACCACAGCCACCCACCACGACAGGCGAAGAAGCGAGCGGGGCACTGGGGTCATCACTAACCGGACGAACTTGACCGCGGACGACGTGAAAGGTGGGTAGCGCTGTGGTAAATCGAGCCAAAAGGACTTTCGCATGACTGCCTTCTCGTGCGAAAACGTGTCGAACGAGTACTTGCCATGGTACCGTCCCATGCCCGACGCGCCGACGCCTCCAAATGGCAAGTTGAAGTTTCCGATCTGGAGCATGGTGTCGTTGATGCACACACCGCCAGACGACGTGCGCTGGACGACCGAGTCCATGACAGACTTGTTGGTCGTGAACAAGTACAGCGCGAGGGGCTTTGGGGAGCGCTTGATTCGAGCCACGACCGTCGACAACGAGTCGTAGTACACTACCGGCAAGACAGGACCAAAGATCTCGTCCGCCATCGCGGCACTCGCGTCAAATGCCGCCGTGTTCGACTTGAAGTTGACGATCGTTGGGGCGATGTATCGGTCCGTGGCATCGGTCGACCCACCATGCACGACAAACGCAGCGTCTTGGTCCACGATCCGTTTGATCTTGTCAAAGTGCAGCGCGTTTCCAAGCCTCGCATATTCGCGGCTGTCTTTCGCATTCGCGCCGTATAGCGCTGCTGTTTCGACCTTGAGCGCTGCGACGAAGGCATCCCCGATCTACGTGATAGCATGAGACCACCGAGTTTGCTGGTACATGCGGTGAATGTCTTAAAAAGCACAAGACGAGACACCCACCGAGGACTCGACAAACACGTGGTCCGGGCGGACGCACGTCTGACCCGCGTTGGAGAAAGCACCCCAAGCAATGCGCTTCGCGGCCAGCTACTCGATGCAGAGACGTGTTGGGGGCATGGTATTCGAGTTGGGCTGCAAATGACGGTGCTTCGTACCTCAAGGTTGACGGTGGCATCAACAATGGTCGGGGACTTGCCACCGAGCTCGAGAACGACAGGGGTGAGCGTTTCCGCCGCCGCCCGCGCGATGATCTTCCCAATGCGTTCGCTGCCAGTGCAAAAAATGAGATCGTACCGTTGCGCCAAAGTCTCCTTGGACACATCCAATCCGCCAGACGCGAATCGCACGACGTCAGGGTCCATGTAGACAGCGAGGAGTCTTGCCAACAAGGCGTTCGTGGCATCTGTACTGCCTTCAGCTGGAAGGCGGATGAACACGCAATTGCCCGCACTAATGGCGCCGACAAGGGGCAGCAGTGTCACATTCAGAGGGTAGTTCCACGTGCCGAAGATAAGCACAACACCGAGAGGTTCAGGAACCACCCACGACTGCCCGGGGAGGCATGGTGCGTTGACCGCAACAGAACGCGACGCAGCCCAGTCGTCAAGGTAGTCCATGTGGAGTTGGATTTCATACAGAATTGGACCGATTTCAAACAGGTACACGTCATGGGGGTCTTTGCGCATGTCAGTTTGCAAAGAATTTGACAGTGTTGCTTCGTGGTCTACCAGCATCTGGCGCAAAAATTGGAGCTGCCGCTTGCGAAACTTCAAGGGACGGGTCCTGTCTGCGCCAAAGGACGCTCGCAGCGCCGCCACATCCTTGGAGATCGCGGCAACAGCCGTCTCGTTTGAAGCCATGGGGATCGTTTCCGACACTGATGCAACGCGCATCCATTGTGATCTTCTGTCCTTCCCTATTGGAGACAACAAAACCTCATTGCATTATATTACTGGCTGAAACCTTTCAATTATCCATATTTTTATCCAATCCAGACACAGTTGAGATTCGTCAACCATGAGAATACCGTAACTCTGGTTCGTGTGTTGCGACAACCTGGCGGCATGGGCGAATAATGGCGTGAGCTCCGAACTGGAAGGCCGCTCTACGAGCTATTTACCCCTTCACACGTGGATGTTGACGGTGTAGGATGTACTCGCGTCTAGGCACGTTTATTGAGGCAACGTGCCGGAAAAATTGCTTCGAGGACGTTTGCAACAGAGTGGATCATTCGCACGGGCGACCCCATTTATCGACCGCGCCTCCGACTGGACTGCACACTCGATATCGCATCACGCCGGAATTGAACACGCCGGTATACGAAGCGGATTAACCGATCGATCTCTCAGCAAGACAGCGCGGCGGCGCATCCGTGGAATCACATGCAAACAAATGTTGCCGTTGCGGGGTAGAAGCAACACGTATCCGGATATGCGCCACGGAGGAAGAGTTTTGTATGGAGTTTGAGAACCAAGTCGTTATCCGGATATCCCCACGGGGAATTGGACGAAGCAAGCGAATCTCAGCATCTTCACGTCGTCGTCATGAGCGCGTTCGGGAGATACCTCAACGCTGGATCGAACAACGACGCCAAGAATAGCGCCACGAGTGGGTTTGCATCAACGATTGGGCCACCCGCCGGCTCGACGGCGTCTGCTGCGGTGTCACGTCTGGGGGGAATTTTCTCTGCAGCATCAAAGCTCGGGTCCACACTAGGTGTGTCCGCTGCTGCCCCTGGACCTGCCCAAAAACAACAGCCTGAAAAGGTGAACCGCGATGGTCAAATGGCCGAGTACGTGTACGAGTACGACCGCGCGGATGGAACAGTGCTGCGGCCCAGCATCGATCCGAAGCGATACGGCGACGAACGCGCCGTCGTCGGTGTAGGCGACGACGTGTTTCCGACAATTACGTTGGACGAAGAGTGCGAGTGGACGAGTGCATGGGAAGTCGACATGTCGAACTGGGCGAGTGTCGACAAGGACGGGTGGACGTACGGTGCTGACTGGACCGACATCTTAAAACTGGCGCGCGACGAACTCTCACATGCGACTAAACATCCCAACGATTTCGTGCGCCGTCGACGGCACATTCGCTACTGGAAGCGCCGCGACGACAACTCCGCCGAAGGGGGGGACGCAGCGAACGACTCGTGGAGTGGCGACGCCGACACCACGTACAAATTCCACCTTCCGGCGTCCACGATTGCACTCGCCCTTGACATGCTTGGTCTTGTAGCTTGATGGACGAAGACAACGACGATCCGTTCTCCCGTACGGCGCAGAAGAAGCAATCTGGCTTCCGCTTTGCCGCGCGGGCTGGAAAAGACTACACGAAAGACTACAACAACATTAGCGACCTCAACTCGTTGACGTGGCTCGTCAATGCCAACGAAACGAGCTCCGCTCCGACGGACGAAGCCATTCGCGAAAAGACAGCGAACCTTGAAGTATGCATGGCCACCCTCCAACGGACTTTTGAACGGCGTTGCTATCGACTAGGAGCGCATCAAGGAAGCGTCCGAGAAGTCGGCGGCCCAAGAACAAGCGCTACGACTCAAGCACCAGAAAAAGGCCAAGGAAGTCGCGTTGCAGCAGCGAAAACTCGCGCTTCTCGTCGAGCAGTATCGCAAAGTGAAAAGCGAGCACGACGTGTTGCAGGCAAATGCTGCAGAGTTGACGCGCGTCGTGGAGCAACTGCGCAAGGAGGCGGTGAGGTTTACCACGCTATGTCCTTGTTCATCGTCTCATGGACCGTCGTGCGTGTAGACGGAGAAGGATATTGTGGCGGTATGTGGAGAGATCTGTTGGGTGGTGGATTCGCCCAACATTCGAATTGGATGGTGAGGTAGAACGACGACCAGCGCGCGATCAATGCGGAAATGCAAGCAGCGAACCAAGCGCTTGAAGAAAAGGCCAAAGCGCTTGCAACTGCGCGCATTCGATACAAGCGGGATAATAAATCGCTGACGGCGGCGATTCAAGCGGCAAAGCAGCGACTGGAACAGCAGGAACAGGCCAAGGCCGCTGGCATGGCGCAGGATCCGGTCGCAAAGGAGCTGGAGGAGATTGTAGACAAGCTGACCAAATTGCATGCCAAAGTGGACGCCGTCAAGCAGCATCGTCTTGCGATCGAAGAAGAGCGCAAGGAAATGTTCAACCAGGTTGTGGAGAAGAAGTCAGATCTGCGATTACAATCCAAGCTCAAGGTACAGTCTCTCGATGAAAAAAGGGATGGCAGTGATGGAGTAATGAAATCAAGGTGGAAACGTCGTTGGCGGACGTCGACGCCAAGTTGTCGACCCTCAAGAGCGAGCAGGAGAGCGTGATCAAGTTGTTTGCGAGCAAGCCGGTACGATATCACTTGGCGACATGGCAGACGATGATGGGTTGTGTCGCCGTTGCTGTCTAGGAGGGCAAAGTTCTCGAGCAACTGAACAAACGGCGCAATGAAATTCGGAATGAAATGTCAGCACTCAAGGAACGCCGCATGGAACTCACAGCTAAGCAACGACAAGTCGAGTTGTAGCAACGTTGTATTCGTGAATACAAACGAGTGTGAGTGCTGCTCACGTCGGCTTTGTCTCCAGCACGACATACACTGCCCGATCTCGTGTTCCAGCTCTTTCGGCTGAGACGTCATGGATGATGATGCTGCCGGACTTGGGCTAATGTTGCATGGATGGCCTGAAGTGCGTGAACCACGTGATCGTCCAGCTATGCAGCATAGTTTGTCATTGTACTGAAAACACGAATACGCAGCATTGTACCTCTTTCTTTTTGCGCTGCTGGCGACTAATTCGAGCTAACAGGTCCTGCTTGGGGCGGCTCTGCAACTGGAGCTCTTGCTGTAGGAGGTCCGCATAAGACACAGCTGGAACGTCCGAGCTCTTGCGGGACTTGGGTACAGCATGTAGCCTCTCCATGGCGACTTTTTGACTGGCGGGGTCCACAGTTTGCATGTTTTGAGCCGCCTTGAGAGGACGAAGCTTTGGACGGCGAGTCAAAGGGGGTCGTCGGAGTGATGCGCTGTTTGCTTGGTCAACAAATTCGTTTTCGTCAGTCAACGGTGGGGCATCATGTGCAGGATTATTTGGCTGATTGGTCGCCAGGTGAGGCATCGAGTGACTTGTGTGCATTGCCAATGTGGGGTACTTGGACCGAGTGTCGCGTTCAGCAACCTCGAGTTGAGTCAGCATGGCCGCCAAAGTTTTGGAGTTTTGCCCAAGGTCTTGGGGAATGTGCTTGATGCCACGATAGCGCTGCTTGATGCGGGTCTGCACTTTCTCTTGAAAATCTTTCGTCATCGCTGTTCCCTCGAACGACTGAAAGTACGAGTACCGCCTCGATGGATGGATACCATCCTCGTCCGACGAGCTTTTCCCATCTCCGTCGTCTTGAAGGTCCCCGTCGTTGTGGGGTCGTGACGTAAAGGATACAGAGGACATGATTGAATCGGAGCGCCCAGGAACAGCGACGACACCCTGGTCCACTGCATCCACATACTATCCGTGCCATCCATATTCTGAAGTTAGACCGCCGTAAACAAGGTTTTTTGTGTTGCTGTATTGCAGAATAATTGGTGATACCTCAGCGTCGCATTCTGTGCAGACTGCGTCGATGTCTACTAACGAGGCCGCGAGGCCATGGCGCAGGCACAAGCCCGGACTGGTCGATGGGACTGCTGTCACGGTCGCAACATGTTCTGCTTCGGCAAGCTCCCAGAACTCTACCATTTCAATCGTGACCACACCACAGCAAGACTATCCATGAACCTCGAAACCCAATTCCTCCGCTGCCGTACTGGTCGAACTGAGCAAACGCTTCCTGGAACTGCCTGCTTTTCACCAAGCAGTGTGTAGTCTTGTTGACGGCATTTGTCCATTGCGTGTGAAGTGCGTGATTCCACGCTGCCAGCTGGTTGGTACACCCTCCGCTTGAGAAAATCGGCATGTTGGCGGCTTCAGCAGATTTCGCCTCTGCTTTGAGTTGCTAATCCAGCAAAGCTGTCATACATGGCCCAACAGAGCAATGCAACCATGGTTAGATTGTACCTGCGGCAAACAGCGAAACTCGCCCATGTCCAGGTAACCCGAATCGTACGCTTCGATCTTTTCAAACAAGTGGGCAAGCAGTAAGAGGCGCATACGTGTGCGTAGTCGCTTCCTGTGTTTCATGATGTCATTGGCATTCACGTGAAGTTGCAGCGTCGATGGCCATTCGTGTGTCGCGAGAAATGACTTGTCCGGATGCCTTGTGAATCCAGCAAGTTGACAACGGCGAACGGCTCGGTTCCACATGATGCGATGCTTGGATGGACATGAAGACGGCGCTTCTTGAGGCGCCAGCCACGCTAGCACGATGGTAGGGGATTGTTGAAGCCAAAATGGCGTCAAAAGCTGCTCGAGGTTGTCCGACAAGGGTAGCATAGGCGGAATACTGCGTTGGTCCAACAAGACAAACAGGAGTTCGCCGAGAAGAGCAATCGCTTCCAATCGAAGCGGTTTTGATTCCTTGACGACACCACGGAATAATTGATCGAGCGTCCATGAGGATGTTAGTGCGTAGGGCGATGGCACCCGCCAGGACGACAAAGTACTTCCTGCCTTCGGACACTTCCAGAAACTAACAGTTCGCAGCAACGTTGCCACAAAAAATGTCGGAACTGCGTCAACCGTCTCTCCTAAGCGGGCCACGAGACGGCGGAGCTGCAGAGGCGATTAAAAACCTTGGATAGGATCACGGAGAGCTCGTCGTACCGTCGAGAATGGCGCTTGTAACTCCATGCCCCGTTTTTGATTTTGGATGTCCTGCATAAGGGAGGACTCCGTCATGGCAGATACGGCAATAGATGGTCGACGAGCGCCACTACAGAGACAACAGTCGATTTATGAACATATGCGGGGACACGTCGTACCTTGTGACGGAGGTTGATTCAGTGGTACGTCCATACAAATCTGGTGGGGCGAAAAGCGGTATCCATTCGATTGGAAGAGCGATGCTCGGTTGATAGTACGACGTTTCGGGCCAATACACGTGATGCTCTTGAACAAAAGCGACCCCCGAAATGGCTCCACGCAAGTCGGCGAATTCATGCTGGTGGGATCCGATGAGTCCAAGCGTCACTTTGAGTTTGAGCAGTCCTAAGTGGTGTGTATTCACATGCACTAACACACCGCAGTGCGTTGGACCTTGCAGTAACATGTCGTCGTCGGCGCCATCAATATTGGACGACAGATGACCCAATAACGGCTTCAGCGACAGGTGCGCGTGACCTTCAAAAGCATTCGTGTGTCTGTATTTCATCTTGATGTCGATCTTGTGTTCTTGACACATGGTTCGCAGGGCGTCCGTGGTGGCGAATGCGTAATGCATCCGTGCCTATGCCAACACTCCTTTCATGGTTCATGTTTTGATGCAAATTCTATACCTCGCAGAGCTGCCATCGATGCGCCGTGTGCATTTTGGGCCCATCAAACGACAACGTGCAAAACGTTTGGCCCAATTGGTATTCCATGTAGTACTGGGTTGGATCTTCTCGTCCAAGGACGTCTTGAAGCTCGTGAAAGAGCAAAAAGAAACAAAATTGCTGGCAGTTGGGATCGACGTCGCGGCCCGCAACCACGGTCAGCTTGGAATTGCCATCCGTCCAGTCCACTGGCATTGAAAAGTCCTGTGGGTCTCTCTCCCGCCGGAACGCGTCGATCTCTCGAATGATCGAGTCGCTGGGACTACGCCTTGGGCATTCGTCCGAAGGGTACTTCATCTGAGTGGACATATTCCCAACAGTTGGGACGAAGTATCTGTGAATAGCTGCGGACGTAGCACACAGAGACATTTGGTGCTTGTATATCTGATAGCACATCAAACACACGCGACACTCAGAGGACCCTGAGGGAGACCCAGATGCAGTGAGGGTGGTAGCACGTAAGAGGCTTGCTTCCCACGATGACAAGTGCACACCTCGGTGGCGGAGACTTGTGAGCGTGTCGCTGACCATATTGAAAGTCATAACATAGCCGGACATGGCGGCAGAACCGATCGACACATGTTGATCGGCGTCATCGAGCACCAAACCAAGCGCTTCTGCGTCAGACGGGCCCAGCTGGAACGAATTATGGCACAGAAAGCATGCTGTGGTCGAAGGATGTGTGTTGTAATCTTGAGGTGGAGTGGGTTCGTTCGCATCGTTTGTTTTGGGATCATCGACGTCGTTCGATCGTGGTCTTCGCCGAAGTAGTTTGGGGACATGGACCAACGAGTCGAGCAAGTCGGTTTCCCGGAGCAGTGCGACCACCCCGGGAACACGTAGTTCGTACCGAAACGATTTGACCTGGATGCACCACCATGTGCCATGGGTATCTTTGACAAAATCCCCTTCCATCTCGTTGAATTGGACGACGGGAATGTGGAGTTGCGCGTGGGCCACGATTCGCTGGATGGCGTCCAAAGCTGGAGTGATGGGTTGCCCTAATGTAGCGTGCCGAAAACAAAATCCATCAACTACATCCGCACATGACGATGGATTGATACCTCGGAGCTTGGCAGTATGCACGTCGGGTGGCCAGGTAGTTGCATTATCGTCGTCACCAGCAAACACGGACGTCGGTGCATTCGACACACATGTGAATCGTGCGAGGACTGATGCGTCTCGAATGGCGACGTCGTATGGATCTCTTTCGAGTGGTGCCGCACCAACAGCACCTACTTCGAAGGAAGGATGAATAATTCCATCTCGAGCAGCATGGTTCTTACGCAGAGCTTCGAATCGGTCGGACATGTTAAGGCTAAGACATTACGAAATCAAGGTTAAGAGAGGCATGAAGAAGCGAGTAGAACGAACTTGTTCACGAGGTTGACTGCAGTGTTGTTGGTGCTTCCACGAATCCATTGTACTCTGTAGAGGGCGGCATGAGCGCCACGACACTGAATGTACTTTTGTACGCCGTATGAGATGCGTTTCGGGTCCCCATTCAGTATTCGCTCAAGGTCGCGCTCGGCAACTGCAACTGTTTGGTTCTGGACTGCTACGTGCGCCTTCACGAACGGCACCTTCCGCACTGCTACCACCGTGTCGTCGTTCGTCCGTACGTCGTCGTCGTTGGCGACCGATACATCCGCAACAAATTTTCGTTTCCAAGTGATGGGTCGATCAACATGAACAACATGTCCTGACTCGTCAGTAGTGAGCCAAAGTAAGTCTTCCTTTCCCCCTTCCGCCATCTCGCACAATGCTGTGTTTGGCAGGTTGAGTACGAGCTTCCGGTCTCCCAGTGGCTGCAAGAACTTGTAAAAGTACAGGCATGGCTACAACGAACATGGGAACTTATATCAAGGAGACGTCTTCATGGCACCGAATGTACCTTTAGGAGACTGCCCAACGGATTCGACTCCTATCCACGACTACAGGTCACTGCTTGTTGTGGAAACCGTCGTGCCGGGAAGGTCACCACTCCAAGAAGAATGGTCCATTGTCATACCGTCTCGATACTTGACAGGCTCAACATGGATCGGAATCGCCCGGGAAGCGTGTCCGTGCCGCTTCGGCCTTTCCCACGCCGCCGGCCTCCCTCGTTGAGCATCCCCGCGCGCGCGGATCCGTTTCAAAAAGTGCAAAACCTCTATAAATACATATACACTTTCCGTAAGACCTTTCAAAATCCATATCAGAAGATTCTCCAGGGCCAAAACGACACCATCTTGCGATTGCGATGGATGCTGCAACGGAACTCGTGTCGACGTCCAACTTCCACGCGACTCTACTTCCAGGTACGAGCTTACGTTGTGCCTCCCTCTGGCGTGTTCTCATGAGGGTGTAGGTGAGCTGTCGGTGATTCAGATCCCGCCGGCTCATGTTCGAGCGTGCTCGTGGGCGCTTCTCAAGTATGCAGTTGCAGTTGCGCGCGCAATCACTGCTTCTTCGACTCACGATTTTGGGTAGTTTGTTGTTGTATGGAGAATGCAGTCTGAACTGCCGCGAAGACGATGCTGCGACAGTGGACCACATTTGCCGTCTGAAGCAAACCGACCTGTTCTCGATGGTTGTCGACAACGACGGCATCACATTGTTCGTCGACCCGAATGGCATTGCCATGTTTGAGGCGGCCGTACGTTTCCTGACGAAAATGTTCCAAAGATGAGAATGTAGATAGAACTTGCATGACAAGATTCGCATGGCCCCGCAGCATTGGCGCGCAATCCAGGTCTGCCCACGACGCATTGCGAGCGGCATTTTCGCTCATCGCCTTCGTGGTAGATCCACTTGGGTCCTATGGTTGCAGAATTCCCAGGCGTAGTGAGCTTCTTGTCCAAGCTCTTGGCCGAGGACAACATTAGTATTCTCAACATGAGGTGCGCATGACGATCCCACGACTTTCATCGACACCCTTTGTAGCACATACGACACCGACATCATCTACGTGCAGGTGCAGTACGCCGAGCAGAATTCCTCAACCACACGTGACCACCACGTCGTGTGCCCAGGCATGCAAATTGGACCAGGCCGTGGCATGCCTTCGGCGGAAACTTTCGCGTGGCGTCACCGGGTTAAAAGCAGTGCGTGCATACTTCTCGCGACTTTGCCCATCCACATGAGCTGACGATTTGAACAGGACATGGAATCCGAATGTGAATTGCGACTGAGCGTCGATCCCGACATCCTCTTCGACTTGAAGGCTGTCGTCGATTCCGCGCAATATCTCGCCGGTACGATCTACTTTCTTCGGTCGCCTTCGCTTGCACAAGTCCATAAACAACAATCCATTGTTGGCTGTGTTGCAGGAGCAATGTACTCAGCGCATTCTGTTTAGTATATCCAGAACGGATGGTCCTGGTGCGGTTGAAGAAAGAGGCGCTTCGAGAGAGCGCATTCGGGTTGACGCAGCTGGTCCTGCGGTCGTCGTCGGCGCAAACGGCAGCAACACCGCCATCACATTGTAGCACGTCGTTCTGGTGCTACTGTGAAACTGCAGAAGAGATCAGCTTGATTCTCGACAACGTACGGTTGCTTTCACCCGTGTTCATGCTGACTTGCCGTCAGGAATGCTTGGCCGATTTCTCCGAGACCGCTGTGATCGTGTCCCACGACCGGTGGCGCGTCATCAAGCTGTGCGGGAAAACGTACGATTTCGAGGAGACCGGCATCGTCGCCGCCATGTCGGCGCTGAATGCGGTCGACACGCAAGTCCTCAACATCTCGAGCTTTGGCTCGAATGTGACGCTCGTGCTGGAGGAAGCTCTCGACGCGTCGGTCGCGAGTTTATGTGAGTCGCTCAACTTGACACGCGTCGACTATCGAGTCCGCGAGAGAGGGGGGGGCTCCGTCTGTTGAATAGGGGTATTTCTAAATCGAGTCGAATCCGTCGCCACCACGTCGACAGTCATCGAATGGACGACCGAGAGTCGGCTGGAGGAAAAGGGATGCTGTGGGTCAAGGAGCTGTCGTCACGATAGACGGGGCATCGACGGACGAGACGTGGGACGAATCGGGCTTCAAGAGCGCCCGCAGCACTTTGATCCGCGTGGCATATCCCACCGCATCTTTCGAGCGGGACGACGTTTTCGAACGTTTGTACCATGCCCATGCTTGATCGAGGAGGTCCACGGCGGCCGTCGGGTCGTCCGGCACGAGTTCCCTTGCCAGGTGAAACGATGCGACAGGTACGCTAAAGGACCTAGCGGTAGCAGTCGAGTCACCGACGGCCGCCGCCACCGCCAAGACTCGAGTGAAATGGCACTTTGCCAGTTGTTCGTCTGTCTTGAGCAGAACAAGGCCGCGAAGTGTCATCCAGTCGAGAGCAAAGTGCGTGACGTGGGCATCCATCGCAGCAAGCGGTTCGATGGACGTACCCGACAGCAGCTACGGAGGAAGCGCTGCGTCTTGCGCGGGGAATTGTTTGACCATGAGGGAATCCAAATGAGCCAACGCCGAGTCGTCGTGGGCTCTGGTTTTGCGGAGCACGTGCGAACTGTCGGAACACACGTAAAGTAGGTCGTACGGCAACAACTTCACGTGGATGTCGGACGCGATCGCGTGGTAGTAGCGTGCTCGATGTACCAACAAGCAGATGTCGACTGAGCCATTCGGGACGGATGTCGGGGATTCGGATTGCAGCCGCCTACACAGAGCTCTCATCTCGTTAGCATCGACTGTATGCACAGTCGGTGCCATCCGTACAAGGTTTGAGCGAGAAGCGACCGCACAAAACGAACGTTCGCATCACTCTCGCAGCACAAGGCGGCAGCAAGGTAGGTGCATGTCGTTTGCTGGGCGTCCACAGTCAGAACGGCGCGGGACTTGACGTATGCGGCCATCACGCGCTGAAAGGTATCGGCGGCTTGGTCCATTCGATGGAGCTTGAACTGCAGGCGGCCAATGTACACTTGAAGCAAGTACGGAGTGCCGCTGTCGTAGGACGCAGCGGCTTCCTGTGCGAGGTCCAACGCTTCGAAAGGATTTGCATGTTGCAGCTGCACGCTACGACTCCACATGAACATGATCCATTGAGGATGCGTTTGTAAACAGGTCGTAGCAACGTGGAGCAAGGCCAAAGCCTCCATCAACACGTCGTCTGCATCAGCCTGGGCACGCTCGGGCCGACAAAGTGGGCTGTCGTCCGAGTCCGAGCCGTCTGACGCGGTGGACATTGCGCTGTCATGGTATTCGCGCGCTGTGCACACGCTAGTTGCCCGTGGTGCAGTGCTCGAGGGATTGCTTGGCAGAGGGGTTACCGGTCCGTTCCCACCCTTGGCCTTGCGCGCGGCGACCCAGTGCTGGAGCAGCATGGGCGACGAATTCATGAGTAGCAAGCCGGCCCAATGCGACCGCGAATGGCCAGCTGCCCAGCTCATGTGGACCATGCGAACGCCCTCCTGGAGGCTGCTCCGCTGCCACAACTGCAAGATCCAGTGGTACTCGGACGGTACGACACCGCTTGCGAACAGCGCAAACGCCCCGACGCCGAATTGGGCTCGTCCAAGCACATCTTGCAAGGCCATTGCGGGAACGTCCCATAGCGACGACGGTTCTGCCATGCATGCAGAGTAAATCTGAGTGTACAGCTGATGGCATCGTCGAAGTGTTGCAGCGACTCCAGCATGAGAACGACCCGCCAGCAGTTGCGCCATGCTTGAAAACGCCAGCGCTTCTGCAAGCGCAATATCTACCAGCAGCTTGTCGGTTCGGGACAGCTGAGGCAAGTCGGTGAACTTCCCGAGAATGGACACAGCGGCGGTCGCATCGGCCACAGCTTTCTAGAGAGAGCAATACATGAGATCCGAAGCATGGCATGGGCTTCATACGTCAATGGAAAGGTTGTCGCCCGTCAACAATGCGCGAAGGCACTGGATTTCGGCTCTGAAGAGAGGAACATGGAAGTGGCAGCCAGGAGGCAGCGCCGAGATGATCGCAATTGCTTGGTTCAACTGGTTCGAGAAGATGTAGGATTGAACCAATTCGAGCTGCCGTTCAATGCTCTCGAGCGACTGAAACGATGTAGGGAGCGTGTACGACGTATTGCGCAGGAGAGATACCTCGAGTTGAGCTCGGCAGTCGTCGCGAAAAGTGAACTCGGTTGGTGGGGACAACTGACCAGCATCAAGTGAGAACGCTGGCATATCGAACGAAGTCCATACCTGTTTGAGGAGCTGCCTCAATTCACTGGACGTCATATGTCCGACCCATTCGCCGTTCACAGCCACGAGGACATGCCCGACGTGAACACTCGACCATCCCCCCCCTGGTGTAGTCGTGACGAATTGGCGCAACACGTCGTATTCAATGGCTTTGACTTGATGCCACTTCGCAAAGAACGGCTTGGTAAATCGCACGCCTGCGCTCTCGGTGTATGGCTGGCCGTCGGTCGCCGATATGCAGCACGTGTACTCGCCAGGGTGCCGCTCGACCTCGATGCCCATGTTGATGGATCGAAGCAAATGCGTTGTTCCGATCGACGATCAATCGGCACTGGCGGACCGTGATTGGCTCGTGAATTCTGTACACGTACACCTTGAATGTATTTGTAATATTGAACTCATTATGTAACTTGTTTCGAACATATGGAACGTACTTGTCGTACAATGACGTAAGGGCACGCGCCCGAGCTTAAAGCGAGTCGTCTAGCTGAGCGCCAGCCCCAACGTTCGGTAATAATGTTGAGGTCCATTGGTAGAGCTAGCTGCGTGTGGATGTCCCCATGCAAAGCATGTTGAGTCGAACTGACGGCGGGGTGCATCCCGTGTTTGTCCTGATGAATTGTTACCTGGTTTTCGTATTTCGAAGTTCAATGTGAAAACCTGTATGTTTGAATAACAGATGGCGAGGTTCTCACAGCAAGCATGGGTCCGCCAACCCTCCATGCTCTAGTTGCGTTTATGATGCATGAAATCGCCAAGGGAACATGTCGGTAGTTGAGCGGAACGAATGCTGGACAAGAGACATGGCGGCATTTTAAACAAGGACGTGGCTCGAAGCTTGCACTGTTTGTTTCAACGCCACCACGCCACCAAAACCTTTGAAAATGAATACATGCATCTTGACAAACAACTAACTACAAGTGAGATGGAGACACGGAGAATCCGCCGCCGACACGGCTTGCACTGGCCATTCCATGGGCGGCAGGTTTGCATGTTCGCGGTTTACCTCTTGTCCATTGCGTGTGCGGCTCTCTCGATATCTACACTCTTGCGCTTGGAGACCTCAGCACCTCATGGAGACTACGAGACGTTTTCTTCGAGGGTACGAACCAGCCGCGATGCCTTGATCGCAATGTTCGTCATCACGTTTGGCCTCTTTCTGTACGTATCCCTTGTGGATACATCCGCTACGAGTGACTTGCCCATTCGAAAGGGGGAGAAGGTCGTTCGTTGCCAGGTGTGCCTCATCAACGTGGCTCGTCCGACCCGTCACGCCAATGCTGTCACAAGTGTGTGGATGGTTTCGACCACCACTGCCAGTACCTCAACACGTGCATCGGCCGGCGAAACCTCAAGCAGTTCCGATGGCTCATACTATGGAACGTCCTGTACCTTGCCGTCCAGAACGCCGTCTCGATGTACGCCATCTCGATTCTCCCGCGACAGACCTCGTACGACGCCACGATTTGTCTCGATGTTTCCCGTCGACTTTCTTCTAGGACGGCGTTCCTCTTGTGCGGACTCACGATCTTGCCTGGTTTGGCTCTATTGGGCATGCTCGTCCTCGCCGCCTTCCAAGTGTACATTTACTGGAAAGGTATCCACGTTCATGGTGACGTCGCATGGTCCATGGAGCACCGAGGTTACATAGGCATGCCCACGTTTGAATTTGCGGTGCAGTGTGCCAGACAGCATGCAAAAATGGCGAAGCAGGTGACCGTGGTAATGAATAATGTCGTCTCATGTGCAAAGGCTTGTGCTTGAGCGTATTCCCACCTGTAGGACCACCACATGGCCACGATGGCACCTGCAGCGGCCACCATCACCGTCAGTGAGCAGGTTCAACCCACTCGCGTGCGTGAGTTTGCGTAGCCGACACATTCGAGCCCGCGTTGTCACTTAACTTAGAAATATCTAGAATCCAATTGCACGAGCGGTGCTTATGATGCTTGGACAGGGCTGTAGCGGCCGACGAGCGTCCCGATCTCCAGCGCCACGTGATCGAATGTCCTGTGATGCTCTGTCGCAGGATTGTCTCCATCGTGCTTGGCCAGTCCTGCAGGAGCAGGTAGATGAGCTATAGTTGCCGGGTCGGGGGCGTTTGCCATTGAAGCGGGGACGGAGACCAGCGTTGGCGGATGCGGGCCATCACCAACTCCTTCCAAGAGTGCCTGCTCCAACTTTACTGCGTCGGCGACCCGGAGAGCATGAGCTTGCACGCTCTGGCCGACTCGCACATGCAACGCCACAACTTGGGCGACTGCCGTTTGCTGCTGTTTGATGGACTCCAACTTCCCAGACAGGACCCCTGGTTGAAACCGCGACGACCACACACTCTGAGTGACGCATCCGCGGCCTTCCAGCGCCTCGAGCTCATGGGATATAGCAGAGTCGATGCGCCTAGAATGAGTCGTGGATGCGACGTGGCCAAGAATCCACGCTTTGCACTCGTCGAGGTCCTTGGCCTGCTGCTGGATAAGCTTTTCTTGCTCCTGAACGGTCTGAAGCACTTCTTGGTACTTTTCCTTTAATGCCTTGAGCTCCGCGCTGGCAACTGCCGCTGCACTCGAGTGTGCGAGTTGAAGCTGGAGGTTGTCGTTTTGGAGCCCAAGCAGGTTAAACTCTTGGACGGCAATGTCCATCTTTGCCGATATGAGTTCGCCTTCCAAAGCAAGGACTTGATCTTCCAGTGCTGCAATCTCATGCTCATACGAGGCATTTGATAAAGAGCATGGTGTCGCGGATGCGTTCAACACGATGTAGTCGTCCGGCACAGATTCGCTCTGTGCACGTTGTCGAACAGGACCTACATGACAATCGTGCTATAAGACGACTTGGTATGCGTGTCGTAACATACTTGGCGCCGTGCTCCGATCATAGGGTCGATACTCCACCGGGACGCGCGAGATCGAGTGCTTCCGAGGCATTCGTGGTGGAGACCGTTCCACCGCGGGTGGGTGTCGTGATGGTGTCCGCTCCGCCCTATCGAACGTTCCTTGGCCGCACCTGTGCGTGGCAGCTGGCGTGGTGTGCGTGTTCATGGACTGCGCTCGCGCCCTGGACCGCACAGACACATTCATCTTGGTCGATGGATGCATCGGCGATCAATGAGCCAGCAGACCTTCGCACTGTGTTGCGAATTGAACGGATATTTCCATCGGCCAATCACAGTCGCCATTGTATTTTGGATTCCAAGTGTATCACACGCGTTTGTAAAGCGTTCAAAACGATCGTTTCGAACGACACGTCACCAAACACCGGGTTGGACAGTCCATACCTCAGTTCTACCTACTGTAACTGACGACCTTTGGCATTATCACTCCAGAAGTCAATTAACCTGCAATACGAAAAACACGACAATGTCGTTTGAGACGGTTTGCGAACGCGTATCAAAAGCAACCGCACAGGTTGCCACGTACTCAATCGTGGCACTCGCCTGCTGCCGATGGTCGTACGCTGGAAATCAAATCCCGACCGACCCAAAGAACAACACGCATCTGCCACAACATCAATGCGCTTGACCGTGCCATGGCAACTGGCGACCTTTGTCTCCATAGATCCTCTGGATCCCATTCTTCTCCATAGGCAAAAGTGCATACTTCAACGGCGACCGCGCGATGGGAGTGTCAAGGGATTTTCCACTTTCGGTGCATATCACCTACATATTTCTTGGGTGCTGTGTCTGCATGCAATTAGCATCGTGCAGCTAACGTCTAGATGCTACGTACTCACAACGACCGTCGATGCAAGCGTTTTCTTGGAGTGCGTGCCAACGTGAACGACATGACCTGTGTCACAGTGCGATCATGTGATTGCAAAATACGCGACGAGTTCGACCCATCGCTTCCGATTCGAGCATACGGCGCGACTCCACGACATGCGCAAATAAAAGGGTTGCTTCTTTAGCAAACACACAGCACGCCAGATTGTCGACGACATGCCCTAACTACTTCGACCGCGCCGAAACCTTAAGCTTCGTCCAAGATGATCGTCTTAAGAATGCGCGACGTCACCGTGTACGGGTCCATGTTGGAGGCCGGGCGGCGGTCTTCGAAATAGCCCTTGCCGTCGGCTTCCGTAGAGCGGGGAATGCGGATCGACGCACCTCGGTCGGCAACGCCGTACGAAAACTTGTCAATGCTAGCGGTTTCGTGGCGGCCAGTCAGGCGGCGCTCGTTGCCGGCACCGTACGCGGCGATGTGTTCCTTGTGCTTCAACTTCAGCTTCTCCAAAGCTTCGATGATGTGGGCAATGCCGCCGTTTTCACGCATGGCCTTGGTGCTCACGTTGGTGTGGCAGCCAGCACCGTTCCAGTCACCCGGGATGGGCTTCGGGTCAAAGGAAACAATAACGCCGAAATCTTCGCAGACACGGAGCAAGATATAGCGCGAGATCCACATTTCGTCACCCGCCGCAATGCCTGTGCAAGGGCCAACTTGGTATTCCCATTGGCCAGGCATGACTTCGGCGTTGATGCCAGAGATGCGAATGCCGGCGTACAAGCACGCACGGTAGTGGGCGTCGACAATCAGTCGACCGAACGCAGAGTGGGCACCAGCACCGCAATAGTACGGGCCTTGGGGACCAGGGTAACCGCCCTGCGGCCAGCCGTAGGGAGTGACCTTATCGGCTTCGAACAAGGTGTATTCTTGCTCAATACCAAACCAAGGTTCGTGAGCAGCCGACGCCTTCATGACGCGCAGGGCATCGTGGCGAGTGTTCGAGGGAATGGGCGTGCCGTCCGGCTTGTAGCAGTCGCACAAGACCAAGATGTGGTTGCCACCGCGAAAAGGATCCTTAAAGATCGCAGCGGGCTTCAAGAGCACCTCCGAGTCTTGGCCAGGGGCTTGGTTCGTGGAGGATCCGTCAAAGTTCCAGTACGGCAAGTCTTCTACAGACTTAGGGGCCTTGTCGAGGGTACGGGTCTTGCAGCGGAGGTCTTCACCCGAGCCACCGATCCAGATGTATTCGGCTTGGATATACGAGCCCGTGTCGAGGGACATGTAGCGATCGTAGACAGCGCGATCCAACTTGCTCATGGCGCAGTCTTGGGTGTTGGAGGAAATCCAAAAGTGAACGATGTGCCGAACGAATCGTTGGATATCTCTTACGATGGACAAGTATTTAAGAACATGGTTTTAAATACGATATTAAACTTGCCATTTGTATGGGAGGATTACTCCTGCCATTAAAATTCCTCTCACGCCCCAAATTTATTCATTTATACAGGTTTTCATGTGGATATATCCCCGTGACGCCTCGTGAGTCAACTCGCGCCTCACTGGCTCGACCAATCAAACTGCTTTCCTGGACTTCCTCGAGAATATTTCTGTGGCTCCAACCGGCGGGCCAAGAGGGTGGCCACGAGCGGTTGTGTCGGCGCGGTGTCCATGTAGCAGCAACCCACTTCGGTAACCACGTGCGCGCGGGGCCTGCTGTAAGGCCACACAAGGGGGGATATCTTCCTTTCGCATAGACTGCCCTTCAAATATGGGGCGAGTACTCTCCCGCCGGCAACGTCGTCGACATGATGCTCTTTGCCTTAGGTGTATCGTGTTCCAGGCAAGTTCTCGCTTGAGTGCGCAAATCACCACCGCCGTGGCTTGGGCTATCGTACCACGAGCGCGTATCAGTGATCGTTGGGTGTTTGCGCACTTGGACAACTTAATTGTACTGGGATATTCCACTGCTGTTCCCAATTTCACGGTGGTGGGAAGTGCGATCTTCCCGTTGAAGCATGGGAACGTCCTTTCAGGATGTTAGAAATAACAAGTCTCCCAATCATTCCATCAATGTGGCTTAGCTCCATTGGGATGTTTCCTACTTGTCCGCCATTGTGCCACGTGCGGCAGATAGTCGATAGTCCCTTGTGACGATGAAACACAACGCAACCAGAGGCCGCCTGGCTGCTCCGGCAGCTACGCAAGCAACTCCATGATTCTTGTGGCCACTATCGGTGTTCACTCAACAACAGAATCTGTTCCACCATCGAGGCAAGTGTTTTGGACTTTTGAGTCACCCAGCAGGTTGGTGACATAGTCGTCAGGGGCGGCATATAGCGCTTCACACGTTTCCAAGGCTTGCGTAGGCTGTCTCATCACTCTGCTCCGAGTGCTCTTGTGGTGTTCGCACAAGGTGCAGTCCCGACCATTGCTTGCGTACATGGGGTGCAAAACCAGTGTTCCCGCAGCTATCATGCATGGCTGGCCGCGGTTGGTCAGCGCTTGTACAACCAAATGGGTTCCGACATTGTTGCGAGAAGTGTACTCCACTTTGACGTGCCTGGCATTAATTACGTGCCCATGACGAGCCACCTCTGGACATTCTGAACAAGACCGTTGGCACGACAGCCAACGTGCGTCGGTGACCACATCGTTTATGAGCTTGGCGCAGGAGCCTACTCGTAGCCATGAAAAACAGAGAGGTCAAATTCCAATCGACCATACCTCGGCCGAAGCTTCGTTGTCTTTGGAACTGTCGGCTTCGATGGACGTGGCAGGGGCCGCGGCGCCCTCTGCCGCTGCCGTCACCCCCCAAGCAGCATTGGCGGCGTCCACACCGTAATACGCGGCATATTCGTAGTACCCGTTCCAATACGCGTTGGGGTCGTTTGAGTCGGCGGCAGCGGTAGTCGAAGCCGCCGCTGTCGTCGCTGCTGTCGTCGCACCTGCTGCAGGTGTTGTCGCTGCTGCTGCGGCAGGGGTAGCGGCCTGGGTTGCCGCTGCAGGTGCCGCTGCCCCAGTTGCACTTGCCGCAGCTGCAGCCGCCGCTTCTGCCGTCATCCCGCTTTGTTGGTAATAGGCTTGGTATTGCTCGTACGTGTATTGTGGGTAAGCTTGAGCATACTACAACAACGACGCAGTAAGCACACCCTCGTGGGACAGTATCTGAACCATACCTGTTGCTGGTACTGCTGTTGATAAGATTGGTACTGCTGGTCGTAGCCTCCCCCGCCATAGTGGCTGCTTTGGCTGCCATAGCTGCATGTCCGTTAGCGCAATGATGCAGAAATGGAACGTACTGCGACGAATGATTCGAGTACCGCGAGTTGCGGCCACCTCCGCTGCCTTCATCCTGCAACAGTTTGAGATGCCACACGGCATCGGTGGTATTTTAGACGTGTACACCTACCCCCAAGAGAATCGCGTCGATCTCTGCCTTGGCCATCGCGATGGACTCCATGTTGCTGGCCGATATAGTAATCGTGCGCACTTCGGGCATCGACCCAGGGTCGACGACGTTCGGGATCTGGACTCTGACGTTGTTGCGGTCCTGCACCGCTTTTATTGTCGATCCGCCACGCCCGATGACAATCCCGACCTGAGGCAACACCACGTCAGCCTGGAGCGTTCCAAGACTGAACAAGCTAGACGTACCCGGTCATTGGGAATCTGCATGTATATCACATTCGTTCCGGCAGGCACGAGCGAGTGCTGGTCGCTCACTAGTAGCTGAATTTCCTGCCGCGCCTTTTCCCGTGCGTCGTGCGACCCCGTGATCATGAGCGTACGAAGTCCGGGGTTCTCTGTGTCCGGGGCCGGAGGGATTACGATCGATGCACCGGACCGCTGCTGCACACCCTTCACCGTGGACCCTTGTCGTCCAATAATCAACCCGACTTTGTCGTTGGGCACGGAAAGCTTCATCGTTTCGCCGCTGTGGCCGCTGCCGCCGTGCAGGCGGTCACCGAGGAGGTCTGTGATCAGTTGCTTGGCGATCTCGACCTGCGCAGGCGTCCCCGAACACATGACGGTGCGCTCGGTCAAGTCCGGATTGACTTCGTTCTCACGCGCAACCTGAATGTGGCATCCGCTCTTGCCTTGGAGTTCGCGGATCGTCTCGCCGCCTTTTCCGATTATCAACCCCACCAACGACTTGGGCACTGGAATGTTGAGCGTCGTGTTGTCGTCACCGTATCCGCTGCCTGATCCACCACCGTACCCTCCTCCATACTGGCCTCCGTAGGTACCGGAGCCTCCTCCGGGTCCGTAATGGCCGCCGCCACCTCCGTCTTGCTGGTTGTTGTTTTCAGCCACCCTGATGGAAGGCACGTCAATCTAAGCTAGTTGAAGGAAATGATGACTTACTGGCGTAGTTGCTCTTGCTTGAGCTTCATGGCTTGCTCCGGGTTGAACAAAATGTCTTCAACTTCCCGCTGGGCGCGCGCAATCTGTTCGTCCGTGTCGGCCGTGATGAGCACATGCAAATCTTCGTCTTCATCGGCATCGCCTGACGGTTCCTATTACCATCGCCGTCTTTGTATGGTGCGCCTCGACCAAGAAAGAATACCTTGGACGACCCCCTCCCTCGAATGAGGATTTTCGACCCCGACAGAGTTTCCATGCGTTTTTGGTTAGACCCACGGGGTCCGATAAGAAGCCCCATAAAGTTGATATCGGGGTACTTCTCCACCGGGATGTACACCTTCTTGAGCTTCTTGCCCATGGATCCAGGTCCATGGTCGCCCTAGTCGACGACGTATGTTAATCCGAGTCAAATAGCGCCTCCACGTCCAGTTTGCACGCTTAGTTTACACTTACATCCCATTTTCGCTTTCCATGGGTGCTCATGTCGGGGACTACGGCGGACAAACGCGCGGCAATGGCTCGCGCGCGCGCAACGGGATCATTGTCGGCCATTGCGAGGACCCTGGAGAATGGATGAATAGAATGCGGTAGGGAATTGCTCGCGGTATTTTAGCGAATCAAGTGAATTCAATCTTTTTAGCCAATCAGAGATTCGTAGTTGAATTGTCCAATCAAACCGAACGCGACTCAAGTTGGTACCGCGGCAGACGCTAGGCAAACTGCGATGTCCCAACGCGTACCGCTCTTGAAGGCCAAGCCTGCGAGGAAACCCATCCGAGGGCTCCTGATTGCACCCAAGGTCAAGCCATCATCGTCTCAGTCAAGCACAGCCTCAGGAGGCTCTGCTACACAAATCGTAGCACAAAACCCATCGCCTCCAGCCGTCAAGACGGCGGAGGTACCTGAGGATGGAAGTGGTCAACCACACGAGTCGACCACGATTTCAGTGCCAAGAGAACGTGCGATATCTAACAGTGTCAGCGTCCATGCGTCGCCATCCCCTTCTCACGATCGTTTGGGCTTGCAAAGACGTGGCACACGTTCATCTGCTGCAACTTCTCCCAGAGCTGCAGCCGCCAGCCCCAAACGCGACGATCCAAACGTCGCGCCCATCCGCATAAAAGTGCCTTCCAACTCCCCTGCACCTCGCATCACTGCTGCTCCTCGAGGCATCATTGCTCCAGGGGGGTCGTTTGGGCTGCCGCCTCCACCGAAACAACTTTCAACTTCCACCTCGCAGCTATCTTCTTCTCGTCCATCGCCCAAGGTTGTATATGCCATATGAACCGGTCAATTGAACTCATATAAGTTTTGAACCAGGGCATACCTCTGCCTTCTCGCGTATTCCAACCTGGAGGCAGCAATCTCATTTCCTCTGCCCCTACTGGCACTGCCACGCCGTCCAAGGTATGTCCTCGACACATCACGTCGATCAACAACTCAGCCGCGTTGATCAGGTATCACGTGGTGGTAGCACTGCAGCGGTTAGTGAGGAAGAACAAGCCTCGCTAGCAAAGAGTTCCGCCAAGACCGCCAGCAAACCAGACACGGGCGGAGTAGGAGATGATGACGACTCGGATGACGTACGCACATGGACACGACGCAAGTGCAGAAATTTGTCGTGCCCTCAACATGGGTTGAAATAGGCTCCAGTGGCCACTCGATCGCGCAAAGCACCGCCCAAGCGACTCCTCAGCCTACCGCCGCGCTCCAAGGTACGAGGAGCGATGTGCCTTTGCTCCTGTCATCGTGAGACGAATAGGCGGCAAAAGGTCCGGTAAAAACACGCCGCAGTGCCAAGCGCCCACTTGAAGAATCCATCGTACGACCGAGCAACTTCGTTCATCTTGTCACCTTGACACGGACTTTGTGTAAAGCTTCCCATCAAGAACCAGTTTCTCTTGTACGCGTCAAATCCTCCAGTACAGTCAAAGATCACGCCGTTGTGTACTGCTTGCTGGTCATTGCACGCTCTGTTTCTAGCCCGAACGTGTGGTCAAGCGCCGATCGTCGACACGGCGCCAGGAACTGACGCCGACGGAGTCGGAGCATCAAATCGCGTCCATGACGATGGGCGAGTTGGCTCTCTCGGTGCCATTTGGCCAACCCACCGACGACAGCCACATTAGCTCGAACGAAGACGATGAAGACGACCATGCAAAGTCGAGCGCCGCCGAGGTGACCTGTCCGGCCGTATCTCGTTCGTTTCTGAAATTACTACGAGTAGGTTGCTGCTCGACGAACTGCCGCGTCGCGTGGCGCTGCCTCGTAAGCTGCTCGTCCTTTCCATGGCGATTTTTGAATTTTGCACTGCACAGGGGGCGCCCGCAAGTTGAGATCGTGAACGGTCAAATTGTTCTCGCGACCAACAGTCTCACCGTCCACGAAGATGAACTGATGCAAGAGGACGACGAGGCGGAAACCCACTCGAGTGCGAAGGAACACCCACGCGTGGGACGTTCAGGTGCTTGGCTGCAACCACGTGTAGCGAAAATGTGAATGGGAGGTATTGAGTAGGCTACTTGTCGGGGCGTCGAGCGAGCAAACGGTGGGGGTACGTCGAGACGAAGCAATTTTTCTACTGCCTGAGCCACGTCGGCACGGACTTCACGTTGATGGAGACGCTGTTTCCAAACCGAACGCGTTCTGAGCTCAAGATCAAGTTCAAGTCAGAAGAAAAGCGACATCGTGCGCTAGTGGACGTGGCGCTCGAAGGCGCGAAGAGACCGTTGGGTACGTGGCACACACAATTGGATCGAGTGAAGGACCTTTGCCATCATGCAGATGCGGATGTCATGGCGTTGGCGGCACAAAACCTCAAAAAGCTCATGGCAAAATTGAAAAGAGGGGGCGACGAGGACAGCGATGACGGCAACAACGATGAGAACGAAGATCACGCACCTCTAGAGATAGAAACGGAAGGGGAATTCCTCTTAATTTGAGCGTAAATGTCGACGGGACACCGAAACAACGACTCGTGTGTACGAGAGCATTCATTTGTGCTTGCAAAGGTAGACTGCGTCCGGCGGGGGACCGAAAAACGATGTGATTGATCTATGAAGAGGATGACGGGGTGTCGGACGGCGCAGAGACCACTTCCGATCGAAAGTACTGCGCGGAAGGCCGCTTTTCTTCCGCAATGTTCATTGCCTGAAGAATCTGCTGTTGTTGCTGTTGCGTGGCAGCTTTAGCAGATCGACAAACGACCCTGAGGAGGAGATGAATGTCGTGAACGTTGGAATCATGGCATGACTTACCACGAGACCCCGGCGACACCCACAAACGAGTACAATGCAAAGTCGCAAGCTGTCTGCACCTTCCTTGTGACGCGGAAGCGGTGGAGACCAATGCCAACCCCTGTTGCGATGCCCCACAGCAGTGCGGATCGGAAGCACGGCTCCTTTGTGATGTCGGACATGGTCGAGTTGTCTCGATGTGTCCACAATACTGCTCCAATCACACGTCATATACAATATGACCATATATTCATTTATAGGAGCATATCTTTCAGTGGAATAATGTGAGTTTCGACATGTTGTATCATTTTTCAGCGCATATTGAGTTATAGGAACTGTTGCATGTGGAAGTTCACACGGGCATTTTGATGCAGCAACTGGCAGCGCGTGGACGCCGCCCCTTCCTCTCTCGGCCGTGGCAACTGGCACCGGCACCCCGAATGCACAGCGGAGTAAACCACGATCATAGCCACGACCATAGCCATGATCATGATCATAGCCATAACCATAGCCACGATCATGATCCCAATGGCCACGACGATGAAAACTTGGCGATCGGGCCAACGCCGCCACTCAACATGGCTGTCCACAGTTTCAAGACGAATCACTCTGGCCTTCAAATGCAGGTTCTGGGCCTGTACAAGAAGTGTCTCGTTGCTGCCAAGGAAAAGGAGAAGAATGGGGCTACTGACAACATCGAGTTTGTGCGCCAGAAATTTCGAGAAGATGCTGCGTCTGTAGGCCGCATGGACTTTCAAAAAATTGAGTATTTGATCCGCAAAGGCGAGCGCCAAGTGAAGCAGTACCGCCAAGTGAAGTCTGCGACCTTTGCCACTCCCCGTCGTGCATCCCTGACATAATCTACCCAATGTGTGATTCTACTCATGGTCCCCATGCACTTTGCATTCGAAATTCGTTATGTGCCTGCCCTGAAGTGTGCCAGATTTCTATCAACATAACAATTGATACAATTGAGAACAATTCCCCCATATTTCCGACGAATATTTGACTTTTTCTCATTCAATTTGGCCAATGAGATGCCGCCACCACATTTTCCACAGCAGACTTCTCGACATGTCTTGCGCGGCGCTGTATCCGCAGGCTCGCAAGCTCGTGTTTGAGCTCAAGACCCAACTGAACTACCTCGAGTCGTCGCCAAGTTTGGATGTGTTGAGCGGAACCACCGAAAACCAGGCACGAGAGAATGCAGCGGGCCTCAAGTCTCTCGTGGAGCAATTGGACTCGCTTGTATACAACGAAAACCCGAGCAACCGCGAAATCTGGGCGAAGAAAGTGCACCAAATTCGTGAAGAGTACACGCTATTAAACACGACGCTCGAGCGACGCTGCATTCAGTACAGCCGATCGCAAATCGAGTTCCAAGAGCGAGAAAAGCTTATGTCTCGCCAGCGCCACCAGCAACAAGGGAACGATATCCACTACCTCACGCAAGAACACGACTCGCTCCATCGGTCGTCTCGGATGATCAACGAACTGAATGAACTCGGTGCCGCAACCATGTCGAACTTAAGTACGTATGGCAGTTCATCCCGTGAAGTGTCTCAAAATCGGTCCATCGATAGACGATCAACGCAGTCGACTAAAAGGCGTCCATCGAAAAGTTTTGGACATTGCCAACCATCTCGGGTTATCAGGTTCGTTACTGCGTGTGATCGAGAGGCGGGAGACTGCAGACAAGTGGATTGTGTACGGCGGTATTGTCGTTGTCCTCTTGTTCATGTACATTTGCGTCGCACACCTACGAAGCTGACGATCCCTGCCCTCCCATGCCACAAAATCGCAGCGCGTCGCACAGGTCGACGCGCTCATAACACGAAACCAGTCGTGATTAGTTGCCCCAAGACTGCATGTCCTTCATCCCAGTACACCTCGTCTCCATCATTCCGCAGTTCTGTCGCTTGTTCCCTCGTCCCGTCCACGCCCTCTCTGGGCATCCATCCACTTTCGATTCAAACACGTCAGCATTTTGACAACTTGACGATGGAATGATCGAAATTCAAATCTACTGCGCTAGCGCAAGATGCATGCACTTGATCGCGCTTGTCACGATCGCATCACAAATGGATGCTGGAGAGCTTCGGCGACGGTGAGGCGCTTGGCAGGATCGAAAACAAAGATCTTGTCAAGTAGATCCTTGAGCTCCATGACGAGTTTCTTGTCGTCTGAGTGCGATTTGGCCGCGAGCAATGCCGCCGTCAGGTCTCTCGTTCCGTTGACAGTGTTGATCGTTCGCACGACGGGGACGCCTATGATTCAATCATGGATTCATTCCATGTTGACGGTAATCATACCGGTGACGCGATCGATTTCGCGGCTACAAAAGCGGAGGCCGTCGTCAAAATGCGGCTCCATGAGGAATTTTTCTTGGTACACTTGACGATGGCGGCGCATCAACTTGGTCGGGAACCGGCCTTTGAGTTCCATAAAGAGTTTGAGCATCTCGTTGTTGGTTTGGCCGGGAAACATGACTTTGCCCGTAAACATCTCGTACAAACAACAGCCCAAGCTCCACATGTCGACTGCAAAGTCGTACGGGAGTCCCAGAATTACCTCGGGCGCACGGTAATACCGACTCACGAGATATGGCGTCGGATCGTTCACTTCGCCAACGCCCACTTTGAACGCCGACCCAAAGTCGCACAGCTTGACCATCGACTGCTTGTCGTCCAGGAGCATGTTGTCAGGCTTGATATCTACGTCATCCGCTACGTCAACGATTCACCAACCCACACGAGCGGACACTACCTGCATGGACGATGCTGCACGTCTGCAAGTGATCAAGCGCAAGCACGAGTTGGCGGCAGAACACCTTGACACCGCCGAGAGCGAGGCCGTCGCGGCCACCAAATTTTTTCATGGCTTCGCGAACATTCATTTGCATCGGTTCAAACACCATCGCGGCATGGCTGCGGAACTCGAACGAGTTCAAGAGGCGCACGACATACTTGGAGCGGCGGGGACCAGTCTGGAGCTCTGTCAACAGGCGCACTTCCAACTGGGCGGCGTCGCGCATCGTGTCATTGTTGCGAATGAGCTTCACGGCCACAGTCGTGTCATCCTTCATTTGTTTGCACAGCAACACGCTTGAAAACACGCCTTTCCCCATCTACGACAGAGTCATCATTACCAAGGCAAGACACAAAACGGCGGCATGCATACCGTGCCCATGACGCGATACTCTCCATTCAACACTTCGCCAATGTTGGCTTTATAGTACCCTTCGCTGTCGTCGTGGTTTCCATGCCGCTCGAGCGCCAGCACTGCCGGACGCAGCGACGACTTCTCGCGGTACGAGTCTGAATCGGAGACACGACCGTCGTCTTCGTCGTTGTCGTCCAGGGCAAACATGTCGAATTCCACGGGCTGGTCGACTGTCGGGACAGGTTTTGGCGCGACGGCCGGGGATCTCTTCGGTGATACTGCTTTCTGGATTGTGCTACCTTGGTCATCGTGAGCAGGACTGATTGACGCTGACACGGCCTCGGACGTCTCAGCACCATGTTGTTCGTCTGATATCTCCTGCGTTGACAATGCATCCGTCGACGAGCTCGATGCTTTGGGTTTCGCAGACTTGCGCAACTCGAGCACACCTGTTGTATCATCATCATGTCGAGACTCTATGGCGTCGACTTGAGGTTCGATGTCAGCGTCGGGAGCGACAGGTGCAGCAATTTTCGAGGCTGCTAGCGACTTGGCTGCTGCCAGGGCTTTCAATATGTTGTTCTTCATCGATTCGACGTCGATCGCTACCTTAGGGACAGGCGGGGATTCCATTGAAGACGTCGCAGCAGTAGAAGCTTTCGATGGGGAAGGCACAGAGGTAGTAGCTGGCGTTTGGTTTAATGGACGGGGAGACGATGGGGCTGCAACGGAAGCGATTATACGAGGGGGTGGGGGCTTCATGTTCGATGTCAACGGCGGTGGAGGAGGTTTGGCCGTGTCCCCAAGTGGACGTGGTGGCGGCGCAGGCTTGACACTTGTTGCTTGCTGAAGAGGCGGAGGCGGGGGTTTGGAGGACAGCAGTGGGGATGATGTCTCTGGCCCTTTCGCTGCAGAAGAGGATTGTCGACGCTGAACAGGTCCTCCCAGGACGATAGAGAGCGCCCCCGGCTTGCTAAGGGACTTATTAGTTGCTGTTGGGACAACGTTATCAATGCGGAATATGTCCGAGATCGTGCCTTTCACGCTTTCCTTACTCGCCGGGGTTCCTGTCGTCGTCGTCGTCACTGCGGGGGTGAAAGTTGCCTGCTTGGGGGCCACAGATGCCACGACTGATGGTGCGTTTGCCAACTCGTCGTTATCGAAGGATGGTCTCGACTCCTTTTTGTCGGAGAAACGCGACGTTTTCTTTGGTTTGGTGTCTGGAAATGGGGTGGTCGATGGTGCAGCGTCAGGTAACGTTGTGGGAATTGCAGGTTTATCTGACTTCACGTCAACATTCGTAGCGCTTGCATCCTTTTTCAAAGGGGACGACTTTTCGTCCTTGTCGTGGTCTCGACGGGACGCGGAAATGCGGTGCTTTCCTCGCGATCGAGATCGGCTGGTGCGACTAAGTTTGCGTTTCTTCGAGTCTCGACGACGGCGGTCATCATCGGGGCGATGGCGCTTCTCTCTGGAGGAGCTTCGATCGCGACGCCCACGGTGTTGTCGGTTCGGAGATCGTGATACAGAGCGTCGGCGGCGTGACCTCACTCTGTCTTCCGCCATCTTTTTGCCTTGTGGTGGAGCGACGTGGCGTCTTATTGGATAAAACTTTGAAAATATATGCATTGTATTGGCTGACAAATCGGTTTCAAGGACATTCCGGATACATGATCCCAACTCCTCCGGATAAAGTCAAACGTTTCGATATTTTGGCGTTTCCAAGTGAACACGACGACGCATTGAACAAACACTGCGTGTGCCATGGAGCATGACGGCGCATCGTCAACCCTGGATGAATACCCCTACGTGGCGCTGGCGGAAACGCGCCGTCGCATCTATGCTTCAATCCCTCGCCGTCGATCGTTGATTGAGACGCCATTTTTCGAAGAGGATGAAGCTGCAGAACTGATTCTCAAGGCGAACGCGCCGCCCAACACTGTCGATGGCACCATCCACGGTACTGAGACCGCCGGCTACGACATAACCCAGATGATTTCTCACGCGATCCATGTTTCAGAGATGATGCTCAACATCCGCGGCTCGAAGTATCGGCACGACCAGTTTGCCAAAATTCAAGCTCAGACTGGGATGAGTCCGTCAACATTGTGCTTCTCGCCCGAGTACGAGCGCGGATACCGAAAGTACATCCAACGAGCTGCAGTCCCTCGAACGCGCGTGTGTTTCGCGCTTGGATTCATCGCGACACTCGCTCACTTTTTGTGGGACAACCAGCGCATCGTCTACACCCCCATCACGAAATTCCTTGCGTTCGGTGTGGCTGTCATGTCGTTCGGAGTCGGTTTCGTCCTCACGTACGTGCCGCAGCTGTCCATGTACACGGAGACGTTGTCCGTCGTGGTGCGTGCTTCCAAATCTCCCATCGTCCGCCCGCCAGTTGTATTGGAACTAACTGTGGCGTCGTGGCAGGCGTTTGCTTGTGTGGCGGGGGTACTAATTGCCCTCAAGCCATTGCATGCCCAGCGCGGTCCTGTGATTCCATTACTAATTTTGATCATTCCCCTCTTTGGCGTCACACGCATGCGGTACGCCTTGCTTCGGTCCTGCCGCTCTGCCACGTTCCTGATCAGTCGGTCCGCAGATTTATGTATAGCACGATCCTTGGGTGGAGCATCTTGTTTGCGTACATTACAGTGCAGCTCGTGTCGCGATTGCACCTTGGTCCAGCCTACGACTCGCGCTCCGACGTGTTTTACCAGAGCATCAACTACGGCATAGCAGTCGTATCTGGGATGGTGTCACATTACCGCCAAGTAACATATGGAGGATGCGGTCGTGTGCTCACAGGTGGTTGACAGGAGCTCTTGCGGCGGCGCAACTACGCGTTGAAGCTGCCGTTCCAAGGCATGACTGACCAGGACTGCTCTGTCGCGCTCCAAAAGGACAAATTCGCCAAGAAGCATCTCGTCCATCGAGCGTCGATGGAGTTTCAAAACCCGGCTGTCGAAGAGTGCTTCATCCGGCACTGGTACCTCATCGACCCGTTCCCGTTTGAGAACCCAAACGCCGCCGTGCTCCATCAAGGAGCGTTCCGCGTGATTCGGTTCTCCGTCATGACTGTGCTTCTCAACCAGCTATTCCTCGCTGTTCAGGTACCGATGATCGGATCTTCCCTCTTCATCGTGAGCTTGACGCCCAATAAAGGGCAGGAGGGCTAGCCTTCCGCATTGTGTGCATGACTTGTCGTGCCATGCATGTATATATCACTTCACGTCCAACTACAAAACGCAGGATTACCGCCTCCTCCACAAGTTACCGAACCACCTGGCTGCAATTGGTTACGGCCTTCGGTTTGGCGTTGTCGACGTTGCGTACCTGAGCACCGCCGCGTTCATGTACATTGTCGGCCAGCGGTACTACAAGTTGTGGCTTGCGACCAGAGAAGAGGATGACAAGGAAGCGTCGTCGGGCGCGGAGTACTCCACGTGTCGAGGAATTGAGGAGCCCTCCACTTGCTGGTCATGGTGTCCGCGCTGGGCCACTCGCAATCCGTACAGTATCGTGGGCGAAGGAGACACTTCGGATGAGGAAGAGGACGGCGCGTGCCTTCGAAAGTCACCGCGGCGATGGCACGTCATGGCAACGCTCTTCCATGCGAACTCTCAAACAACCAAGACGAATCAAGCGCAAACGACTGATGTCCTTAGTGCCCAGATATACGCCGTCATGGTCGTGGCAGTCCACATGGCGTGCATGGCCACGATGCTGTTCGTTGTTGCGACGTCCCCAGCATCGCAAGCTCTGTCGGACATCTACCTCATGGGATTTCTCAACGCAACGATCTTTGCGCACAGATCGGGTTTCCGCGTGCGGCACAAGTATGCTGTCGGCATCACGTCGTTGGTAGGTTTTGTCACCATTTGCACGGCAGCGTCGGTACGTTCGTTCGGCAGACAATAGCGAGAACGCCAGTCTGCAACTTGTTTTACCATGGATACCTGAAGAATGGGGTGGTGGCTATAGCTGCTGAGGCCAGCGACGGATCCGTACTTGTGGCTCCGGTACGCCACGTACATTGTGGTGGCGCTCGTCCTGGGTGCCATGATATCAAGGGAAGAAGAGGCCTTGCGGAGAACGTTCTTCATTCTTAAGTCGATTCGATCGCTCGAGTTTGAAGAGTGGTTTCACCGAGTCGCACGAGTCCAAGGTGCCAGCGTAGTTTGGAGTCAACTTTGGGCATCGTTTATAGCGACACTGTAGATTGGATTCGACTGCGCCTCCGTCAAAAGTGCGTCGCCGTGCGCGAGAAGCATCCCCCGCTCGCGCCACAAGATTTCAAGAAGACCGCGAAGCAAAAGAACAAAAAGATCCTGACCAACACCGGCGCATACTTGGCCCAGGCGTCCAAGATGGGCGTGTATGGCGAGCTCATCAACGTCTTGTTGGTGGTTATTGATGTCTTGATGAAAATGTAATGTCCGTACAGTCCCCACCATGAGTGCACGTTGCGGTGGACCACGACTTGTTCGTTCAGCAACAGGGGAGAGGTCGAGAATGGCGCACTCGGCAATTCTCGCAGCTCCTTCCATTTCCCCCACATGCGCAGGACATGCTCTTGTGAGTCTGATGCAATTGCGCTTGGTCTCGCGCCGGGCGAGGTACCAGGAAGAATTCAACGTGGTCCTTCATGGGGAAGTATCCCTATGGCTTTCGAAGTGACAAGGCAGCTTGTCACTTCCTTTCTCTGAGCCCAGAGCTCCATGGACACCTACATCTGCTCTCATCCGTGCACAACCGCAGATTCACGGACGACCCCAGTGTAACTTTCATCCACAGAGCTCTCGGTAGATGAAGCAGGAAACTTTCCGACCCTCTCTCTCGCTCAATACGCGCGCACGCTGTCTTGCATGAAAAGTTCACATCAAACGGCTCGCTGCAGAGGCTGGCTGGGCATTCCTGACTCGACTACGTGTCCATGTACTATATCGCCGTACCATGTCCTCCATGCGACGGCCGCGGCATGCGGCTCACTGCTGAGACAACAATGAACCCCTGTCGATACCGACAA